GTAAAAAAACAGCTATTTTTATCACCTTCCTTTTGCCAAATATAATACTTATTATAATTTACATCACGAACACACGATTAAGTTCATCCTTCTCCAGGGTTTACCTTAATCCGGAAAGTCACACACTCGAGAGGGTGGAAATTGCTGAAAATTCCGCTTCACCTTTGCATCCGTCCTGCTCCCGTTGCTTTCGCTTCCCGTCACCGAGAGAACAGAAACGACACGGTGACCTCTGTGTGACTACGTATATCTCGTCGAGCCCTCCCTAAAGGTGACTAAGCCGAAATAGGCGCTTTTCGTGCGCGCCGAAGACGGTTGGCTTTCTAACAATGGGGACCGACATGACTTCTCGTTACGAAACTTGACGCCTTTGTTGTTTCCACGTGGACACACATACATGGACCAAGCCGAGCGTGTGCTCTCGCGACCTCGCGTGATCCTCTCGCCACATGACAATGGACCTGGTTTCACCGGCGCAGCATCTCGCACGGTTTGCACGGTGGCACCTCGGGGACCACTCACACTTCCCCGCCCAGAGAAGATCACGTTTTGAATCTCTCGCTTCAGATATTTCTCAGAGCGTTGCGAATTCACGACGTGCAAAGAAACGACTTGATTTCCCGAGAACAATATGCAACTTTTTCGAGCGCTGACGTATCGATGTCACGAGTGAAATTTCTTTTCACGCCTCGCTCTTTCTCCTCCTCGCCATTCGACTTTCGAATAATAAAAATAAAAAAGCGTTTATTTTATTAAAATAGCGTTTATTTTATTTTATTAAAATTGCATTTATTTTATTTTATTAAAATGGAATAATAAAGAAAAGAGTCATGTTCTTATAATAGTATTGAAATTAACGAGGGAGCATTTCTTCCTATCGTTTATTCCTATTTTATTATTATTTATTATTTATTATTTCTTATTTTATTATTTACTTTCTTTTATTTTATTATTTTTTATTTTATTATCATATAATATTAATTTAATTTATTATTATATAATTATTTATTATTTATTCTTATTTTATTATTTACTTTCTTTTATTTTTATTTTATTATTATTTTATTATTTTTGATTATTTTATTTCTTTCAATTTATTTTATTATTAACCTTCCTATTTCATTACTTACTTTTGAATTACCTTTAGATAAATAATGCAGCATTAATTGCAGTAATAAAGTCGCTAATGATTCTCCGACCTACGCGGCATCGTAAAAGCGCATCAGAAATGTACATTTCCGAAGGGAATGTTTTATTTATACACACCGCAGGAGGCAGCGGAAGGAATAATTAGCATCGCGAAAATAGTTTCGCAATTCCTCGCCTTACATCTCGCGCCTCGTGGGCCCCATCAAAGACGCCGTTTGTCATCGAGGTCGTCGTCGTCGTCGTCGTCGTCGTCATCATCCGGTCGATTTTATTTCCGTCGTTTCGACGAAAGGGTTTCGAAAGAGCCCTGCAACGTCACGTCGCGCGCGAAATGCACTCCGAAATCTTAAAAATCTATTTTCCACCGGACGCCACCCACGCCTCCATCTTATTTCCCGACTGGTGTCCCACGGGTATTTTTACCCGTGGCCTACATCATCCTCGGGGAGAGGTGCTCCGGTTCATTATTATCGACCCCTCGCGTAATCGAACGAGGAAGAAGAGAGAGAAAGAGAGAGAGAGAGAAACATCAGAGACGCGCGAAAAGACGTCGTCCACGAGGGCTGTAAACCCATTTCGAGTTCTAGTGCTCAACGCGGCGGGATCGTTCCGGTAAATTATTTTTTATCACGTGTCTTTATATCGTATCTTTGCCCCGGGGACGTGCGCCGCGTTATTCCTATAAAACGGAATTTACCGCGGCGATAAAAGCGCGAGATCTCGTTCGCTTCGAACGGAGCTGGAGAGGATCGTGTGTCTGCTTCCAAGTTTCTCGAGATGAGTTAGGAACATACGCTTCGGTCGTAGTTAGTCATCAGAGATGAGCCGTGGTATAATGTTACGATATAAGTGAGTGTAATAGCCAGTTGTAAATTTTAGAGGGTATAATATGAGGGATAATTTAGGAGGCATAATTGGAATGTAATTACTTTGACATGATGAGAATTTAAGAAGTTTCTTGTAATATGTATTTAATCGATCAATTAAAAACACATATAATATAATTATGACATAGACTTTTCGGTTTTCATTCTTCTATAAGTTAATAATAATAATAATAATAATTTTCTTTTTATTTCAATCGCGCATACTAATTATTGCGATTTTGAAAAAAATCTTGAGTTTTTCGAAGTTTTTCGAGATGAATTAGAAACATGTGCTTTAATCGTATTTAATCCATCAGGAAATTGTGAATGATATGATATGATAAAAATGATATGATATGATATGATATGATAAAAATCAAGTATAAGATTAAAAAATATAAAATATAATTTAGGAGACATAACTAGACATAACATTTCAACACGATACAAATTTAAGAAGTTTCTTCTTATGATATGCATTTAACCAACAAATTAAAAAATACAATATAATTATGATAAATATATTTTAAAATTATTAAATGTCATTTAAGCTGAAAAAGATGAATTTTTTGGCAACCTTCTGGCATTCTTCTCTACATAAGCAATAATAATAATAATTTTCTTTTCACTTTGATCATGCATAATTAATGCGACCTTCCAGAGAAAAAAAATCTCGAATTTCTTGATTTATTGGTATTCCTTGAATATCATTCTTTGGTTTCTTGAGATGACTTAAAAACATACGTTCTGATTGTATTTAATTTGTCAGGGATGAGCTATTAAATATGCTATAATATTATTGTGATATAAATCAATTGTAAATTTTAAAATGTGTAAAAATATAAAATATAAGAAAATATAATTAAAACATAATTATTTTAATATGATAAAAATTTAAGAAATTTCCTCTTATAATTTGGATGTATTTAATCAACGAATAAAAAAACAACATAATTACGATAAGCACACAATATAATTATGATCAATCAATATCATATTTAAAATTATCATATACCATTTAAATAAAAAATACATAGATTTCTTAACGACATTTTGACATTTTCTTAAGTAATAGTAATAATAATTTTTTTTATTTTGATCATATATCGAATTTCTCGATCTATTGGTCTCCTTAGCTTAATTATTATTACAGCCGATGACCTCGCGGTTATCGAGCCGTAATAATTTTGTTTTTCTCGTCCACCACCGAAGGCAGTAAGGAAATGCTTGACTTATGACCTTAAGACCCCATCTCGTCGATTATGAGCGGTAAAAGTGGCCGCCAAGCACACGGAACACTTTCTACGATTAATTATAGTGCACGGGCGCGAACCGCCATGTTCTTCAATACCTTAATTCGTCGCTACAAATTGATTACACGAAGCGCCCCGTCGTCCATTTAAACATCCGACGAGGGTCGTTAATCTCGCGTTACGTTTCTCGATGTCCATTCGGACAACGTTAGTCACACATGTTCCTTCCGAGTCACTTTGTTAGCCCGGTAATCCCGCGGAAGGAACGCGCGGAGAGGCTTTTTACGGATTACAAGCGCCGACCGGGCAGTTTATTATCGTTATTATTATCGTCGCTTCTCGCTACTTGAGACTCGAGCTCAAATCGCACCTTGCACACGCGACGGGATTATCCTTCCCACGAAATAAATCGGCTTCTGGCTGAAAATCGTGCGTGCGAGTGAAATTTCCAGTCGAATCGAAGTCCCGGATCCAGATCGTGATTCAGACTGATGAATCACCTTTTGGCACATCGAGTTTTTGCCTGACAATTTGGGTCAATAAGGATATGGCCATAACTAACTAAAGATGTGGCAATATTAAGGTTGCTCAAGACAAGACAATATTCGTAAAAATATAATGGCATTGAAAATTGTTTAAAACCTAAACCTTTTATTTTGGTTTTGAATAAATCTTTGTAGGGAAAATTTTGTCCCTCTATTTTATTAACAATTTTTATCTAATTTTATCTATTAAGTAATATTGAAAAATTACTTAAAGTAATATTTATATAATATAATTTGTAGGCAATTATATTACTATTTATGTCATTTGTTTACTTCCTAAAAAAATTAGTTTTTAATTCGTTTTTAATTAGTTATCAATATAATACTAAGATGTTGTCAAGATTATTAATTAAAAAAAAAAACTAAAATATGTATTTGCAAATTACATGAGAAAAATATCACTATATTATATACAAACTACACTTTAAAAAATTTAATACTATATTTAATATATTAATGATATATGATTGATTTAATAAATAAAAACATTTATATTAACAAATTTGGAAAATTTGTTATAATAAACAATATAAAATTTTATACAAGTTTTTTGCAGCTAAATAATTATATAAAATTTTATATTGTTTATTGTAACATTTTTTTCCAAATTTGGTAATAAATGTTTTTATTTATGAAATAAATAATATGTATATTACTAAATATATTATTAAATAAATTTTTTTAAGTTCATTTAATATTGATCATATAATACTGATATTTTTCTTATCTAATTTATATGCAAATACATTTTTAATTTCTTTTTAATCACAACCTTGACAATCTTAATCTTAATATTGCTTGATAACTAATTAAAAACCTTGCCTTGATCTCGAGTTTAAAACACAACAATATTAAAACTAGTCTTGTGTGGTAACTCATGCTGGTAACTCATCAATCTATAATATATCTAAATAATATTAAATAATATTTAATTTTCTATTTATTTTAATCAACTAAATCCATCAAAATTAATACATTAATTCAAGATTAATAGTCAAGTTTGACCACATATTTTCATCTTTGAAAAAAGTACATTTTATCTGGATTTAAATAATAACTATTCTTTCCATATTATTTATTATACTTTTCTGTAAACTATCATGTTACTATTAATTCCTGAAAAAGCACAATTAATTGTAGCATAAAAATATACCTAAATTTAAATCGCGTGTTACTTTCGGTTACAGGGCGGCGGCGGCGGCGGCGGCGGCGGCGGTGGTGGTGACGAATCTGACGAGGACACGCAGTGCGCCCTGAGCGAGAACTGGACCTTCGAGAAGAAGACGAGACGTTGGTCCCGCATAGTCGACGTCACGCAGGCGAACGTCGAAAGGCTGCAGGCGATCGCCGGGCAAAACGCCGCGTCCGAGGAGGACTCCCTCGAGGATCGCCTGGAGGCCGAGGAGGCGGAGGACACCATGCTCGAGAACCTGCGATACGGTAGCCTACCGCCTGGCACCGTCCCCGACGAGATGGGCCCGCGATTCCGCAGGACCGGCTCGGAGAGGCTGCGGGACGGCGCCAAGGCCTTCCTCAGACGCGTGGAATCCCTCAAATCGCGACGACGGAAGCGTCAGAATCGCGACGGGGTAGTGATCAGCGGGCCTCAGGTGCTCGACGTCATGTCCATGCAGCAGAAGATGAAGGAACTCAACTGCGTGGACGTGTCGCCCACGGGTCCGGCGCCGGTGGCCTTTAACGATCTCCTGTCGGTATCGCCTAATCAGATCCCGGGCTCACCGGTCACCCTGCCGGCCACTCCCTATCATCTGCCGCCGTCGCCCCTGGCGAACGCGCCCAGCCCCTTCGGCGACGACTCGTCCAGCTACTGTTCGGATGGTTCTCAGGGCGGTGGACCGACGCCTACACCGACCCGCACGAAGCTGAATCGCGCCCGCCGGTTCCTTCATCGCGGCAGGGAGGATCAGGGAGCCTTGAGCGACTCCGAATGCCAGCCGACCAACTGGCGGCACCGATACTTCCGCGATGCCAACAGCAATCACGCCAAGGTGCTCGAGTTCGTGAACGCGCATCCTCAAAGCTCCAAGGATTCGCCTGCGAAGAACCCGGCGATCAGCGTCCGAGGCGGCAGTCTTAATCTCGGCAAGGATTCGCAGAGGTATCGCGATAAGCTCGTCCAGGGCAAGGAGGACAAGGTTGCGTCCTTGAAGCGGGATGAGAAGATGCACAAGAGCTTCCGGCATCGCGACGAGTACAAGGATAGCAAGCAATTATCCAAGGAGGTGACGATCTACCGGGAGAAGTCTAGATCTAGGAGCTCGGAATTGGCTGGTAGTCAGGAAAGCGGTTCCACCATGGCCAGTAGAGACTCGGATCAGGAGGAGGAGTCGCCTAGGCACAAGGGGACCGTGGTTAGGTGGCACAGCTTCCAAAGAGGATCGCTGTACCCTGAACCGTTGGACCCGCTGTGCCCCAGAGCAATGGCTTCCATGTCTTGCGGACAGCTTTTAGTCTTGAGAAAGTTGGCATTGTTGAAGCTCACGGCTTGCATGGAACGATATTGCCCGACTCATCGCACCGGCTGGAACTGGGAGCTTCCGAAATTTATCAGGAAGATCAAGACGCCCGATTACAAGGACAAGACCGTCTTTGGAGTGCCGCTGTTGTTGTCCCTACAGAGAACCGGTCAAGCTTTACCTAAGTGTATCCAGATCGCTCTGAGATGGTTGAGAGCCAATGCACTGGATCAAGTGGGCATTTTCAGAAAAAGCGGCGTCAAATCGAGGATACAGAAGCTTAAGGTCATGACGGAGACCCAGGGAGACAATATCAATTTCGACGGGCATCAGGCGTACGACGTCGCCGATCTTGTCAAACAGTATTTCAGAGAATTGCCGGAGGCTCTACTGACAAACAAGCTCTCGGAGACATTTATCGCTATTTTTCAACGTAAGTTTGATTGTTGTTTGTTCGTTTTTTTTTTGCTTTGTGGGTCGCGCAAGGAGAGAAATGTGATTTTGCAATGAGTCGATTCTTCTTGCAGATGTACCAGTGGAGCTGCGACCGGATGCCGTGCAATGTGTCTTGTTGTTGCTGCCAGACGAGCACCGCGAGGCGTTAGAGACTCTGCTCGACTTCCTCAACCACGTCGCTAGCAACTCACCCTATAACCAGATGACAGCCTCGAATTTAGCGGTGTGTCTAGCGCCGAGCTTGTTCCATTTCAGCCACAGCAACACGAACGTGACCAACAGGTCGAGTAGCGTGTCGCCACGTAGGCGGAAGACCGTGGGTATCCCTGATCAGCGGGAACTGTCGGAAAACAAAGCCGCTCACGACTGTCTTCTGCATCTGGTCAAGATGCATCGTGAATTATTCATGGTGAGTGCACCAAGGCGTCGTCATTCGTTGATCGCGATCTCTCGGCGTTTGCTTTCTATCCAAGGCACGAGACGGACTCGGTTCATGCTACTACTGTTTTTTTTTTTTCAGGTCTCATCGGATATGTTGACGCAGTGTCATTTTAATTACATGGAAGAGAGTATTCCTGTCGCGCTAGAAGAACTCGGTTCAGAACTGAAGCAGGATTGGAGAGGTTACCTGTACGCTTGCACCACGGCCTTATTGAAGGAAGCGCGAGAAAAGTAAGTACATGTCATTACAATATTTATATTATATTAAAAATAAAAAGAAATAATTAGGGACAACGTGGATAAAATTAATTATAAAGCTGTGAGAAGTGAAAAATATGTATAAATAAAAATAAGAAAGACTGAAAAAGACAGTACAATATGACAAGTTTGAATTGAACTTGACAGATATGTCTGATAAAATAAAATCGATGGATTAAGAGGTTTTGCTAAATGAAGACCTATATTTTGTTCTAGCAGAAGTCGCGGTTGGGTCACGGTGAATAATCCCGCTGACAATACTGTAGAAATGGCGTATAAGAAAGTGGGTGACGGACATCCGCTTCGTCTCTGGCGAGTATCAACGGAAGTCGAAGCTCCGCCGAATGAACTTTTACATCGTGTATTACGAGAGAGACACATCTGGGATCCGCAACTTTTAAAGTACAGATTGGTAAACAAATTGGACACCAATGTGGAGGTCTTTCAATACGCCACGGGAAACATGAGCCCGTTGCCCGCCAGAGATTATTGCGTATTAAGGTAAGTTAATAAAATTGTCAATAATTATAATTAAAGATTAATATTTATTTTTTTTAATTTAAATAACGGATGTCTTCTGTAAAATTTTCGACGATATTATTAAAGATATTTAAAATGCTTAATCAGTGTAATTAATCTTTTGTAGATCCTGGCGGAATGACCTTCCCAAAGGTGCTTGTGTCATCGTGGAAACATCCGTGGAACATCCAGATGCTCCTGTCATGCTTGGCGGAACTCGCGGCATCGTTTTGGCCTCTCGTTATCTTATCGAGCCTTGCGGCAGCGGTAAATCCCGCATTATGCATTTATCCAGAGTCGATACGAAGTAAGTAACATGTTAAACATCTTTGTAAATAATGTGTTTTATCTCCTTCAATCGTTTGTTTGCTTAAAAATATTTTCCAAAAAGAATAAAATTAAATCTCGGACTTTTATGTTGATTAGATAGTGGAATATTATATGAATTTTATAAAAAAAAAAAAACTAAAAAATTAAAATTATTTGTTTTCAGAGGTCGCACACCTGAATGGTACAATAAGAGCTACGGGCACATCGCCGCTCTTCATTTGAGCAAAATCCGCAATTCTTTCAAGCACACCACCGACGGGCCCGAAAGCAAAGTTTGAGAGCAGGATACCGTGCAACACCAGCTGTTGCACGGTTCCACCTCCTCCTCCTCCTCCTCCTCCTCTTCGTCCCCTATGTTTCTCCAAGTTCCCGACGAACAGTACGATCATAGAATCCTAAAGGAGGTACGACAGGTCCAGCCTACGATCGACGAAGAGTAATCTCGATGGTCGAGCAATTAATATCCAAAACCCACCGATGTCGTAAGTTAGCTTCATTCAACAACCGGTTCTAGATTCGATATAAGTAACTCGATGTTATCGTAGTAGTAGGAGAATCCTCCGTATGACGTTTACTGTCCAAAGATCTTACCGTCCGTTTGTCGTGAAAAGTTGTCAGGGATAGGATGTAAAAAAGGAGGATTAAATTATCTCATTTAGCGATTTCAATAACAAAAGTGGCTCACTTTGATAAATTAATCGTTTCGGAATTTAAAAAAGAAGACTCGTTATTTTTGCACTTTTGTCGTTCAAAAGCTTATAAATTTTATCGATTCCTGGATCGGACACGATTCTTGAAATCGTGTCTCGTTGCATTTCATTGATTTGATCGCATTTTAATGCTAAGAGATATCGGAGAATGACCGATAAACGCTTCTGGTTGCGAGATACAAGATGAACGTCATTCGGTGTTTTCGACAACTATATTACGACGTATATGTTCGGTGTGAGAGTAGCAATTCCATGGGTTTATTCTGTGCTACAGCAACTTTATATCTGTGATAAAAATAAGGTAAAAACATAGCCGCGCGCGCGCAAAAATATATATGACCAACAGTAAAGTAAAATAAAAGAATAACATTAATAAAATTAATAAAAAAATTTTCTCATAATATCCAATTAAAGTTCCTGATTGATATAAAGATTCACCGCGTTTCGCGTTTATTAGAATAACAGATAACACGACAGCCAAATTTTCTTTTATATTTCACCTTTCGCTTTATATTTTATCTTTTCCCAAGTGCAGCGAGATTTTATTACTCTACAGAAATTATAAGCGTCAAATATATTTTTCTTACAACTAAAACTTCTATGACTAATGACATTTAAAAATGAGCAAATAGATTCGAGGAATTTTATGGCAATAAAATGTCGCTGCTTATTCTAAACTGCAGAATGCACTCATCAGTTGTAACGACTGCGATTAATTGTAAGCGATCTACCGCATTTAAGTTAACAACACGCGCGCCAACAACGCCGTTTCTAATCAAGATGATGACCGATAAATGTTCCTGTCAGGCGCCTAAATCAGGGACGAAGCCTAGATAAGGTACTGTCTTGCAATACAAGATTCATTTCACACGTTCTACACAAGATACATTTTGTATGTTTCTCTTTCGGACCAAATGTCAATTTTTTTTTCTATCGTAGCGTATCACGTTAAGGTAGTTGACACATTCGTTGGTAGGGAAATTTTCCTCTCCCGTAAATGTTGCCGCACGTAGACGGACGAGTATGTAAATGTCGCGTAAAACATGTACACGTGTGTCTATTTATAGCTACGTGCTTTTACAAGCACGTGTTTGTTACATGTTAAAGAGAGAACCATGTCGTCTCACAGTCCGAGTTGCACGAGGTGCTGCTTAAAATCGTGACAAAAACAAAAAAAAACACGCAGAGATGATGAGACATTTATTTGATTATTAAGCGAAAATAATTCGTGGCTATAATATTTTTCGAGAAAGTCGCTCTGATATTATTCCTTTTTCCTTATACTTATAATACCAAATATGATATTATCTCGACTTTAAATATTGTTAATTAGATATTTTGTTATTAAGATTCAGAACTTACCTTATACTTTGATGAAATATTTCAAAAATGCTTCGCGCGTCCAGTGCATTTATATAAAATAAGGGATTTGTTTACGCAGCTCTGCTCATTATCGTAGAGCTATCGTCGAGCAATGCGAAAGGATTTTGAGTAAAGCGTAGATCTCGAGTGGCAGACTAGTTCACTCGGCATAAACAAAAAAAAAATTATCATTGTTACTCGTGTCGATGTTAAGAGTTAAGATTAAAAGAAGAAAGACATCTCTGTTTTCATTGTATCTCTTTGGAATCGTCGCGAATCGATCAATTTAGGACGTGCGCTTAAGATGTTCGTTCAATCGTTCGACATGTTCATATGCAACAATTACTATAGGGACCATCTCTCTCATGCACGTGACGAATAATTTGACGGAATGCCATTCGCGAAGTCGATAAACCGTAAGAGGAAGAGATGTTACATGTTATTGAAATAAAATAATTCAATAATGTGTAACCAATCGCGTTTCATTCAAATGAAATAATCATAGATTTACCGTCTCTTCTTCCTCCAAATTGATACGATTACAGTTTATCTCCTCCCATGAGAATCCACTTCCGTCGAATAATTTGCCACGTTCATGGACCATCTTTGTTCAGACCCCAGACAGGAAATGACCTGCGCATGATGCACCTCGTCGAATCGAATTCTAAGTGTATTTTAACGTAATACTAGTCACTTACATGATAGCCGAGAGTTACGGATTACGATAAAAGATACCATAAAATTTTATTGCGCAGCGTGTGTTGCCGCGAGAATATATTTAAAAATATCATTAATTAATATTGTGCTATATATATACATATATATAAATATACATTATATATATTTCGATGTTAAGTAATCATACGTAAATATATTATATTTTTGTGTCCAAAAACCGCCAGTAGAAACCTGACGGCCGAGTAAGGATGCCGTCGGTGTTTCTTAATATTTGTAATTATATACATATACATGAACGTCTTTATTCTTCTAATCCGTGTTCCACTAGAATGTAAATATGTATATTATAAAGTAATGAACAACACAGAGTTATATACTCATTAATAGCTATGTCTTTTTTTCTTATTGTTTCACCTGCCTCTCCTTTATTTGTTTGGTGCTTGATTATCGCCATCTTGTCGGCCATTTATCAGTCGCATGAACTTTTCATTCTAGTCTCTCTCGCATCGATAATCAACCGTGCTCCTCTCGTAAAAGACATGTTTTATTATTATTTTTTTTAATGTAATATTTCTTCATATTTTTTTATTATTATTATATAATTTATTATTTTATATTAATGTAATATAACGAACTCAAAGTCTTTTTTCGAAAGTAATTTTAATAAATTAATGAGATTTTTGGAGCAAATTATATCAACCACGACATGATTCGAACAAATTTTAGTTAAATGTATAACAAAACTTGTTTAATCGATAACGCGTGTTACCATGGACAATGCATCCCGACGTTCAGGCTGTTTTTGTCGAGTGAATTGAATATACGGCTGTTTAGTTTCTCATGACAAGTCGCCGGTGCACTTGGCAGAATTTACTTTGCCGCTCAAATCAGATTACATACGAGTATAATACATTTTTCATTTCAATCATATTTCTATCAGAAACTGTGTACGAGCTAATTAAAATATCAAAAGTCATACATTAATAAATCGCATAGTGCGGAAATTTTGGTAGTGTTTGAAAGTCTTAACTCAGCAAAATGGTGAGATTGCACGTGAAGAAAGGTGACGAGAGCCAATTTTTATATGACACCAACGTAGAGGCAAATGTCGACAATGTTATACATGATATTGCAATGATCTACAACGGTCGTTTGAAGATTTCACGGATCTGTTATGGTAAATGTCTTCTCAAAAAATAGCAAAGTTATTCTAGGGACATATGTTAGTAAAATTGAACAAACGTTTTTTTTTTAATTTCATATTACATTTATTTTCTATATATTTTCTATATTTTATATTTTAAATTATTTTTCATATTTCTACATTTTAAAAATTTAAAGTAGCATCATTTTAATAGAAATCTTATTAATCTATCAAAATTATTTTCCAAGAATAATAAATTAAAAGTATAAGAATTTTAATTTTTTTATTATATTAAAATAATGACATTTTTAAAAATTACAAAAACCTTGTTTTATATCTACAATAAAGACAATTCATTTAAGTTGAATTGTGATTTGCTTTTGGAAAATTTACTTTGTTAAAAATAATAATTACAAAATTATATAGGAATGCAATCTACATTTAAAATAATGATGGTCAAATTTATTAATTAAACAAATTACTAAATTAAAAAACCGTTAAATAAAACGAGATTTGTTTATCTTTACAAAAAAATCGTATTTTACATTTTTTTATTTATATCTTTAGCACATGGTAATTTCGACTGCCTTTTACGAGCTTTTTGTAGCATTTATGGGAATCCTGGCTTCGTAGCCGGAATATTAACGCGAGAAATCCATTAGCGATTATCTCCCGGGGCACAGCCGCGGCTTGTAATAACAGTGTATAATAAGAGAGGTCCCGAGGACCCCCCTCGAGTTTATGAACCCATCTATCCTGGGTGCCGTGTGTGTAATATTAGTCACACGTCGCGCGGGATAATAATTATACTTGTACTTGACACCGGTTGGTTGCCCTCTCGTTCGCTTCTTCACACGCGTATATTCTTTCTCTCTCTCTCTCTCTTTCTTAATTGAAAAATAGAAATCGAGGAGCTGGCTAAGCACGGCACGATGTTACCACCTGAGATAATGGGCCTCACAGACGAGCAGGTCGAGGAGCTCAAACTCAAGGACGAATGGGCTGACAAATGTTCGCCCATGGGCGGCTGGACTTTCCACAAAGACAAGATCGGTACGTGACATCGCTCGCCGGCATCGGATAATAATGGTTTCAGAAGTATCTGTGAATAACTTGCGACATAATCATGATCGCAAATTTTCGGAAGGATTTAAGAGCGAGAAGCAACTGTGTCATAGGAAGATGATAGGGAATTACGTTATATGGATTTTTTAATTTCAACTTTAGTTATTAACTTTTCTGTAGAAAAATAGTTATTATTTTTTATATGCATCTTAAATTATATGATGTCATCGATACACGTGTATTTTTTCAAAACTTTTATTTTTTTAAATTTCCATCATTAAAAAAATCTGCATTTTTAATAAGTTTAACAAAACTGCAAAATACTTGTCGTAAAATTATTTTGATTGTTTAAGAGTTTATAATATATAATATAATTTTAGTCATTAACTTTTTTGTAGAAAAATAGTTATTTTTTATATGCATCTTAAATTATATGATGTCATCGATACACGTATATTTTCAACATTTTTATTTTTTAAATTTCCATCATTTAAAAAATCTGCATTTTTAATAATTTTAACAAAACTGCAAAATACTTGTAAAATTATTTTGATTTTTTAAGAGTTTATAATATGGTTTTTCATTTTTTTCATAAAAATGAAAAAATGTTGCATGATGAGATTATAATCACTCTTCTTTTATAATTAATATTCTCTCTTTCACTTTTGTCTTAATAATATAAATATTTATAAAGCATTTATATACAAAGTTTAGTAAAAAAACACGCAAATAAACATATCATTCAAGATTTATTTGCGTTTTATACGATAAATTAAAACTAAGTTTAGATAAATATAGGTCGAAGGAATGGTAGACAGCCTAACGAAAAGATGCAAGAGGTGCTGAAGAAAACTATCGAAGAAGCACGTGCCATGACATCAAAAGTAAATGCAATTTAATTTGTTACACATCACGTTCTTTGACATAGCCAGATTAAAAAATTCCTCCGTCTTGTCCAATCATAGAAATTAGTGCAACAGGAGAAATTGGTCACCCAGAAGACAGTTCAAGAGGCTCTGGATATCCTAAGAGGTGCCGTGACGATCGTTTATCCGATGGGACTTCCGCCTCACGACGTGATACGCAAAGAATTTGAAAATACCGAGGATCTCACCGGTACTCAAGCATCTCTCGAGGTATATGCAAATTAATAATCAATATATAAAGCACGAGACAAACACATGATTTAAGGAATATCCTTCCCCATTAAGATTATTTGATTTGATTTGACGTCATTTTGCTACCTGGGTTTTTTCTTGAACATTTCTTCAACGTCAAAACAAAGATATTTGAAGAACTCTAATGTAATATTTTTTATTATTTCTTAAATAATTTTTTAGACGTGTTTACTGAGCAAAAGGATTAATTTTTAATTTATGATTAAACATATAAAATTTTTTTATTAAATTTAATTTTTGATTACACGTGTAAAATTTTTATTTAAGAAATGCGCCTTTAAAACACTTGTACTCCTTGTAAGAAAAATAAGCAAGGATTGGCGACATCTTCACTGACGTTTAGAAAGGCGTGCATTTGTCGCAGGTAATCGATGTGCAATTGGCTCAATTGTGGTTCTCCGGAAAGGAGCTATTACCTGGGAGGAAAATGAAAGACTTTGTAGGTAATAACGAGAAGACCAAGATAATCGTGAAGCTGCAGAAGAGAGGATCTGGAAAACCGGCGAGGGAGCCGCTAATGTCGGAGGACGAGCGCAAGGAATTGATGCTGTGCGCGTATCGTCGTCAGGAACAGCTGAAGGTAAGTACCTCTGCATGATGAGTACTTTCTTACGACGAGTATGCTTTTCATCCGAGATAGTGACTGTCTAACTGGCATTGAAAATAAAATATAACAATCGCCAATTATCCTAGATCATTCGTAATTTCGAAACTTTTATGGGTGAATCATCAGACAGTATTAACGTTTATCAACAATTGGTGATCCTCTTGTCGATCTTGACGTGTTCTGTTTTACCACCAACTATTTATTCGAAGATCAATAGAAATATGAAAATTACGGATAAAAGTAATAGTAAATTTTTTTCAAAATTACGTAGTTTATTAAAGGACGAACTGACATGCAACTATGTATTATAAAGTAAATCGATTTAATAATTCGCGAAGTATTTTAGAACGAGAACAGTGCTTCTCTAAGTCACCTTTCATTGATCTACGTGCTCAAAAAGGGATAGTACGTGTCTATCGATTGCACGCGCGTCCTTTACACGCCCTGTAAGTGGTATCCTTCGAAGTAGGGTAATTTATTTCAGAAACAACTCGTGCGAGCTTGTTTAAAAACTAATACGAATCTCTCTCGAGGCATCTTTCCAATCCACGTTGACACGTTTCCTTCATATTATCTTTTACACACAAATAATTTGATATTTTCGAAGCAAGATGAATGAATAATTTTATATTTGAATTCAATATAATTTAATTTAAATAATTTTGATGGAAAAAGACGACTATTTTGACATTAATTTTAAAAATCTGCTTTAGTGTAAAATTTCACACACACATTATTTGTATCGAAATGAAGATTACAACAGAATTCAATACGTTTTATACATAAAAATTATAATCCATTTATTAAACAATGCTTATTTAAGAATATCTACAAATAATAATAATAAATATTTATTATTCATTTTTATAAAAATATATTTTTCCGCTTACTAAGTAAATAATATGATATATATAATATGAGTACATATTTATTGAAATTAACTATAATAGAGACATTGAGGACTCGTAAACTAACAGGTAGGTGTATTGAACTCGAAGAAGCGAATGTCCCATTTCCATTGTTTCCATTATCGATTAGAAGTTGGAGTAAACAGCTCGTAAGTACGACTTCTATAGAGCACAAAAATGATTAGATATAGATTACGAGAAGCGATATATGTATATTCCAAGATATTATTATTTAATTTTACACACATGTATCGCACACGTGTCATTTTTTTCTATTACTCTGAAATATGTTTCATAGAATCCACGAGTATTTCTTTAAAACAGCAACAGGTATGCTAATCTTTTCAAACTGCTGTTCGCTTGAATGATCATAGATATTTTGTCAAGGGGGTTAACTGACGAAATTACTTGTCAAAGAGTTTTGTTTTTTTTCTCTGAGAAAAATGTAAGCTCGATCGAGCTTGATTGAGTGTAAAAAATATATGTCGTGAAAATTATGTACGCAAAAATGATATTTAAAAAAGTAAAAGATACACATTTATCTTAAAATTCAAAATCTCTTTAATATTGCATTTCACAGAATCACTGAATTCCAAAATGTGACGATATTAAATATGTATGAAAATCATATTAAAATCTTGAGGTCAATATTATTAATATTTTAATTAATATTATAACTCGATATATTGATGTCTTGAAACCTAATTTCAAAATGTAATTAACAAGTTACTTTTTATCTGGGCTCTCCAAAAATTTCGACAGAAATTATTTTCTCTACTGCATATTATTTTAAAAGAATGTAATTACACTTTTTCAAGCATTTCAGTATTTCATTGTTACGTCGAAGCAACTACGTCGCGTTGATCAATAAATAGAATGGAAATTAATGTTGTTTTTTTTCAATTCGTGGAGTTAATTGTTTGTTCAGTAATTTATGCCTCATCCCGTTTTAAAGAAACTCGAATAAGTAACGGAAAAAAAGTATTCTCATTAAGAATCTCATTAAGAATCGTCATTAACTTGAAACGTGCTGTGCGGGAAATTACGTCGGTGTGTGTTGAGTGTTCATAAGACTTTGTTTCTTCTCCTTAAATCGATAGAAAAAACTTGCGATGTTTGTTACCATTAATTTATTCCACCTGTCGAATCGGATGTCCAGCAAGTCTAAGGTCCTTCCTTGCTGGAGAACAAAGGATTAGACTTTCTATTGCGCCAAAATTCTCGATAGAACTTTTCGCCGATATTTAATATCGCTGTTGAATACAATGATCGATGTCTTGTTCAACAACGACCTTTAAAAACCTTTAAAAGCAACGACTCGTTTGCTGATATATCCGCAAGACAGCATACACGCTATTATATAACGCGATAAATGTACCCACTTTACATTCATTATTTTTACAGACTGGTATACCTTACATAGTTATATAAAAAAAATCAGGAATATAATTCGTTGTTGCAAGTAATGCAAATGCATGTCGATATTAACTCGCTATTTCCAAGCAATAAATTAATAAGAATTTTTGTCTGCTTCACGAAAGCTTGTCTGAAACAAATAATTCCTTCTGTTCATATCACATATTTGTTCCCGACGAAAAATTTCCACCACTTGGTCATATTTATTTACCGCATCGTTTTAATTTTACGAATTTGCAAACGAGTCCACAATAACCTAATAATATATATACCTCCATAATAGGACGGTAATAATGGGGCGTATTATGAAGAGTCATTCAAATGTCACGCCATCAACGATTGACAGGACGCACTTGATTTCAATCTGTACTTGTCGCAAATATAGGTCGATGGCAATTCAATTTCATTTTTGTTTTAAACGATACGATCTTGTAAAATGGAAGAGCAAAGATTATACAGCTGGTAATTTAGATAAAGAAGAGCGTTTTAATCATTACATCATTACACGATGTTTTTATCTATATCACATATCTAGATGTTACAATATTAATGTGGATTATCTTCAATGTATATCGGAATCATCTTTTATCACTTTGTCATATTAATTGTACATTAAATAATAATAAAATAATAATAATAATAATACTAATATGAACATATAAAAAAATGCGTAATAAAATAATCTATCCTTCTATAAAAAATTTCACAAGTTAGCTTCGAGGAAAATTTTTGCATCAGACACTCCCTGTAATTTTATGCGAAATTATGGAGAAGTAGAACTGTATTCGTTTCGCCAAGGTCAGAAAATGTTCCTCGCTCCATAGATTAATTTGCATGGGCGTATTACAAGCAGATACGGTAGATACGAGAAACATTTCGTTCTTGCGCGGCAAGGCAGAGATACCCTCGACACGAAATGCTTCGCGACACGCGAGTCCCGGCAATATTATTTTATCATAATTCAGCGATGTGATGCACAATGAAATTTTCATTTTCTCGAGGAAAAAAAGTCTCATGGGATACAAAAACTTTCAATTTCTTCCATTATTTTTACGTGGAAAATACCCATATAATTATATAATCTCTATAATCGCCCCCTTTTTTCCATCGCATTTTATAATTGCGTCGACACGCGACATTTATTATAAATTATTTAGATAATTTTCAAGAGTGCGAATTAATTATATCTTCGATGGAAAGTAATTGAAAGATGATTACGATAGATTGTACGCAAAGAAATTTTATTATTAAATAAAAAAAAGATGATATGTGTTTTACACATATATGTCACAAATACCTTGACACAGAGGCAAATATAGAATTATATTAGATTTTCTCTACTATCTAAACATAATTCCTCGTACATAATCATACCTGTATGTACATTGTTCGTCATTTGCATACTTATTTGTCGACGATTAATCATCCCGTATTGTTTAAAAATCGTTTCCCTGTTGATTTATTAATTATTCCAATCATTTACTGATCTCTTTATCTGTTTTGAATGGCTGGAGTAAAATATTGATTGTTATTTCATGGTATATATAATGATTCCGATATATCAAAGGTTGTATTGATGAGTCTTGGAAATTAAAAACGTACATGAAATACAATTTTTATTTACAATCCGGAAAGTCTTTATTTCTGTAATTGAATAGAAATAACAGATATATAACCTTGGGATGTTCATTTCCGGGAATGAAGAAGGTTTTTGTCTCTCTCTGATTATAGCATTCGAAGATATTAATAGGTACACTTTATTGGCTCCATCGAAAGCGGAAGAAGGCACATAGAGTACAGTGACGTTAGAGAAGTCTTTATTTCTTGTATTTCCTCATTATTTCTAGCTACTGCTCTTGCATGTGCGTGTGTATATTTGCGCTCGCGTGAGATTATATTTATTTATCGCCTGTTTTCAAAGCATATACATGAATACCTAGCTGAATGTGTGAATATATTTACCCGCACTATCAGTTTTTTCTTATAAAAATTTCAATTAAAAATCAAAATATACAGCTTTCTCTTGATAAATAAATAATATTGTTATATAATTAATATCCAATAAATAATATCGTTTTTATAAGGATAAATATTAAATCAAACATGTATTTTTTCGAATAATTAATTAATTATTTATTCGAGGAAAGGAATATTTATTTGTCTCATTAAAAGTAATATAATATCTTCTTTGTTAGGAATAAAAATGTGAATCGCAGCGATCAACTTAAAAGCAAAAAGTTTTTCAAACAGTTATTATTAAAGTTGATATTTTTAATTAACGCACCTTCATATGCGTATTCACTCTGTTAATTTTAATTACTTTGAACGTCCATTATACGACGAGTCATTTTTGATTGACTTTAAACACACGTTAATGTGAAACTAGCACGAGAACTCAAGCAATATCGATTAGAGCGAATATATAAATGTTTCAGTTTCTAAAAGCACATGTACATATTTACATCGCAAAATACAGACATTTACGCATAATATGTGGTATACAATGTACTGTACAATTAATTTAGGCAGTCGTTGTATTCGGGAATGTTCACGTATCGGTATTATTGGATATATTCAGAGACAGGGAGTTACATGAAATGTGATTATGGATTTCAGCGATATCAGAAATGTCTAATTACATTTCTCTACGATTAACTGCAGTAGCATAAATGGTTGTAGAAAAGATACAAATGCGCATGTTCGTTGATAGGCGAATTAAATGAGCGTCATCGTTAGCCTAAATCTATTTTGTACATTAAAGAAGCTTGTTGATTTTATGTGTTATGGTTTTACACCGAAATCGCGATTATCGCATAAGAAAGATATCGTTTCATGTAATGCTAATAATAAATATATATATCTTTTTTTCGGCGTTCATTTATTTATTTATTTATTATTATTTTGTCTTTTCGTTGATTAAGAAATTATTGATCTTTCACAGTTTATTCATGCGGTATATATCGCAGGGGAGCAATTGTTGAACGCCACCTGATCCTTATCATTGACGTGTCATTTATTGAAACATGTGGCGACATTAAACAATTATACAATTTTCTATTATATACTTGTTTTATTCCCTTAGTGTTCCCTTGACGTATTCGGAGGCTCAATCTTAATATTAATGTATCGGCGATTAATATCAATCAGTTTCAATCACTTTGTCCTGCGCGCAAGCAAAGTTAGTGATACATTGAAGGCAACAGTGAATGTATATATATATTTATTTATTTATTTGATCGATGTATTGCATAACCCTAAGAAGTTCAATAATTAAGTTGGACGCCCAAGAATGGGTTACTTTCGATGAATTTCATTGGCAGAGAAATCACTTGAACTTGAAACTCCATTTCTCGAACATGACGTCGCAATCACATATTATTCGTACCATCGCGTATACATATCATCAATAATTGTAACTATAGAAAAGTTAATTACACCTCATTGCGGAAGACGACGCTAATGTCCGTCTGAGAACTCAATTCACCTCGCACTCGGAGATTTTATTTTCAAAGTTCCTCTCTTTCTCTCGATAAAGAAATAAATTTATTCAACATGACGAACCTTTAAAAGCCGGGTTTCGTTCGTTTCTCTTCTAAAAGGAATCCTCAGCCTCATCCATGTCGATTAGTGGCAGCCTTTCATAGCCCAGGATAGCGCCCATACTAAGGGGCGCATACTGCTAAAGGGTCATACTTCTGATTTCATTTTCATTAGTCTGGCTTTGAGTGGCGGATGAGGTAGTAGCCTCCATGAGTCCTTGATCCTCGCCCTCGACCTCCTGCTTGTCGACGCAATATCTGCATCGCATCTTCGCGTCGTCCCCCACCTTGACCGATCGCGAAATGATAATCAGGGTGATCACGCTGATGACGAAGAGTCCAGCCGGCACGATTATGGCGATCAGCAGCTCCATTCGCGTCTTTTTCAGATCGAAACGCGCCACCACGAAGAACGAGTCGTTCTGGACAATATATCCGCGTAAATAATAATTGCAAACTTGAGATGTTAATGTTTTACACTCTAGGATGATAATCAGTGTTTCAATAATTTTCCGATGATTGCGCCCTCGCATTTTTTTAACTCATCTTTTTATGATCGAAACGCAAAAATTAATGAAGTTCTGATCTTTTTCCAAGAAGAATTGTTTTAAAAACACTCCAAAACACCAAATAAACAATTATACAGGGTGATTCATTTTAATCTTAACAGAAATATTTTGAAAAATATGCGAGTCACGAAAAAATGTTTCAGACAAAAGTTATATGGTTATATTTAAAGTTATTTTTAAGAAAAAAATATGTAATTGTTAATTGCAAATTACATTTTCTTTCGAAACAACTATGTGTTTTCTTTACACCAATTAATTCCTCTGTGTTTTCTTTACACCAATTAATTCCTCGTTATTTTGTACATAAAATATTAAGGTAAGATAATCGAAAAATGAATATTTTACAAGATATTTTTACGGTTTATGTAAAATTAAAAAAACGATTTCAAGCCTCAACTCGGAAAGTACTTAATGAAAACTAAACTTAATTATAAAACTAAACTTAATTATAGTGTTTTGGAAAGCTCTCGAGATAAACTACAAGAATATTTAATAAAAAAGAGGCAGTTCTATTTAAAAAATTGAGGGTGATCTTCAAGTAACTATTCAAGATCAAATTAATGACACCTTATGTTTCCTTTAAAACCATATAACTTTTATCTGAAACATTTTTTCGTATCTCGCATATTTTTCAAAATATTTGCCTGTTAAGATTAAAATGAATCCTATATAACTGTGTATGTAACTGTTACATAACAGTTATATTATTGAGTGGGAAATTACAACTAACAGTTATATAACTGTTTATTTGATGTTTGCTGCGACATGTTTTCGTACCTTTTATTTTAATAAAAAATTGAGTCTCGATGGGTCGAATTCATCAGATCTTTGAAAGAAAATTGCTTACCTTGTTGTAATAGCAAGGATATCTGCTCTGCGCGGTCTGATTATCGCCATCCCGTCCGTGAGTGAGCAGAAATTGCCTGCACTCGCCTCTCAGGGTGTTGACACATCGCTCGAGGTTGATATATAATCGCGAGCTATTATAAATCGTCAGAGACTTTTGCGCCGGGACATAGGCGTTCGTGGGATCTGCCGGATACCGCAAGCTTTTCTCGTAGATTTTTAAGAAGCTCGTGAAGTTAATGGACGGTTGGGGGACCTTGATCTCGTTCAGCAAAGTGCCGTTCACGCAATCCTCCGTTCTGCGAGGGTAAACAAAAATATAACGCGTATCAATGACTTATCAGACATAAAGCGTAAAAATAGCGTGCTTTGAGGTGTATTTTTAGCTCGGCTTGCAGAAATAATCGTACGCTACTTTATTTTCCGCACACATTATTTGCTAACGCAATTTGTAGGTGTGTATCTTCGCAATGAAAAGGTTTGAGTGCATTTAAATCTAATATCCCTTGAATCTGATATTTATTTTTAAGGAATCCCATACATGGATTCCCTAAAAGCGGATTGAAGTTAATTATATTTGGGACGACCGTATCTCGGAGCCAATTACTTTTATTACAGAAATGCGTGTCACTTCTCCACATTTTTGCTTTCTTACGCGAGGGTATTTCCATAGCAACCATTGATCCAGCAGCTGAGTCTCTGACTCGCCCTAATATTTTCGCATATTTATCCCTTCTTATTTCATTGACGGTTTAATGAAATTTCGATCAGCTGGAATATAACTTGCGATTGATGAATCAAATTGTACTCGTTATAAATTTTATCAATACAGGTATCTACAAATAAAAATAAATATATGTATTATATAAATTTAAAAATGTATATATTATATAACTTTTTATTTTAAAAAAATAATTAAATATATATATGTGTATATCCTACAATATACATTTACTAAATACTTTATTGTGATTATATAATAATAATAATGACAAACTTGATGTTTAATTTTATTTAATAAAACAAGAAACAAGAAAATCGGAATTATTTTAATTCATACTGTCGCAATTCTATTTTTGTTCTGTAGACATGAAATGTCAAGGTCCGATTGATCAATACCTATGGCGACGCTATAAATCTTTTTTTGATGAGAAGGAGAGTGACAAAGATATTTTCTCCTTTCAATTATTTGACATAGCTCCAATAGTTACTGTGAATTTGATTCTTGAGGCTCTCGTCTTTCATTGAATCTCTCTATATCATTATATATTCTTATCTTATATATTATGATTTCTACATCTTCTATTTGAGTATCTCTATTCTATATTATAGATACTCAAGTATGACATACGTCAACAAATTTAGGTAAAACCCAATTAAATTAATTGCGATATATATATAAAGCTTTTTTAAAAAATTAACGTGTAGCAAAAAAATTAATATCTCACTCGAATAAAATTATTTGCAATGTATAAATAAAATATTGATAGCCCTCTTTACAATCAATATTATTTTAATCTCGTTTATGTTGATGATATTCAATTTTATAGTCTAAACTACGCAGACAATTTGATACACAACAAAATTTCAGTAAAACTCTTAAGAAAATTCTTAGAAGATTCTTAAAGAGAAATCTGTGATAAAAAATTTTATATTATTATAATTCGTCATTACCTGATGACCTGTTCACCCTGCGTCACCGCGAAACAGCTGGCGATGATGCTTCCGTTCTGCTCGTCCCAGATCTTAACGGGCTTGTCTAATCTGGTACCAGGCAGACTACCGTTTGCCCTGTTCAAGGCCATCCCGCGGGAGCATCTCGCGGAGATGACGCTGTTGTCCTGCATCAGATAAACGTTGATGTCGCTGGTGGAGATGTTCGGGCAGTATCGGTCGCAGTTGAAGGTGTTTTTGATCTTCGTGCATCTTGAATTCTGACAGCTGAAGAAGCCGTTCAGCTTCATGTTGTCCTTCTCGCTGTCGATGACGACACCGTCGGCCTTAACGTGGCAGAGCATCAGCTCGCTCATGTTCGAACAATGCCCGAGACTGCAGTTGAACACGCCCGTCAACATGCTGCACTCGCTGCCGTTGTTGCAGTTGTACTTCTTCATGCTCCCCATGTTTGCCTATTGACATTTCTCATTTTGATCACGTTTACCGAATTGAAATTCTTCTCATTATTAATTAAATTACATAACATTAATGTGTGAAATAATGTACATATATATTTCTTCGATAGAGGTGCGATCTTAGATTTATTTTTTTTACCTTGCAATTAGAATTATACATATAAAAATTGTTTTTAAAGCGTTTTATGACGTGTGTTTGACAACTGAATTAATTTTAGTTAAAAGGCGAATTCTCTGAAAGCATTTAAAAGTAAAATTTCACTCGAGACCTTTCCTCGAATACCTCACGAATTTTCACGCGCTGATTTTGCTCTCCCGTTACACAATCCGTTACGGAATAGGTAATTAACATTTTTTTTGTACGTGTAATTCCGTTACATGAAATTATTCTCTTAACAGAATATTCGAGGAATATCCTATATATCGCGTGCGTAATTAGAACCTCGCTGCTTTACACAATTTCATCAACATGGTTGCAAAAGACTATGCATTCTATAGTTTATACGGTATATTTTCTCGTCAACGTCATTAATTAAATCCATTACTTTCAGAATGTTTCGGGTCTGTTGGCAAAGCATTAGTGGTCAGCATACACTATGATGCCAAGGGCTCCTAAATATTCATATTCTTGTTGGGGCACTCCCTCGAGAATACCTGCCTCTCGCCCATTTGCTTGACGTTAGATTGAGATAATGAATGTAACTATTTTTAGCTACCTTACGCGCGATACCTCGAATTCTCTCACGAACGCCTGACAATCTTTTTCGGGTCAAACATGTATCGAGTTAGAAACAAATCAACAGAACTCGTGACAGTATTCATGAATTTTGATTGTGTTGGGAGTACGAATCACTCCACATATTTAATTAAATTCAGCATTAAGATGATTTCCGAAGACAGAATTAGTTTTACAGTTATATATCATACTACATTTTATCGTGATTTAATTTTCGTGAATTTCGCAGAGTGCAATGTTGCCTATAACGCCGTTTGCAAATAAGTTTTCTAATTGGAAACATTGTTGGGACAAGACCGGAGGGTTGTTCCTGATGATGTATCACAGCGAGGAAAATTTACGTATCATACATCTCTGTCGCTCCTGATGAACAGTATCTCCATAACGGATCATATTCGCTAAGTAATTACAATTAACAATGACAAAATATATTATGCAAATAATGAGGAAGAAAAGTTTTTTTTTTTTAATTTTTTAAGATCCTCTTGCAATCGATGCGTCGCACGCATATCATACGCAACAGATTTATAGTGGCGTTTTTTCTTCCTGAGAATATTACGAGAAGTTTTCCCTCTCTTTCATGGACTAAAAGCAACCGCTGTTGATTATAATCGATCCTTTGCGATGGTTGATGAACCGTTATATGGGAACGAAGATAAGAATACGAAGTGGGGTAGAAATTGAAGATCTTTCAAGTTAAAGACAAAAACCAGATGCAATTTTTTTTAATATAATTTTCAGAAATAGGCTAAAACTTTTTTATACACGAATTAAAAAATTTGCCGATGTATTTGTAGGCATTTGTATTACATTCTGCGAAGTACGTAAAATTTTCTATTGCAAAAATATGATATGAATATTGATCCGTTTGAATATTAATTTTTTTTCTTGTGAATCGTTATAGTAAAATTTGAATACTTGCGAACTCTTTATATCTTTTTATGAATAAAATTAAATTTTATCTGCAAACGATATTAAAACGGATAAAACGCGAATCATCTATCTACGTTAAAGTCGCGAATAATGTAGGTATTTTACATTCCTACCCCGTAAAAAATTTCATCGAGGTGACTGGTATAGCATCGACATTATATTTTAATGATAAATTGTGGGAAATGTCAATGTTATCGAGGATAAAGTTAAAGAGAACGGGGAATTGATCTCCAAGGGGTAGTTTCGATGTATAAAGCAAGTTTGCCGTCTTAATATAAGTCGCGAACGCTAGGAATTTGCAATAATTTCTAATAATGCGAAGCCATATTTTATTCGGTTGCAATTTAAATTTTCCGCAATGTTTTCTTCCACCCGATCCCGAAGAAATTGAACACACCACGAGCTTCTTCGGCAAAAATGTAATATCGCCATGAAATGGAAACGCCCACAAGACAAGTGCGGAAGCTTACGATCGGTTGGAAGTGTATTGTGAAAATAAAGTGATCGAAATCCAAACGAGATAAAGGACGTGATGTCCCCGTCTTCCGAGAAGAATTCTCGTACTTCGTCAAGAGGAAGAAGTTTTCGAGGAAAGGGATCATAGCAAGTTGCTCATCTTATTGTCTTTTCCGAGAATTATTTGCAAAGGATTCTCAAGTTGATTGCGTAATTATCCGAGATTGCACGTTTAATGGAGGTATCAAGAGTACGATCATGAAACTTTAATATAATATCAGATTTTGTAAATATTTTCAACCTGCCGAGGTTACATGAAGCTCGCTAATGAAATTTCCTCCTCCCTCAATTTTTGTTAATTTTAAAACTCATTTTACTTTGTAACTTTTTTAAGAAAAAGATTATTCGATTATTAGATTAAAGTAACATTTATATAAATTAATATTTTATTAATATTTTATTAATATTTATTTATTAATATATTTTAGAAATAAATTTATATAATTGTGTTTATGAAACTCTTTTTAATATATTCGTAGTATCTGATATGAAAACAAGTGGATTAGTAAATGAAACTAATTAATTGAATTAATGTTGAAACAAATAAATTTAATTGAAAATTTTTTCTCTTTTTCCTTCTCATTAGTAGATTACTCATTATTTATATTTTTTCAAAAAAACAAATAAGAAAAATTTGTATAAAATTCCATATTCTTGATTCTTAAAATTAAAATTTATTTCAAATAAAATTTATATATATTTTAAACGCAAGAGATGCTTTTTTGTATTATTTTTCGTCAAAATTTTTAAAGTTTCATAGCTTGATCTTTCCCACATATTTTAGAATTTTAGTATTTTTTACATACATGACATACGTGATTTAATTTTCCTGTTTTCTTTCTCAATATTTCAAACGCATTTGAAATACACATTTAGTCCGAATTTTCTGTAGCACAGTCGATATAACTGTGCCGCGGCTTGCAAGCAGAAATGTCGAAGCTTTACGCACCTCGGGGCATGCGATTGTGTTAAACTTGGTGCAGTTTTCGAAAATCACGTCGGTGCCGTTACGTCTCACAGTCGCGTGCAGCTGAGCACAAAAGCCGCTGGTTTTCGTCAAGCACCATTCGCCGCAGCTCGCCCAGGCACAATTGTTCACCATCGTGGCATTAACAGTTTGGCACATCACCGGTTCCGGCTCGATACCGATGTGAAAGGCTCTAAAATTAATTATCCGGGATCGTGAATTAGCACGATCATGAATGACCTTAGAAATAACATTTTCATAGCTTCATCTCGAGGTTAAAATTCTCGAGGGAAGAGAGTAATAATCGAGTAGTTTGTGGAATAACTGGAATAACTCTGCTAAATAACGCTATTTCTGCGGAAAATGAGTATTTCGCGGGAAAATAAATCTGTCAGATCATCTAGAAAAGAGAAAAATTAAATAGAATAAGTAAATAAAAAATAATTCCTAATAAATTAAGTAAAATAAATAAATACGAAAATCTTCTAATAAATTAAATAAATAAATAAGAAAATTGTTAATAAATTAAGTAAAATAAATAAATATATTATAAAAAAATTTCTAATAAATGAAATAAAATAAATAAACAAGCAAATTTCTAATAAAATAAATAAAATACATAAATATAATATATAAAAAAATTTCTTATAAATTAGGAATCACGAAAACAATGGAATTTCTTAAATAAATAAATAAGAAGAGTAATAATCGAGTAGTTTGTGGAATAACTGGAATAACTCTGCTAAATAACGCTATTTCTGCGGAAAATGAGTATTTCGCGGGAAAATAAATCTGTCAGATCATCTAGTAAAGAGAAAAATTAAATAGAATAAGTAAATAAAAAATAATTCCTAATAAATTAAGTAAAATAAATAAATACAAAAATTTCTAATAAATTAAATAAATAAATAAGAAAATTTTTAATAAATTAAGTAAAATAAATAAATATATTATAAAAAAATTTCTAATAAATGAAATAAAATAAATAAACAAGCAAATTTCTAATAAAATAAATAAAATACATAAATATAATATATAAAAAAATTTCTTATAAATTAGGAATCACGAAAACAATGGAATTTCTTAAATAAATAAATAAGAAAATTTCTAATAAATTAAATAAAATATATAAATATAATATATAAAAAAATTTCTTATAAATTAGGAATCACGAAAACAATGGAACTGATGTTCGGCTACAGCAAAAATAAAAATTCTAATAGAAAAATTAAATCAAATAATTTCTAAATAAATAAAATAAATAAATAAGAAAATTTCTGATAAATTAAGTAAAATAAATAAATATAATATAAACAATTTTCTAATAAATTAGGAAATATTACGTGGCTCTTTACCTGTACGACGGGGCGTAGATCGCCACGCTGAGGTAGACCAAGGCCACGCAACTGATGACGAAAGTAAGTTGGAAGAAGCATATGCTACCGCAAATCCTGCGATCCTGTTCCGGTATCAGGCGACGCTTCTGTTTCCGGCCCATCGCGTGACACTTTGCGATTTAGATTTATGTGCACCTGTGTCGTTTTGCAAAATTTTCCCCGTTGGATTTTTCCAATTAGCGCAAATTTTAATCCTTCCGACTCACAGAAACGTAACAGGCGAGCGTATCTGATGATGATGATGATGATGATGACGATGATGTCGACGCAAACTTGTCGATTATTCCATCCGTCGAAATTTTGACGTTCGACCTCTCATCGATCGTGTTAGAACGCGCGAAAATTAGTTCCCTCCGAATTTGACAGTCTTCCCGTAAAGTCGAATGTCGCGTACGTTATATTTCGCCTTCTCTCTCTCTGCAAGTACATGATATAAAAAGCCAGGCGACTTGATGTCGACATTTCATTACTGTCGTAGCGCGTGCGGCTATAGTAGCTTTGTAAAAGTTTAATCGCCGTCTCGCCCGAAGAGAACAACAAGCCAAGAGATCAGTGGACTGTACTAAGAATCGATTGTTCGCAGCGACTCCATTTTTTTTCCTTTCGCGACAAAATATTGTTTGCTGGAAATTCAGCGAGCAAAATATTTCGTTACGGATCTCTTTCTCCTTCTCTCTCTCTGTTTACTTCCCCGATGCTATCTATCCGTTTGAAGAGCGAAAGTTTGCGAGGTCGGTCGGGACAGAAAAATGCGTATGCCACGATTCTTCTATCGATTAAACGATTTCGTTGCCGTTCTCTTCTACGAGCACAAACACGCATCGATCATCGTATCAATTCGTTACAAAATATACGCGGGCCTTGAACTTTGAGAATTTATATTTCTCGAAAAACGGAGGATATTTTTTTTAATAACAATAATAATAAAATAATAGTTTTTACTGGATGATTAACGATGAAAATTGAAACACTAATATTCGAATCGAATTAGAGCGACGCGACTTAATTAATTCCGTTTAACGCGTTGGCGGTTCTGAATAATACCGCTATAGATCCATGTACGACTCATCAGACACGTGACTCACAATCCTCTGAATCTCCAATTCTACTGAATTCTACGGAAGGGTTGTCTCACTTTTTTGACTGGGGATGACCTACGTTGATTTAAGCTGGCGCGCGATTAGCCGTTCGTCGATAGGTCGAAAACTGTGTAACTTGCAAAGAGGCCTCTTTATATGTTTACGGACCCTCCCTGTTCTTTCGCTAAACACGTTCGATCCGCCCGATGCACTTAGAGCAATTACCACGTATTAACTTCATTAACGTCGAGCGACCGCTTGATGATCTTTATGTATAAAAAAAGTCGCTATCGATTTCAGATTCCTGCGTTTTCCCTTATTATCGTTAACATTTCATTTATATCGTTGCCGAGAATTTTTGAGGATATAATTCGATTCTTCAAACTGATGTATTCTTGAAATGAGTATCTCCCTCTCTCTCTCCAGATGTTTCTTGTTTTACGTAAAATTTCCTTCGGTATATTTCTCAAAGTAATGTCAACACGCTTTGTTATTCACGCACAGGAAAGTGGCACGTTTCTGCGTTTCTCATATGGGGAAAATCGATCTTTGTGTAAGGGAGAGAAAAAAAGAGAGATGCTTGTCTGGAGGACATCCACGACAGCACGATGAAGTCCTTAATGGTTGTTCCATTTGCGAATAACCTTGAACTGAACGATTATCTTGCCGATAATACCTTAGAGATTCTTGTTCCTGTCTCGTTAAACAATAGGATATTTAATCGCTTCTCTTCATCTCTTTGGAATGTTTTATCACGCATGCATATCTTTATAATATCTCCTGAGAGGTATTTTTCCTTTTTCGTAAAATTAATTATGATTTTTCATGAAATAAAAACTATTAACAGGAATGATTCGAAATGTAATTCTTGCAAATTTATTGTTCGTCGGTCTGAATTTTTGGGAAGAACTTTGGTTTCTCTTGAAAATTCTGTGAGATCTCTATAACACTTTGCATTGTCTGATTAAACGCAAATATCTACTACTCGTGTAAAACGAGTTTCCAATAAAATCCAAACTGCTTTAACTTTGAGCTTGTCGAGTGTTTCGACTTTTTTTTTAAAGGTATCAAGTATTCCTTCAGAGGAAAAGTTTTTCCGCTCGATCATTGATTTTAAGCATTTGATACCAAATAATTACATTCTTTTTCTATAAGAAGATGATAATTCTTTTGCGAAATTTCGGCGATTCTTATTTTGTAAGAAATGTAATCAGATTTGCTCAGTAATTTATTCGTGTTTTTATTAAAATGAAGTGTCTTTGTAAGATGTTCTAAAATTTGTTGTACGTTTCAAAATCTTATCGAGATGAATTTTTCAGATCAAAATTGAAGGAGAATCCGCGATATTTTCTCATAACGTACATTGCTTTTTTTTCTATTCACTTCACTCTTCATTGAAATAATTTACACTTTATTGATGAGCACACAAGTAATGTTTCGCAGAATTGATCGCAGAAACCAATCATGTCATTTAACCGCGAAGATTAATTTCATGTGCGCGCGATTAACGCGATTTTGAGTCATCGAGGTTGAAGAATAATTTTACGAGTATCTCGGTCCATGATTTGCACAATCGTCTCTTTGTCGCAATTTTTTCATCTCGAGGAAGGGAGTCGCGTTCACGCACCAAGTAGCCATGCGATCAACCAGCTTCGACCACTGTTTGAAAACAAGTCTGCCAGTCGGTGATGCGACTCGCAAGCTCTGTCACACGGAGTTTGCGCCGTGGTATATCGCGTTTTTCATGGGGGTGGGAATCGCTTCCATGGTGGAATGCCCGAATAAAACGTCGAACCGCAAGTTCAGACTGGCCTCATCCTGTGGTAGGGACGTCACTCGAGTGAAGCAAAGCAGCTTTTTAAGATGAAAAACTTTATAAAATTTAGCAATTTCTATTTTTAGTTTGTCAAACAGCTGTTTCTTATTTTATAATACCAAAGAATAATTTAATTATATATTTAAAATAATTAGTAAATATTTAATATATTTTTATATAAAATATAATGCATAAAAATTTATAAGAATATTATTATGCGATTATGCATAAATTTGTAATATAATGTCTTGCTTAAAATCGAAAGAAGAACATTATTTATTTTTATTATGTAATGATAGATAGATATTTATCATTCTGCAAGTACATTATTTTTTACTTTCGTTTATTTCGCGTTTTATTATTTATTTTGTTTAGATTATCTTGTATTTTGTAAGCAAAATTGCACCTGTGGGATTGTCAACAAATAGAATATATAAATATTACGTTATGAAATGTGAAACCACATTTATCGTACATCATGAATTATAAGTATAGCTTCATGAAACATAAAGTCAGTCGGTATCTTTTTTATCGATTTAGATTCATCCCCTCGATATCAACTCAGTAGGGCGGGGTGTTAGTTCCGCTGAAACAATTATGACCTTGACTGAAAGGTCAAATGTAGTGCTCGTTTAGTGCTATATAATTCTCGCATAATACATGCAAGAATTTTCCAAGTAATGTCAAAGTTAGGACTTGGTACGTAGCACAACTAAATTTTATTTTTGTTATAATAGTAGTTTGTAGTAACTTGTTGGCAAATTTCTCGCACTTTGAAACTATTTTCTAAAATAGAATAAGTTTGTTTCTTAAACAACTTCATAATAATTTAATTAAAAAAATATATATATATTTATTTATTTATTAATCATTTATTTATAATAATTTAATTAAAAATGTTTACATACATATATATATATATATTTATAGGTATATATATATATATAAATTTATTTATTATGTATTATTTATTTTACTTATACATACATTTTTTATAGTAAAAATTTATATAAATTATGAATATTATATTATGATATATATATATATATATATATATATATAATATTCATAATTATATATATAAATATATATATATATATATATATATAATATTCACAATATAATATTCATAATTTATATAAATTTATATATATATATATATATAATGAAAAATGTTAAAGAAAATGCTGAGAAGCGAAGAAAAAAATATAATGGATGCATTATTAACATAAAATACACTGTCTATTAAATTTAATTAATTCAATTTACTGACACAGAGGTGAGATAAAAATTAATTTAAAATACCTCTTGAAAAGTGACATCTGAGGGAAATGATTAGAAAGAATCAGCGCGATTAACAGAAAACGATATCTTTATATATTTTAAACGAAGTCATACAATCTCTTATTTACAATAGTCCGTTTGTATATCGCAGAACGATCACGGTTTATATATATCGTATATATAATGTATGTATTATGTACAATATATATATTTATGATACAGTTACGCGTATGAAGCGGTGAACGATTTGAAAATTTTCGAGTAGAGAGAAAGGAAGCATCTCAAAGAAAATATATATATATATATATATATATATATATATATATAATTTTCTCATTTATATATTATAAACTTTTTTGCATATAAGGAAAAAGAGAGAGAGAGAGAGAAATAATGTCTCGGTATGATATAAATGTCCAGCTGTAGTAAGTGCGATTACTATTACAGTAGTCAAATAACATTACATATAGGACATATAATATGTAAAGGTAATTTTATATAATGTTTGCATTTTATATAATGTTTGCATGCACGCGCGTTTACGAATCGATCGAAGACAAACAGCGCTCGATCGTTACTTTCAGATCGAATGTAATAGCTAGATCGTAGAATGTATGGAAATATAGAATTTTTAATATCTCGTTTTATTATTCAACTCCGTGCTCGATTACTTGTCAGTTAAAATCGCTTGAATAATTCTTTACGCTACTTTTTTTTTCACCCTTGCATATAAATCGTCTGAATATACTAGAATTTGTTCACCTATCTAAGGAGGGATCTTAAACAAATATTTGCACCTTAATTTGCATCTTCCCATACGTATAAGTCGTGATGACAATAAATTTTCTGATTACATCTAAAATATACATGTGTGTATACATATTTTTCTTTTCGTACGATTTTTAATCAATTTTTCTATTTCTTACTTAAGATAAAATTGGATCGATAGTTTATCCGAATACTGGAAAATATCGAGAAAATTTCAGGGATTTCAAGTTCTTCGATAGAACGAAACCTTGTTTAAGTAAATCGAATGAAAAGAGCCATATCCGCTTGAGATCCCCAGTCTATAATACATGATCTTCTCTCGCAATATTCTATCAAAATGCTGTCTACGACGATTGCGATCGGCTAGTCGAGCTACCGAATTTAATTGGCACTAGAACCGATACGTGATGCGAGATTCGTGGCTAATACGCGTTTCTAGATTGTCCGCGTAAGCTTTCCTGGTGTTTCGCTCGAAAGCTTGAATTTTAATATCACACAAGAGTTCTAATTCTAACCGAAGATATGAAAATCTTGCGATGACCTCGACGGCAAACTAGATTGCAATTTTTGCGAAAAGCGCGACAAGCGGATACACCGTGAATTTGATTTGCGCCGTCGTTTCGTTGATTGTGAGCATCTTTGAGCAAGAGTCGTCGCGAAAAAGAGTGTACAAGTCAAGCAGGAGTCTTTCGATTTTGCATTTTCGATGCTCCGGTCTTTCAAACGCAACTTATTCACCTAAAAATCATCCGATCGTTAATTTTGATTTCTTTTTAACGTTACATCGAAATGTATGTCACGCATGATTCCAATTTAACGCTCTCATTTCAAGTCATCCAGATTGTCTAACGATGAAAGAGACCCGGACAAAATTGCGTTGAGTTAATACGAGATAAAATCGACGGACATCTGCGATTCGTAGACGATCAAAAGCGATCAGTCGTAACGAAAATTATACTAGCAAGCTTCAGGTGGGGAATGAGTGCCAAAACGCAGGGTCCACGGGAAGCTGCTGCCTCGTGGGAGCAACTTCTAACGTCAAGGACACCTAGAGTAAGGCCGAGTAAGGATTCACAACCATACCAGATGTGAAAGGTTACGACATGGTTTCCAGTAGGCTTAGAAACGAACGTTATTTAATCGTTCAATCCACGACGTTTTTTTTTTAACATAATTCAACTATTGAACTGACGAAAGTGAAATACACCTTGAGATATATAAAGTAATTAATTTATTTTTAATTACTTACTTTTTCGTTCATTAAATTAAATCCAATCGTCATCCATTAGATTAAATCCAATTATCTAATATGTACTCATATTGTCTTGTGCACTTTAGTGACGTCATCAATCAAAATTAAAAATAACTTATTATCTACATTAGTTGACACATAATATTTAATTTAATTTTTAATTATTGCTAAGCGATTGAGAATTTAATGATGAAGAACGTTTCGTTTCGTAGCTCATGGAACGTAGCTCGCGCTTCCTTGCAAACAATCAAATTAAAAGTTCTCTTTATACCTCTATATGCGACTATAAACTATGCGCACGGTACATACCAGCGTTCTCAGGTGCGTTTTTTATGCATTAATTGCGTAATGCACGCGTTTATATTCTCTCTTTCGTATATATTTATATATATCTTTTCTCTAACTAGAATCCACGATACGTGACTTGCGTCCGCGTACAAAATTCGTAACAACTCTTATATCGATTTCGCGATTGTATTACGATCGGTAATATTCACAGACTTAACTTACGGTCTAGCCTTAACTTACGTTTCTTGGTGCGGAGGCGGATTTTGGCAGCTAATCGCGTCGCTCGCTTTTTTTTTTCTCTCATAAAATATATTCGCAAGATTGTCAATATCAGCTGATATCGAGAATGAATTGTCTTCCTTTGACGGAGTCTCTATAAAATGTAAATCAGAACTTTTTGTTTTCATTTTGTTGAAAGGATAATTAAATTCTTTTTCATTTTTCGAAATATATATCTCGTTTACGCATTTCTGAAACTATGCAAACGTAATTTGTCCTAAGGAAACGAGATCAGAGGAAAAATCCGCGCTAATAATTCAGACAAAGAGTGAGAAAGGGATAATTATGTAAATAGTGCAGCGAACAACGCGATTAGCCTGATCAGAGTCCGCGTTGGAGTCCATTTCTTAATGAATTGCGCCGAGCCGCAAGCTCGCACTGCTTCCATCGATACTTCACGAAAGGGCAGCTTACGTGACCTTAATCGTAAATTCACGGCCGTACTTAACTTAGTCTAAACCCGATGCTGCTATAAAAAAAAAAATGAAAATCGGTGCCGTTTAAAAACTATCTTCTTTTACTTGAATTATCACGCAAATAGGAAGGCGCGCCTCTATCACGGATTAAGCTCGAAACACGGGGCAGGCCGTCGTTTATTTCCAGAAAATTTCATTACGCAGCTATGCTGTTGAATAATTTAACAGGCATTAGCATTCGATACCGATATTATCCATTGAATATTAATCTGCAATGTATAACGTAATATTTCTTTTCATGAATGCATTATGGCACCGCCATGTGTTTCGGGCTAGATATACCTCGAATACTGATAGATGATTGAAGAGTCCGTGCTCTCACACATCCACGACCTACTTTACATCATAAATTTAAGGTTTAATCTTCGTAAGGACTCGCGCGAGCGATGGTCTCCGATTTGTTACTTTGCTAATTTTTATTTATATAAATCCGACATTATCTTTATATCGAATAAGTGCGTACAACTAATCTCAGTGCATAATCATAATCGAAAAAGAGAAAGAGAAATAGAGAGAGAAAGAGAGAAATATTTGTATACTTCATTGGAAACCTAGGCGCATGTTTCATATTTATTGAAAGCATGATCCAGAGTAGATTTAGAGAACAAAGTAAGTCGGATGTAGCGTTAGAAGCATAGTTTCAAGTGATCTCGTAAGAAGCGAGAACGACGAGACACGTTTGCTCGACTTCGCAAATTTTTCTTGTCTAAAAAGAAAACGCTCTATTGCTCTCGATCGCTTAAATTTATAAAGTAAAGTACGCTGGAGTCACTCGGAGATTATTTCGCTGGCATCACTCCCGCGCCGGGGGGTGAGCCCTTGGTAGCAGTCAGTATTCCTCTTCGTCTTCCTCGAACTCGTCCTCTGCCAAGATGCTGCAATAGCCAAAAACGATGTTAAAAAAAAGAGAAGTCGAAATTACACAAGATTACAGAGCCATAGCTTTGACAATTTGAAAAAAATCCTTACAAAAAATGCTCGAGTGCCAAAAATAAAAAAATACTTGTCATATATCATGAAATGGAAAATTATTTAATATATGACTTAAGGATATTTTATATATACAATCCCAGCAAAAAGTAGCTGAAAATCAATATTGACGAATATATCTACTTTTGGTGTATTTGAAATTGCGTGGAATATTACAATTTGATTTTAGCTTGCAATTGATATGATCTTTGTCACATAATTATTACATCAAAAAGAGACTCAATCTATTAAATTAAAATATATTGAATTAAATTAACATGTAATTAAATAATTGATTAATTATATTAATTAAATAATTAATTATTTAATTATATTTATAATAAATTTTATTAAGGATGTTTTGTATGTACTTTTAGTGTATTTTAAGTATGAGAAATTGTGTGGAATATTAATTAAATATTTATATATATATCGAATAAAAAAGATTAATAAGATCTAATAATATAAATATAATATAAATATGATAAAATCTATAAAATATATAATAATTATTAAAAAAAATAATTATTAAAAATTATATTAATATTTTAAGGATGTTTTGTATGTACAATCCCAGCAAAAAGTAGTTGGAAATCAATATTGACGAATATCCACTTTTGGTGTATTTTGAGTAAGAAATTGTGTGGAATATTTTTTAAATATTTATATTGCGTTTTTACTGAAATATTCCGAATTTTGTTAATCGAAATAATTAACTTTTGGCAGAGAATTTCGCCTTTTGACAGATACATGGCTAACTTCATTGAATTTTATTTAATATCTTTTTACCCAGTTAGTACTTGTATAATATTATTTGACCAAATATTTCCTCTGTATCTAAACTTTTGCAAATTTTAAACAAATTCTGAATATTATTTCCATGTGTTTTTGTCATTCGAATCGACGTGGTTATACGTTTCCCATAAAAAAAAACACATGTTAATTCGGTGCAAATTAAAATCCTTCTAACTTGTGAACGCTTTAGTGAATCGATTTAAAAATTGTACCGAAGATTCTAAACGTAAGGACATTCTGTACAATTTTCATGAAATTCTCAATATTTCGAAAATAGGTACAAAACATCCTTAAGAGAATAAAATGTAAATATTCAAGAGATTTATCGATATTTTGATTTACAGAGATATTCGATTGTCGCCCACCTAAAATTTGAAGAAAAAAAATTGTGTAAGAAAAGTATGATCTCCGCCAGCCGCATCGGGCGATGCATACATACACTTACTCTTCCTTTCTAGCATACTTGTCGATGAGATTGCGACCCGGTCCGCCGCAGGTTTTGCCCATCGGCGGGCAATACCAGTAGCAAAGCACGCCGAGCGTCGCGGCGAAGAGCACTATGGGCACGATCAAGGCCAGCACCAAGTGCCTGAGGTTCTCATCCCACGAATATCTGCGGATATAAGATAGATTATACTCTGTCCCAATCAGGAATCGACGTATCATCCGTAGACATCGATATTCGGGGGTGATAACTGCCAATATCCACGATATCGCTTATGTTGAAGCTGGTACCTCGGCGAGTTTTGAATCGCTATCTAATCGATCGTACCTTGCAACAACCGTTTCCGGATGCGTCCTGCTGTAGTAGCAGGGAAATATCTTGCCCATATTCTCGTAGGCGTATTTCTTCGCGAAGGCAGAACAGTTGACCCTGGGCGGGTAACCGCAACCTTCCGTGTTGACGAAGAATTCGGTGTCGGCGACGTCCCACGGCACCGAGCCCTGCGGCTTCGCCACGAACTCCTCGTACGGGAGCCTGGTGTAGTTGACCTTAATCTGATGACAACGAATCGCGGCACTGGTGCAACCTACAACGGTGTTAAATCTTGACATCGATGTTCTCGGGGAGAGATCGGGAGGACTCACCTTCCCTGCAGCTCGCCCACGAGCAGTTCTTCAGGCCCTCCGCGTAAACGTGACTCGTACTCACGCAGGCAACCGGGTGCGGCGAGAAGTCCGCGAGTATGGTGGTTATCGCCGGCTCGACGACGAACGGTATCAGGAACAGGAAGGCGAAGACGGAGAGGATTGCCGTGGTGCCCATGCAGAGGGAGGTGTAGAACTTGGCCTTCTCGATCATGGCGCCGATCTTGGACTCCTCCACCTGGACGCCCATTATCACTGTCGACTCGTCGGACTCAATGATTGCGGCTTTGGTGGGCCACGTGCGGGCCCTACTCGTGACACGAACGACTTGAAAATACCCGAATGATGCGGACAGGCCACGAACGGCCGATCGAAACGCGCGTTGGGATATACGTGCTCTTGTGGTCTTATCGCATCTTGATTCGCATCGTGGGCCTCTCTTATCCGACGATTACAGCGGAAATGGAAATAATTTTCCTCGACTCTCGGAGATGACAGAATATTATATCTGCAACAGATCTGCGACGTTGAAGAGATTGGCTTGAGGCTCGAGACACAATCCAAAAATATTCGAGATCGAACGAGATATGTAAAATCTGACGAGTGCGCTAATCAAAATCGATCAAAAATCAATTTTGCTTGATTCGAATAAAGCAGGGCTTATAAGTGTAAAAATTGAACCGGCTTGAAAAATTCTCTAAGCTTTGAGTACAATGATTCTTGATATGAAGAAGATCTTCGAGTTCATGTAGGCCGTTGATTTGCGCCGATATTATTATTGGATCGCTCGTGTATATCTATCCGTACTTCTAATGGTTATGAAATTATTAAGCAAGCGAGTTATCGAGAGCTCGTCCTGAGTCGATCATCCATCGGCGAAGGCGCGTCTCCTGGTTGTTAGTCACTCTTCAGCTATTCGCTAGCTAGGTCACGGCAAATCAATCAGAAAAGGGGAACCTCTTAAAGGACTACAAATGCGTCACGTGTGAAAGATGTCTCTGAACTCTGGGTGAATCTCCTCGTCTTTCTAGCGATTGGGTCCTTTTCAATGAGAGAATCGTGCCGAATTGTACATTCGATGTCGTGATGTCGCCTCTTCATGTCACATAAGCATGCATGTGCGTTCTTCCAAATATTTGGTGCAGGCAGTGCGAGTAGATAAATTCTTCTTGGTATTTTTTTTTTTTTTGTTCTTTAACCGCTCCTCCGTTCTTTTCGCTCAGATACTTTTGCAGGAATGTGCACGTGTGGCTTGTTTGTTTTATTAAATTGCAAGATGAGAATTTTTTGATCACGCGTTCCCCCCCTCCCCACACCTCAATAATGCCCGCGCAGGGAGAATATCGACTGACGAGCCGGACTCTCCTCCAGGAGGGGAATGCCTGTTAACACAACATTAGAAATATACATGTATTGCAATATTGCAACAAGGGTGGCCGTAATTGTCTATCGAGGAACAGTTTGCGGAGAATTATCTTTCCGATTTTAATGAACTTTGAACTTTGTAGAATGGCATGAAATTGAGAAACAGCACAGTCTAGTACAGCTTTTTAGCTACTGTGAATGATGACAATATATATATCAATTTGAAAGTAATTTACAAATAAAATTTCAATCCAGATTCAGAATACATCATTCATATATTTATATTTATGTTATTTATATTCACGTATCAAAATCTAAATCTCTCTTTTTTTGTAATTTTGATATATATTTATGAATTTTATATATTTTAAATATCTTGAGATATTAACAGCAAAATTCATAAATATATATATTAAATTATTAATATATAATTAATGTATTATAATTAGTTATTTATATATAAAAATATAAAATATATAATAGTTTTAGTAATTTGTGTGAAATATGAGTAATTATTACAATATCGAGTAAATATTAAAGAGAAAAACACACGTGCTTTCTATTTGAAAATATTCTACAAAATATCCAAAGCTCATGACACATTTCCTTAAGATTAAAAAAAAAGATTTTATAATAAGTATGTGGAAAAAAAGAAAAATTCAACGTACTTATTCTTTAGGTCTACAATTTATATTTTATTAAAATTACAATATCTCTTTTTATATCATGCCATGCTTATATATAGTATATACGATAGATTTATAAACTAGAAAAATTGCTACACTGACAAAGATTATTAATTGTAATGTAAAAATAATTGTCGCAAGACGATTGTACTTTAATTGGACTTTCGATCGAATGAGAGAGAGAGAGAGAGAGAGACACGACTCTACAATTAATTAGATCGGTGAAATGTCAAGGTTGATCTAATTCTAGAAGAAATAAATCTTGAAATCTTTTCGTGATTTGAAGAGACCGAAAAAATGCAGCGATATAATCAGCTACGTAACAACCATGCCGCTCAAGACCGCCACCATTTTCTGCCCAACTGAAATGTTTCTTACGTGACGGATCTCAGAGCGCCATAACAGAATCTCCTCCGCCAGCATCCCCTAAATTGCCCGACGCGCTCCTCTCTATCGAGACCAGCGTGCCGGGCTTGCCCTTGAACCTCATTTTAGCGTCGTCCCCGACGACGACTGTCCTCTGACAGAAGATCAGAGTCACGCAGCTGACGACAAACAGGATACTCGGCAGCAATAGGGCGATTAAGAACTCTTTATAGGTCGTCTCGAGATCGAAACGAGACACGACAACGTCCGTGTTGTCCTCTGCGTAGTAACACGGGAATCTGGCGCGGGCGTTATGGTCGGATCCGTCCTTCCCGTACTTGTGAAGGAAGTCCTTGCACTCGTCCCGAAGTGTGTTGACGCATCCCTCGAGATTGATGAGCAGCCGGCTCTCGTTGGCGATGATCAGGCTCTGCTCCGGTGGCGCGACCTGCTTGTCGAGGGGTTTCGTGGCGTATAAAAACAGGTAGGACAGATACGTGAAGTTGGTCAGGTCGGTCAGCAGGTCCTTCTCCAGCACGGAACCGTTGATGCAATCCACCGCCTCCACGCCCATCGTGGAGTTGAAGATCCCGTAGCAAGACGCCATCATGACGTCGCCCCGATCCTCGTGCCAGATCTCCCGATTCGTCTCCACGTCTATCGCTCGCTCGCACTGGCTCAGGTACACCTTGTCGCCGCTCATGAGGATCATATTCTTGTTCCTGGTCGGGATGTCGACGCACCTGCGATCGCAGTTGTACGGGGTACGTATGCGCTCGCAGGTGCCGCGATTACAGTTGAACAAACCGTCTATGTCGATGCAGGTGATCTTCCCGCGACGACCGGAACACTTGAGGGGCGGATCCGTGTCGTGGAACATGCACTCGAAGGCGTCGGTGATGTTGATGCAGGTGCCCCCGGAGCAGTTGAAGGTGCCGGTGAGATTGCGGCACTCGTCCGCGATGCACTTGGAACGCTTCGCGTTCTCCTGATCGATGCCGTAGCACGTTTTGTTGGTCGTGTTCGTACAGTTCGCCAGTAGGATCGTCGAGCCGTTCCTACGCAAGTTCACGTGGATCTGCGCGCACGGCCCGGACGTCTTGGACAGGCACCACTCGCCGCAGCTGCCCCAATCGCAATTGTCGGCGTTCACCGCGCGAATCGTCGTGCACATCGCTGGCACCTCGCTGATGCCCGATTGGGACGCCCGTCCCCAGGGCATGTAGATCGCGACCGTGAGGTACACCAGCGCGACCGACGACAGCACCATCGTCATCTGGCAGATGCAAATCGTGCCGCAGATGCGGCCATCCTGCGGCGGTATCACCAGGTTCTCCACCGGGACTGGTTTCGGCATCTTGCTCCGGTTGGTTGGATTGATCACTCGACCGGTCGCCAATCGATCGTCCCTCTACTCGCGTTTGTTCATCTTATGCGGGCGAAAGTGCGTAGCTGGTCTACTGCGTCGAACGCGCTATTTGTATTCGCTCGGGTTGAAGTAGAGTCGAGTACGATGATTTAAGAGCTGCAAGAGTCTATAAATCAGTTGGAGATTCTTGATATTTTGCGCCAACGTTCGCGAGGATGCCGGTTCGTTCACGAGTTGTCTGACATTCTGATAAGATACGCCGAGTAAAAATCTTGAAATCAAGTCGTATATTTGTTTTAGGCCCTTATGTAAGTCGAAACTCCTCGACAAGGCCTGCGCGACGCGTGTTTCTGGATGGAGAACGGAAATTACCTTAAAAGAGACAGCTCCATCAATCGGGGCGGGTTTCTCAGATAGTCTCAGCCACCAAGAGCCGCGAGTTTAGTTGTATTTCTTGCCGACACCGGCTGTCTTTTCTACATCTTGCAGGATTCAACGCGCGTAAAACTCTTGGCGTCGCCGCAACATTTCGCAAACTCGACGCGTGGCACGTTAGAACCCAGCTTTTCTCCTCGAGAAGCACTTAGCACTGACGTTTTGCGTTTCTCGCGAGCCCACCGAAGCTCGCTCTACGAAAAGACGCGAACGCACGTTCGCATCGTCAGTTTCACGCAAGGGAAGTCTCTCCTTTTTACCGCAGGACGAGTCCACCGCCCGCGCGCTATTCTGCCCTGGTCCTCGTGTGACATGGAACCCTCGCAGAGGCGCACATCGATCCACGTTGCCGTGCGACTGCGCGTCGTCCAACTGCAACGTGCGCTGACGCTTACCGCAGTTGACGTCATTATATGCCGCGAAGACGCTAAAGGGGATGATGATGCGGAATGATTTTTAGAGAGGCGAGACCTCAGAGGGGCGGCGATTTTTCAAAACAACCGCTTCCTGTCACGACGCAAATGCACACACTGAGAAGAAAATCTGGTTGCATTAATTAGAATTCTGGTAGATTCAACCAGTATGTCTGTAGGAAAATGGACGAACCAGAATTCTTGTAGGAATTACCAGATGAATCTGATTAATTTCTTGCTGTTAAATTTATCAAATTTTTTGGTAATAATACTAAATACTAATATTATAAATTTTCTGGTTAATAATACTAAACTCCCCAGTACCAAGTCGTCTAAAATTTTTTCCATCTAATCTCAAAAGCCCGTTTAATATTCTAAATTCCAACATGATTATTGCATAAATTCAATCCAGATTATTGAATAAATTATTTTAAATTCAGTTTGTTAGAAATTAAACTGATAAACAATGATGCAAGAAGAGGATGCAACTCAAACGCACATAATCAGGGAGCTAGCGTCCTTTTTCTGGCACTACTGCTTGTAAGAGAAAAAAAATATATAGTTTGGATTTAATGTTGATACTAGTTCTTTATATACATTTCATAGCAAATATTTAATACGAGTAAAGTTAAGAGTGGAAATTTTATAGATTTAACCAGAAAATGCTAATCAAATCCTTATAGTAAAATCTATTGAATGCTAATTATCAAAAATCGAGTCTTCATCATGATAAAAATTCTTGTTTGATTTAACCAAAATGCCTTCAACCATATACGTTTTCTTGATACAATCAAACGATTTTTCTCAGTGCAATTCGTGCGAATTCTCGAAGCTGAAGAGCGATATCTGCTGTTTTTTTTCGTCCTGGAAAACTCGCGAGGCTTGCAAGAGTACTCGAATTAATTTCAGTTTCTAGAAATTTTGCCCCGCGTCTGAATCAGGTACAGCTGTCGTGTCGTTTTCTGAAGAAAGTTCCCAAAGTAGTCTAGTGTATCACGATAAAATTGTAAAGGAACTGTTACGAGGCGTATAAAGTAGGCTAAAACAACACAACAATTTCCAGCTGCGGATGAAATTAGATGTATATGCATTGCGGCTGATGGCCTATGCAAAGTTTCTCAACTAGGTCGACAACCATCCACGTTTCCATGCGCACTATTAAAATGATCGACAATATCTAGCACGCAGCATAATTTTTTCGCCCCTTGTATTTTCGATTGTTATCCGAAAGGCAGCCGTCAGAGTTGATTTATTGGTATCGTCGATATTTATGATTACGTAGATCAATTCTGGGAATAAATAGGTACAACTGCTGCGCCAGAGGATCGTAAACTTTTACATGATATTAAAGTTTTATATCTTCTCTAATATACCGGAATACACGTTTTCTCTAAAAATCCCATAAAACCTTTTACAGCTGCCGCCAACGTAAATATACAATTTCATGAATTTTTTATTTCTCCGTATTCCTGGCACTGAAATGATCCTTTCGGTGAGCAAAATCCGCAAGCATCCCTCGAGCAAGATCGATCTCTCTTGAATAGTTAGAAAAAAAAATATATCCAAAATCCCTTTCAGGAATAAAGCAATCGCTCTTTTCTCGTTTTTGCAAAACGAGCGTGTATCGAGCGATATCGTGACACAATTTCGCTAACGACCTTCGCGAGACCCAGAGTTTGACTGGAGAGAGAACGAGAGGAGGAAAAGTGCGAGTAAAAATAAGGTTTGCATGAAACGTAACGTAATTTTATCGAGCGCTGAGCTCTCAGACGGTGTGGCGCCTCCGATTTATGCGGCTTTCCACAAACGCGCGTCCATCTCTCGCCTATCGTTTACCGCATCGATGCACGCAAGTCGAATCTAGCGCGCGTATCAACATCAATATTTCGTATCGATCAGCGAGGAAATACACGGGCGATTCTCTGCAGTGACTTATCTCTTTGTGCCGTGAAACAACATTAAATCTATATCCGTACTAGTCTCCATGTACGATAATTAACTTAGAATAGCGTTGCCAGCAGAAAAAGACAGAAATAAGTAATGACTAGGATCGTCAATTTTCATATATTGAGGCTAATTAATTTTGTATGTGTTCTTTTAAGAAGAATCATCAGCTGTCGTTGATTGAAAAGCTGGAGAAGCTTTCTCTTTTATAACAATCTACGAACGTAAATACGTGATTGTAGATGTGCAACGTGATGTAGACGTGAAAACGTGCGCATCAATGTTATTATGCGGTATAATTATGCGATTCGATCGAATCCCAAATGAGGTCGGCTGGAATAGAGTCCGTCGCGCGACTCACCTGAGGGGAAAGAGAGAAAGAAAAAAAGAGAAAGAGGGAGAATCGATCATCCGGTTTTAAATTATTCAGCGCAAAGACCTTTCGCGCGCGACGCAGACATATTTCCGTACGTATATTTACAATTTACCGGTGGACCAACGTCATCTTTATCGCTCAATAGTGCACTTCCTTTTTTACAAAATGTTATGTTTTACAATTCTAGTTACAAACAGGGGCTATAGATATCCATCTATTTTCAGCAGGCGCCGCAACTTTATACGAGATATAATTCATTTCACGTCTTTAACTACGCTACGAATAAAGTAAAATAATAAGATAATATAATAAAATACAATAAAATAATACAATATGAAATAAAACAAATAAAATAATAACAATACAAATAATGCAAATAAAAAAAATACTACAATAATACAAATATATAATAATACAATAATACAAATAATACAAATAAAAAAAATAATACAGATAATACAGATAACAATACAATAATACAGATAAAAATAATACAAATAATAAAAATAATACTAATAAAATAATACAATAAAACAGTACAATAATACAGATAAAAATAATACAAATAATAAAAATAATACTAATAAAATAATACTAATAAAATAATACAGATAAAAATAATACAAATAATAAAAATAATACTAATAAAATAATACTAATAAAATAATACAATAAAATAATACAATAAAATAATGAAATAATAAAAATGAAATAATAAGGGAATGTAATAAAAAATATTAAGTATACTTTTTAATAAGAATATTATAGAGAAATATTTTATTATAATAAAATCACTTTATAGATTGAGAATAATATCACAAATGGATCTCATGCCTTCAAATGTCACTTTCACGCGCATTTTTCTCTTTTTCTCAATAAATTTATGGAAATTGTGTTATAAATGCTTCACATTTAATGAACATCATACGTGCATCGAGAAGGCAGAAATAAATAAACGTATCTAGTTTTCATTTAACTAAAGCAGACGAACGCGTGATTGACACGTGTTATAGACGAGAATGAACGATCGATTGCGATGATATTGGAATACACTTTTACGTTAGATTTATCGGCTCTACACTCGAATTAACTCACACTTTTATCATTTATAACAGTTCCATGAAAAATCCTTTAATGGAAGGAAAAGGATTCCACGATACTATTTTCAGCAGAGACGTAATTACATGAATGAAATGAAGTTTATTTTCCATCCGATGACGGCATTATTTTATGGAAAGATTTGGAAGAACATCTAAGAAAAATGTGTGGAAAAACTCATTAAGTTTTTCCCACGCGTTTCTTTCTCGGCGACTTCCAAAGCACGTGAATCGTCCTCCATTGAAAATGTCACGCGGCTCTTTTTGCTCCAGTCTCTTCAAACCACTTTGATCGACATTAGAATAATTCGCTGACCCACTAAATCGATCACTATCTCGGAGGATGTAAAGAAGTTTGTGGCTATCCTCGATTGATCGAGCCGGCGATTATTATCGCGACACGCGGGACGTCAAGCCCTCGAATGACGAGCACGCGTCATTCGAAGCGGCACTCGAGCAAACAAGCACTCCAGCGACGTCGAGGGGAAAATTGTCGGGGGGATACTTTCTCGTTGAGGCAACCACCTGTCAAGCACTCGTCACGCATTGTTTACGCGTGTTCTTCGTCGCGAGCGCGAATCCGTCGCCGAATCTCGCGTCGAGGGGTTGCTTAAGCGCCCGGAGTCCGCGCTTCTCGCGTAATTTCCGCTCGCGGAAAACGCGCGGACGATCGCGCGGGGGCTCGGCCGCGTCTAAGATCCTTCAATCTGTACTTACGCAATGGCAGGACGACTCGCCGGTCCGTGACGAACCGCAGGAAATCCGCTTTCCGCAGTCTCCGCTGGCCTGCCTGAGGGAAACAAATATGGCGGTGTACGACAAGCACTGGAGCTGCAACGGCTCCACCTCGCAGTTGCCGTATTGTATCAAAAAATCAATATTCCCGCGTTGCTACCAACACCACGCGTTTCGTCATCGCGGGCCAGTCGCGATACGCACATTTAGATCAGCAGCCCGTGCCGCCCACGCGCGTCGATCGAGGGGGTGTTCCGTCACGACGATTGTCGAGAGTAAGACAAATGACCCGAATGAGAGATCGGACGGAGAAATGGTGGCCTCGATTGTCGATCGACGATTCTTTTTTCAATCTCCATCTCGGAAATCCTCGAGATTCCATTCCGAGTCGTCGTCTCTCGATCGCCGGTGGGATCTCCGCGTCAAAGGAAGCCGCGATCCTCTCCCCGCTGACGTCACGAAGAGTGACCTGGGAAAGAAAGGGAGGAAGATCGATCTTGTTCCTCGGCGCTTGGCTCGCATCGCCGACTCGCCGAATCAATTAGAGATTCGCAGGGACTGGGTTATCCTCGCGAGGGAATCCTGGGAATGTCCTAATTACGGATGTCGACGGTCTTCTCCTGCGTATCTATCATTTTCACGGTGCTCTCGCAATCGGGATAGAGATGACGGATAATTGCGCGTGGACGAGTGTTGTTAATCTCGGGCGCGTCCTTAATTTAGCCCCGATTGAAACGAGTGTCGCATCGATGCACCCGAGGAATATATTTGCATCCACTCGCGCGCGCATTCATCGTCGCAAATAGAAATGGCTTTCGATATCACCAATAATCCATTCGAGCTCTCTGAAGAAGAACTCGGCGATGAGGAAAACTCAAACTGTGATTAATACAGAGGGGGACGAATATTTTTCTTCCCGTATTATGACTTGAGAAATATTTCAAAAATTTTAGTCTTCCGCTTGAATTGATAAATGAGTGGGACGTTGCAGGATTATTGAAATACAGATATTTTTTTTTAAGATTTCTATTAAAATCTCTCGAAAAGAAATTCTCACGCGAGAATGTTTGTATTGATCGCTCTTATCAATTAATCTTGCGGGATTTCACAAGATTTACGGGATTTGGGTTATCACTCGGTATGTTGTTTTGTGAAATATGATTATAAAGCCTCTTATTGTGAGATCTAAACCCATATTATTGTGTTTGATACTCATTACACATGTTTCATATTTATTAATTGAAACAAAATAAAACATACATATATAAGATCTTTCTTCTATTCGAACATGAATTTTTAAATTCCTCTTTATTCGCGAATATTTCAATAATGGAATTTGGCTAAGTTTTACTTGAAAGAATTCTGCAGTTATTTCTGAAATTATGACCATGTCTGATTTAATTTCGTCGATGTGAAAAATTTTTCCTGCTTGTCTTCCTCTGCCAAGACAAACAAAAAGTCAACCGATATCAATTCGTACCGAATTGCAATTAATAAAGGCTTAGCAGCTTTGCATTCGATATGGCACGAAAACAGGAGAAAGGGCAAATGTGAAATTATCGTTGATCGAGGAAGCTGGCCCACATTTCGGTTCATTGGCTGCCGGCCAATTTTCCGCAGGACTGCCAATAAAGGGGACGAATCAGTCTGAAACTATTCCGGATTACATCGTTAAGGTCAAGTCGTCTCATTATGCCAGACAGTAATGACGTGATGGTATTTCATAACTGCTGTTGATAAAGAGGGAGATAGTACAATGATACCACTATTTTACTTGCATGATGATTCAAGAAGAGATTTTCACATAAATAAGGGCTAATCTTTTGAAGAAAAATTTTTCATTAATACTAACGTTTAAAAAAATTCTTCCTCTTAATATCACAATATTTTTCCTGGAGAAATAATGATTTTTTTTATATTCAGACAGCACAAGACTAAAAGACATCTAAAGGACAATAAGACGACTTTAAGTCGCTCTTTAGACATCTTTTAGAGATGTGTATTGTCTGGATATTTGTTTCTTTATGATTCGTATTGAATCATCATTTTTCGGTTTTATTAAATCATGAAATCTTCTTAATTGCTTCCATATTAATGAAAAAAGAGAAATAAATCTCACAGGAAGAGATAAAAGACAACTTTAAAAGATAAAAAATATTTTTATCACAAAATTAACCAAAAATTTAATTTAAATAATTTCTTTTATATGAATATATATAATATATAAATATGACGATTGGTTTCTTCCTCTTATTACTCGTGTAATTGTGTGTGTATAAAAAAGAAAAAATATAATATATATACTTTTTTCTTTGATAACTTGAAATTTAACAAAGTTTGTTCAATTTTACTAAAAGGTGTTTAATCGATTAATAATAAGAGGTTATATCGATGAAGACAAGTTTGTGGGACATCTTCCATAATGTTATAATAAACTATTATCAAACATTTCTTAGTTTTATTATTTTTTTTTTTTTTTTTTTTTTTTTTTTTTTTTTTTTTTTATTTATTCAAACATTATCTTTAGTTTTTATTTTTTTTTTTTTTAACTGTTAATATTTATTTCAATATCTGAGTGACACTAATTATCGTTTAACGTTAATTTAAATTTGAATGAATAAAAGTGATATATTTAGTACAAAAAAAAAAAACAAGTATATAAAAGAATCGTTGAAAAAATATTCTGTAATAATATAAAAATAATTGGAGGAAAATTACACATGTGTCAAACAACTCCATATTTTAACATCTTAAAGAATTTTGGAGTCTTCATTTTTTATGACTCTCTTTCAATCTAATTGAGAAAGAAGTGATAATATTAACTTTTAGCAAATTGAAAATTAATTTTTACTTTACACATTGCCAGTAATTTCTCGTTTAATTTCACGTTTCCTCTATTGATCAAGAGCTAAATTTAATTTTTTCAAAGAAATTTAAACGTGATTGGATTTGATGATCGCAAAATGCGAATCGCGCGTTCCATTTCGCGGCGCGAAGTATCGAAGGGCTCACAATAAATTGCATTCGCCGCGTTAATCGAAGCCGGTGCGAGTCAGTTGACACCCTCCTTAATAGCGTTTGCACAATTTAGCGCGCGATGTGACTGACGGAAGCTGCATTACGCGAAGCTTTCTTCGTCATTAGAAGGAAATGAATATCGAGACCCGCTCGACCGATCGTCTAGAATTACGTCATTCGATAAGATAATAATAAACATTCGAAGCATCTGGGGAAATAGCACCTGAAGGGTGCCAATTAACGAAGTCGGTATACTTAAAATAAATTTGAAATCGCGCGATAGATTGAAAGCACTCGCGAGATGCTTTCCTCAAATTTTCGCATCTTTCTCTTCGGGATTTTGGCGAGGAGCTTAACTTCGTTTCCGGTGACTTCATCACTGTTTCAAGCTCCAACTAGACGAGAGTGCTTATTGGTTTTCCCCCTTAGCATATCACAACTTGGTCGTCTCAAGCAGAAAGAAAATATATCTAGTTGCCAAAGAAGATTTTTATCTCATTGGACTTTATTTTTTTTCAAACTTTTTTCTTTAATTAATAAACTCTTTCTTAATAAACGAATATATAGATGTAATATTATGAACGGACATTGGCATGCTTGGTAATTATATTATAACTTTTAATTTAATTATAATTTTTAATCTTCTAATTTTTTGAAATGAAATTCTGAGAGATTATGAAATTGAAGAGAAGAGAGAATGGCATCCTGTATTATTGTATCAATTCGTCACGTTATATTTCTTTTACATCTTCCAAGGGATAATTCCAAGAATGCATCCGATATTAAAGCATACATTAGTCATAACGTTTCGGAATAGCGGTAATAAAATCTCTGTTTTTCCCTATTACACACAAGACTAAGATGACTTTCATGTTCAGTTTTATTTAATCACAATCTGATCAATTATTACTCTTAATCGACTCTTTAAAAATCTTGCGTATCTTAAATAAATAATAAGCAATAAAAGCAGACAAAAAAATACAAAGTATTATTAAAGACAATAAATAGAGCTAATTCTAATGTAATAAAAGAATTTTCAAAATAGAGAAAAGAAGAAATATACAAAAAGATAGATTTTATAAATCATACACTGAGAAAAATCGTTTGATTGTACCAACAAGACGTATATGATTGAAGGCATTTTGGTTAAATCAAACAAGAATTTCTAGTTATCATGATAAGACTCGATTTTTTAAAATTAGAACGTTTAATAGATTTTACTATAATTTGGTTAGTATTTTCTGGTTGGATCTATAAAATTTTTTGTTAATATATATAATAATTAATTTCTTTGCTTGCTTCTTAACTTAACTCGTATTCAATATTTGCCAAAATGTATATAAAGAACTAGTATTAACATTAAATCCAAAGTATATTTTTTCTCTTACGAGCAGTAGTACCAGAAAGAGGATGTTAGTTCTCTGATTGTTTAAGCTGCATGTTGTTTTTATATCACTGTTTATCAGTTTAATTTCTAACAAACTGAATTTAAAATAATTTATTCAATAATCTGGATTGAATTTATGCAATAAATGCATTGGAAATCAAACGCATTGGAATTCAAAATATTAAACAGACTTTTGAGATTAGATGGAAAAAATTTTAGACGACTTGGTGCTGAGAAGTTTAGTATTATTAACCAGAAAATTTGGTAAATTTAACAGGAAGAAATTAATCAGATTCATCTGATAATTCCTACAAGAATTCTGGTTCGTCCATTTTCCAACAGATATACTGGCTGAATCTACCAGAATTCTAATTAATGCAACCAGATTTTTTTCTCAGTGCATGAAATGCATATAAAGAACTAGTATTAACATTAAATCCAAAGTATATTTTTTTTCTCTTACAAGCAGTAGTGCCAGAAAAAAGACGCTAGCTCTCCGATTGTGTGTGTTTGAGCTGCATCCTCTGTTTGCATCACTGTTTATCAGTTTAATTTCTAATAAACTGAAGTTAAAATAATTTATTCAATAATCTGGATTGAATTTATGCAGTAATCGTGTTGAAATTTAAAATATTAAACAGACTTTAATGACTTAATGCAACCAGATTTTTCTGTACATTTCAACGATATAATCGCGCAAGTTCAAAATTTGCGTATTCTCCTAAAAAGGATCTGAGAATCACATTGTAACGTCTCAAATAGCTAACGCATCTTTTTCCATGATTAAAGAATATAAGAGAAATTTGAAAGAAAGGCCAATTACACGAGGGTGGAGGAAGGAGAAGAGCTCCGGTGTCGTTTGAAGCGAAGCTTGTGTAAACTTACAGTGATATAAATCGCTGAACAACCACCCGACAGACAACAATAGCGATAAATTGTAGGTGGAGAGTAATCGCGGGAGGGACGTGGAAAAGACGGAGAAGGAGAGAAAGAGAGAAAAAGAGAGCGCGAGAAGCGCGATCGGAGCTTTACGGTGGGGAGGATCTCACCCCCGGACGACGACGACGCGAAGCTTCGCCGTCGTCGTCGTCGTCGTCCTCGGCATCGGTGGTGGCGGAGACGACGGTCGATGCCACGAAGTGCCGTCGTTGGCGCTGACATCGGGAAAATAAGCTCGTCCGAAAGCTCCACCGACTGCAGTAGCCCGGCATCCGTCGGCGCCGCGGTCAGGACGAGAGGTTCGCACCCGCGCTCGGCAGGACTGCCGATGGAAGCTCGTCGCTGAAAGCGCTCGCTATGTGGACCCCGTCGTGATCCACGAAAAATCGCGACACGGTGTACTGTTTCTCCATCCCTTCCCCCTGTTACCCCGTCTGTTTCCCGCATCCCTTCCGCTTTCCATCTGTCCAACGGCCAGGTCCTTCGTGACGCGAAGGCGTGATTCGCGGTGATTCGCGGGGTCAAATGTGCACGGTGGACAGCATTGTGACATAGTGAGCGGAAGTAGGAGACGAAGAAGAGATCGGCAGGGGGGCAGAGGAGCGGGGAACGCGGGAAGACGAGGAGGTGGATGATGATGACGAGGGGGCACAGGAAGAGGGCGCCGAGCCCTGATGCACTCGCATCTTCGACATAGGGGGTACCGTTACATCGACCCCGACGATCGAGCTTTCTTTGCGTGATGCGATCGAGTCTCTCGGGGCTTGCGAGGTCCAACAATGCCCGAGGTGTCTTAAAATGGAACGGCTCGAGTGTATCGCGGATCTTGCGATGGGGTTTAGATTCTTGCGAGACGAGCAAAACCCATTTGCAAATGAATGTTCAAGGACTGTCGAGATACGTGTATGTTTTGCCACTGTGGGAGTAAGTACCGTAGGGAGAAAAAGGTTTCTGTAACCGATCGAAGATTAAGATATAGGCTTTGAGTATCTTCGAAAAATTTGTTCATTAGTTATTAATTAATGAGGGTAAAAGGGTCTTAGAAATTATTATTTTTTAATGTCGTGTAAAGTTACTTTTACGACAAGTAATAATCTTATGTAAAAAAAGATTTATTTTATATTGTTATATTTATTATATTAATATAAATCTCTTGAAAAACGCGTGTGTCAACAAAATAAGGGAAATGATGTTACGTAAATGAATTTTTCTGTCAGGTACACGAGTAATGTTTAAAGTTTAATAAACATCGCTCTACGTTATTTTTATATTTTTATTATACTTTTTATATGTATTTTTTCATTATTATTTTATATTAAGATATTTTTTTATATTGATTATTTTATTTGATTATTCATATTATAAGCTATTGAAGAATAAAATAAAAGAGATATGTTTTGATGCAATTGTTTTTTATTCGGAATTGTTAATGACTTTGAAATAAACTCACTTTTGTTATTCATACCTTCCGTGTTATAAAAATTGCATTAGAGAAAGGTTAGATAGAGCTCACGCTATACAATAGGGTATAACCCACAATGTAAATCATGTATTAGAAGCGCAGCAAGCTTAGGAAAAGGTTGTATTAAGGCAACTCTTGTGCATGTCGTGAATATATTTGTATCTCAAACTAAAAATTGAAAGACAAAGGACACTGAAATAATTCATACGCGTATAAATTTGTGAATAAAAAAATGTATCTAATCATCACATAAATATCTCGTGAATTAGGATAAATTAATTATTAAAATACCATAAAATCACTCTATTTTTTCTAAATAAATAGTAAATTAAAATTAAGTAATAATAATTTCTCTATCTTTTTGTTTCAATTCATCACACAACACGTATATTTTTTTGATGAACCTTTGGTTTTTTTATCTTTAATGAAATGCATAAATATAATCTCATTTTAATAATATTGTTCATATAACAAAGAACTAAGTGAGTAGTTATTTTCAAGCGCTTGTTGAAGGACGCGATATAAAGTTTCTAATCTCTTCGATTAAACGTCTCCACGTGGACTCACATAAACTTGCTTAAAGCTGGCATAAGTTTTATCCCTATCGATCTTCGCGCAACGCGTATGTACGATAGTAATCTATATAAATAAAAAACCAATATTGTAAAGCAATATTTTAGATTTCGAAGGAAGAATCTTGACAACGACCGTTTCATTTTTCTGTAAGATATCGGAAAATCCGTAGAAAATTGCATCACAAATCCCCTTCGATGTTCAAGCAATTTGATGAGCAGACTTATCTTGATATTAAATGTTCTAAAGCTATTTCAATGAGCACAGAATTTCGTCGTTTTGATTCTTTCGCGTTATATATTATATAACATAATACAATCGAATAATGTGTATATAAACGTGAATATAATTTAATATAATAATTAATAATATATATTAATATATATAAATTAATAAATATTATTAATATACTTATTAATATATGTAAATTAATTTGTTCAATATATAAAAGACGGATATAAAATTTCATAATAAAAGGATCGATATTACGTGTGATGAAATTAAAAAGAGTTGTGTGTCCGCAACAAGAATTCGATAAAAATTGATTTGGCAAAGTTTATGTGGCAAAGTTTCGAATGGGTATTGTTCATCTCGTTTATCTTTAACGAGAACAGTGCAATCTTACGTCATTGTGTCGAGAGTCGATAGTATTGTAGACCAAGTTGGAAACGCGTAGACAAAACGTAATTGTTTGACACTTTACTTCCTGCAATTAACCTCTGTTGAAATTAAATGTGTCCTATATACGAGACTATTGTACAAACTTAAGTCATGAAATTTATATACAATGATCAACCTTTTATAATATTAATCAATTTAATAATATCAATAATATTTAATAGTAGCGTATTGTATCACAAAAAGGATACAATCTATCTTTGTGGGTTATTAAAAAAAGTATTCTAAAATTGATTCTATAGAAAAAAATTATAAAGATTCTTTCATTAATGGTTACAAATAACTAGGACAAAAAAAATGTTAGTCTCATATCGCTGACAGTATTGATTTTGCCTATCTCTCCATTGCCATTTACAGGCCCCAGGCATTGTGTCCATCAAAAGATAAAATAGATTCTATGGGGCAACCCTTAGATAATGTAAAAAGTTTTATACTCTTTTTTTTCGACCGAATGTACGCGACGAGAAGAGGGAAAAAAAGAGTTTAATCGATGTCCGTGTGTCACTTAAGCGCGATCAAGATAAATGGTTTTCTCGTTACACAATACAAAGACACCTCGGGGGCTCCAGGGCGCACACGAAGCCCCGGGGAACCTCTGTGACAGAAATCATCGCGAAGATGACTCTCCGCGATATCCTTCGAAAGCGCACACAAAGAAAGCTCTCAGGATAGCACGAAGAGCAAAAAGTCGAGGATTGCCCGCAGATCTCGTTCCGTCTCTTCGACGTCCGACGTGACGAGCAGCGAGCACGCCAAGGACGACGACGACGACGAAGACGACGACGACGACGACGACGACAACGACGGCGACGACGTCGCTTAAAAGCCTCCAGCACGAAACCAGCACTGCCGTTTGTTCTCCGAGATGGCGGACGAAAAGGAGAAGCAGACGTTCCTGCAGAAGCTGCTGTTCTATACGACCGCGTTCTTCATCCTCCTCAGCACCTTCAGCCTCTTCGCCTTCCTCTTCTTGGTCCCCTTCGTTATCGACCCCGCCTTCACCACCATCTTCATGCAGTTTGACACTCGACCCGCCGAGTGTGTCACCATCGACGTTGAATCCAGAAGAGGTGAACAATCGGCACCTTTCACTCACCCCCTTTCGTTCTCGTTGTCGCTTCTCGTTGCATGCTGTATCCCGTGAGAGCTCTATTCTTCGCTCCTCATTTTTCTGGGGGTGGTTTCTTCACTCGCGATTGGCGATGTACAGTTTATATATCTACATACCTCTTAGCTTGTATATTCAAGCATGTATGCTTGTCGGTACGAATGTGTACTCCATTTTGTGCTTGTATGTGTGGTGAAAGATCTGTTTTTCGACGCTGCGGAAAAAATTACAAATCGCATTTGATTATTCCGAAGGAACGTACATCGTATGTAATGTTTTTGAAAAGAAGAAAAATGGTTTTAAAATTATTAGGAAAAATAATAGACTGTTTCGAAAAAGAGACTCTATATATCACGACTTCATAAAATATTTCACGACCAAAAGTGACAGACAATGATGGACAGACACCAGAAACTGATGTAAATTTCCATTTGCAGAATTGGGTCAGCGTCAAAATATGCAATTCTCACGAACGATTGGAAAGGCTATTTTCAGATTGAATGAAAGTGATGAAGAACATCCATGAGACAGTCGACATGCTCCCTCTTGTATAATATTCATCGCATTACATATAGTTGTAGAAAAGCGACCGTTTCTATCTTTTATTAATAAACCTTTGGGAATATTCCACGTGGATTACGAAAATAATTACGCTTTGATTTAACGGGAACGGGAACTAATGTAAGAGAGAATCGCTTTATCTTCCCTTGTCACCTGGAAAAACGCTTTTCTCATTTTAGATAATAATAAATTCTACGAAGATTTTACAAAAAAACCTTATGAATTTTTTATTCTTCGATGGCGTATATCTTTCATGTCGTGTCATTCGTGACATATGCGAGACCGCGGGACATAAAAATTTAATACAATCTTATAAATTTTAATTTGCCGTTGTGAATGGATATTATTGATCGCGATGTAAAATGCATAAACATATTCGAAAATACATAGAATATTTTTTTTCATTATTCAGGAGATTCTTGTGTTACATGAACCAATAAATCCTCGTAATTGTCAATTTTTGCGAATCGCTTTTATAAATATTAATCATTATTAACGAGATTCTTTGTCTCTTTTTGAAAACAGAAACCATATTCGCGGAAATAATTCTATGTAAAATGTAAAAATATGAAAAAGAATTTGACCGATTATTACGAAAATTATCAGAGGAAAGGGATATTACATAGAATCGTGATAAGATCGATGCAACTGGTGTCTTCGTGCTCTTGGTACCCCGGGACTCGCGCGTTTATTCGAAGTACCCCCTCTGATTCTTCCTTCGTCGCTTCAATCCTCGTCTCCCCACAAACATCAATAGAGTGCAGGTGGTCTCTACAATTGAGCACCAGTACTGTCAATATCCTCGCAAGTTACATCGCAACGCCTCTTGACGGTACAATTTCTTACTCCAATATTTTCTGCTTCCTTCGTCTTCCTCGCTCTTCATCTTGTGCATGTGCATTTTCTATTTTCATGCTCTATCCTTTCGCATTGTATGCTTGTATGTGAGTTGTATTTATATATTTTGGAGTAATTGGTGATAAATTTGAGTTGTTGAAGCCATCTTTTCATTTAAATTGACAGAGAGAAAGAGAGAGAGGGAGGAAGAGAGATGGTGAGACACTTTCCTCGATAAATCGATAATTATTTCGAACATGGACAGCAAATATTTCTTGACGAAAGTTATATATAACGCTTATCGATACACATTTGCCGGCTTCAAGACTCAATTTCGCGAGTTTTCGAGTTAAAAATTGCTATCACAATATAACTATATATATATATATATATATATATATATATATATATATATATATATATATATGTATGTATCTGTGTGTGATATCTGTCATTCTCTGTTGGTTGACGCAAAGTCGAGTATGTGTGTTCGATGTGTACATGTGACGCTTGAATTATATTTCGCGGCCAAATTCCCATGAATGATCGTTGAGTTCAGGTGCGAGCAATTGCTCATGGACATCCTGTAGAGAGGGTTGCACTAAGGAGCTGTACGATTGTACGCAAATACGCGTCAACTATAAGCTACCGGAAAACGTGTCCGAAGGGTCGGACGAGGGAGGCGAAGTGGTAGGAGGTGTCGAGGACGACGAAGAGAGTAAGCGTATGTCGCGTTATGAGCGCTCTTTAGGCGAGTACGTCGAGGGTCTCGACATCGCCGTGAATGACGAGACCGGGCTGTTGGAACCTTCCCCTACAGGTACAAAATACCATTAGACAATCGATGTTATCATACGTTTAATCTGTTTCCTCCCATTTGCCTTTATATTTCGTTCGTATCTGTTTTTGAAGACATTTTGAATAATAATAAAATCAAACAGCAATTTTCATTTTATATAATTGATTGTACATATGAATCGAAAAAGTTTTATATAAATTTATAAAATTCTGCTCTGCTTAATAAATTGAGATTAATTAAAAATATTACTGTAATATTTTTCCATAATTAATGTTTATTTTATTTGTGAAATAAATGCTCTGTCACATATTTAGCCATTTTCTTAACATTGTTGGACTAGTTATTAATATGCTTATCATGAATTATTTATTACTAATTATTAATATGCTTATCATGAATTATTTATTTCGTTTGTATCTGTTTTTGAAAACATTTTTAATAACAATAAAATCAAACAGCAATTTTAATTTTATATAATTGATTGAATTGTACATATGAATTGGAAAAGTTTTATACAAATTTATAAAATTCTGCTTTGCTTAATAAATTGAGATATTAGTTAAAAATATTACTGTAATTTTTTTTCTATAATTAATATTTATTTTATTTACGAAATAAATGTTTTGTCGCATTTTTAGCCATTTTCTTAGCATTGTTGGATTTGTTATTAATATGCTTATCATAAGCTATTTATTTTGTTCGTATATGTTTTTGAAGACATTTTGAATAACAATAAAATCAAATAACAATTTTAATTTTATATAATTGATTGTACATATGAATTGGAAAAGTATTATACAAAATTATAAAATTCTGCTTTGCTTAATCAATTGAGATATTAGTATGAAAATAACACTATATTTTTCTAAAATTAATAATTATTTTATTTACGAAATAAATGCTTTGTCGCAATTTTAGCCATTTTCTTAGCGTTGTTTGTCATTAATATGCTTATCATAAATTATTCCGATTAACTGTGTACAAAGAAAAAAGAACGTTTGCTAAAAACAGATATGGGCTTAATGGATTCAATAGACAGAGATTTAAAATTAGTGGTCCTGCGGGAAAGATAACTTTGTCCGTCCTTTCTGATTTGTCGCTTGAATATGAGAGCGTACTAGATCCAGGAGTCATTATACGCGGTTTTCCCCGTCCGAGAGGGCCCGTCCCTCCGGTTCTCCCGCTGGAGAACGTCCGTCGCCGAACAATAACGAGGGGAAGTTCGCAGGTCTCATGGTCAACGACTCCTGGTACTTCACCGGGGCCAAGCTGTTCCCCAACGTAAAAGGCTGTGGATACCCTCCAATGCTGAATTGCAGTATTTTCTACCGGCAGTACGCCAACATAGGACAGAACTTTAGCTGTTACTACTCGAAAGTGGATCCCGGGATAGTCATCAGCGACCTCGATATGTGGCAGGTCTCTGAGCTACACTTTCTAGATACGCAGACTCCTTTAATTCCTCATCTCCCCGTATCTTTCTCCTTCTCTCTCTCTAATCGGTAAATTTGACACTCGTACAAATTTCCTGTCATCCTTCGTATCCGTCGGGCTGACGTGGACTTGAGCTCTCGCGGTATAATCCAGTGACCGAGTTATAGTCAGCGATTTTTACTGTGTATGTATACCTATGGGCATGGGCGAGTCACGCGAAAATGTTATGTGACTTTTGCCCGAGTTTACGTAGCCACTTGGAACGTGCTTGAGAATCGATACTGCAGCTGTCTAGCGAGGACAAAACGTGTCATACGATCGAAACTGCTTTATACATGAAATAATTGAATAGACTACAGTGATGGATCCGGCATCGGCTCTAAATAATTGTAAACACGAGGCGAATTTATTCACCAGATTCTTTGATCGCGACCAACGAATCTCACATTTGTTTCCGCAGGACATTCGATGGGGATTTCTTTCCTGTCAACGTGAGATACGTTTCTCTTCGCGAAAATTGATCTCGTCAAAATCACGTCGTTATCGAGGATTGATCTCACCTATCATGTGTGAAACGTAAATAATCGAAAGGGGGTTTTTCCGAGCACGAGGGGGAGATTTTTCCGAGGCACAAAAGTGCGATCGTGAAACGGACAATGCATTTCAAGCGGTTGAATTGGCGGTTGATGACAAAGACAGAAGCCATCGCGGTAGAAAGGAAAATTTCTCCTGGCGCACACAGAAATCCAATTTCCACGAGTACGCGAGCTATTATAAATCGCCGATAACATCGGGAAGGCCCGCCGATCTCTCTCTCTGTATTGCTCAGGTATTGCCAATCCTGGGAGCGAACGGACGACAGGAAGAAATGGAATTACGTGTCGCGAATAACATTGCCTGTGGAGATATTTCGATGAATTTACGGGAGGATATATTTCACACAAACCGCCGTGTCTCTTGATTTGCCGACGAGATCGCTGTAGGGACATTGAGAAAAAATTTAATTAATAGAGAGATGTTTGTAAATTAATTAGAGAGATGGAGAATAATATGTTTGATCACTTCTCACTACACTGAGTATTGACTCTAATACGGCTGGCCATATAAGGTCTGTTATTACTTGTCGAATTACGTATAATTTTATTATTTATTATCACCATTTTTGTTTACGTTATTATTTAGAGAAAACATTGATTTCTTGCAATCGTGATTTGGAATATTAAAATCCTTGGAAAAGGGGTGTGTCCTTTACATGTGCAAAATTTTAATAGCTACACTGAGAAAAATCGTTTGATTGTACCAACAAGACGTATATGATTGAAGGCATTTTGGTTAAATCAAACAAGAATTTCTAGTTATCATAGGACTCGATTTTTTATAACTAGAACTAGTTTAATAAATTTTACTATAAGGATTTGGTTAGTATTTTCTGGTTGGATCTATAAAATTTCTTGTTATATTAATTTCTTTGCTTGCTTCTTAACTTAACTCGTATTCAATATTTGTCACACACAAAATGTATATAAAGAACTAGTATTAACATTAAATCCAAAGTATATTTTTTTTCTCTTACGAGCAGTAGTGCCAGAAAGAGAACGCTAGCTCTCCGATTGTATGTGTTTGAGCTGCGTCCTCTTCTTGCATCACTGTTTATCAGTTTAATTTCTAACGAAAACAACTGAATTTAAAATAATTTATTTAACAATCTGGGTTGAATTTATCCAATAATCTTGTTGAAATTCAGAATATTAAACAGACGTTTGAGATTAGATGAAAAAAATTTTAGACGACTTGGTGCTGGCGAGTTTAGTATTATTAACCAGAAAATTTGATAAATTTAACAGGGAGAAATTAATCAGATTCATTTGGTAATTCCTACAAGAATTCTGGTTCGTCCATTTTTCAACAGACTGGTTGAATCTACACTGAGGGAAAAATTTTTTTAAATCAAATAAATGTGTTTTCTTGAAACTTTTGCTTTAACGCAAGCAACTTTTGCTAAATGCAAGGAATTGTTTACTTCATTCAAGCAAAAGTATTTAATTTTAATTAAATATGCATGTTATATTATGTACATTATTTTCATTTATATATTTTTTATATTTAAATACTATTTTCGTAAAATATATACTATAATTTATAAAATTAAATATATTATTTTTTAAAATTAAAAAATTTAAAATTTTTGGGAATAAAAAATGCACTTTAATAAATATTTTGTAAAATTAAAATAAAAATATTTAATTAAAAATTACTTTTTTTAAGCATATGTAAATAAATACCTAACTTAAGCAAACAGACGTTTTGAATACAAGTAAATACGTAATTATTACCCACCGAATAAATAGCTTTCTTGAGTTAACTAAAATTTTTTTATTTCAAGATAATTTTTTCCTCAGTGTCTCAGAATTCTAATTAATGCAACCTGATTTTTTTCTCAGTGTAGAATCTGGAAAATCTCTTGACGTGTTGTCGTAAATGATCTCCCAATCAAAATTCGCTCGCGAGATTCTTTCCAAAGAACGCTGTTAAACTGGAGATCAGGCATATTAGTTTCCATCCAATTATATGTTTGAAACGCTTCCTCAGGTGTACATGAACCTTGTGTACGCGATGGCGATTCCGATACCGTCTTTCATAATCTCGGTGATATACCTCACCATCGCCTACTTCAAGATCTACAACGAAGACGAGGAAGTCCTCGTAGGTGGCGAACAGGGTGAGGAGGGGGAGGAGGGGGACGAGGGTGACGGTACACCCTTGCCGCCCACCAGCGGTGCATTGACGCCCGGAAGTGAGGCCTTCAGGGAGAATCTGGCGAGCTTCGGGCACCAACTCAAGGTCGCGATGGCCGACGACATCAGCAGGGAGAGTCTTGACGGGATTCCTAACTCGCTCTCTCTTCAGGGGTAAGCACTGCTTCGAAAATCTCGTGATATCGATTACCTTTCGACAAGGGCACGTGTTTGACGTAAAGAGGCTGTTCAGCCTCGTTATTTCACCCATATCTCGATTGTTGATCGCTCGCTCTTAGTTCCCTGTAAACTTTCGCGGGGCTTCGAGAAAGCTTTCTACATAAACGTCGGTCTAAATAATAGGCTTTAACAATCGCGCGGATGATTTAGAATGATTTTCTAAGATAATCTGAGCCCTTCAATGAGCTACTTTCGCTGCAATCTTTATATAAAGTATATATAAACAAAGGAGATGTGCATAAATAATAAATTTTTACAATTTAAGGTAGAAAAGTACCTTCTTGTTCTCCTTTCTTTATCTATCTTTTGAGCACAAGAAAGGTATTTATGCTGTCGTAACATTAATTTGGCTAAGTGTTTCAGTCAAATGCAATTTTACGTGGGACATAAAGTTGTCTGAACGACGAGAAATAGCACGCTGCGCGCGTAAATGTCATTTCATAATCTGCTTGATTTATACATTCAATGACACTGACATTCAGTCAATTTCTCTCGTAGTTTCGAGAGAATCGAAAGCGTTTGATCATCTAAATGAACAAGCGTCACTGTTTTATATAAAATTAATTAATGTTTCAATTGGACCGACAAGCCCATCAGCTGTTCGAGATATTTATATGTCTCTGCAGTCATCTCAGTCTAAAGAAATTTATTTCATATATTATTATTATTATTTCATTATTATTATTATTTCATTTATTATTTGACAACAACAAGTACGATGTGCATTTTATCAATGTCAATACGACGTTTTCAGAGCATTGTACGTAAAAATGTTTACTATGAACGTGCACCTCTTCAGTGACAAGCTGCTTCAGTTACACAATCACTTTACTTAACGTACAAGTGGCGGTTCTCCGAGTCTGACATGAAATCTTCGTACAATAATTCAATCCGATAGTACCTTTAAGGATGTTTTGTATGTACAATCCCAGTAAAAAGTAGCTGAAAATCAATATTGACGAATATATCTACTTCGAATATATTATATATATTATATGTATATATATATATATATATTATATTATATTATATATTATATATTATATTATATTATATATTATATTATATATTATATGTATATATATATATTATATATATTATATATATTATCGAATATATTATATATATTATTGACGAATATATCTATTGACGAATATATCTACTGGTATATTTTGAATAAGAAATTGTGTGGAATATTACAATTTGATCTTAGCTACAGTGCAGGGATGTATTTTTTAATATTTAAATATCTCATATTTTAATATTTCAATATAAAAAATAAATTTGCAATTGATATGATCTTTGTCACATAATTATTGCATCAAAAAGAGACTCAATCTATTAAATTAAAATGTATTGAATTAAATTAAAATGTAATTAAATAATTGATTAATTATATTAATTAAATAATTATGTAAATAATTAATTAATTAATTAATTAATTATATTTATATTAAATTTTATTAAGGATGTTTTTTATGTACAATCCCAGTGAAAAGTAGCTGAAAATCAATATTGACGAAAATCCTTTGGTGTATTTTGAGTAAGAAATTGTGTGGAATATTACAATTTGATCTTAGCTACAGAGATGTATTTTTTAATATTCATTGCGATTTTATTGAAATATTTCGAATTTTGTTAATCGAAATGATTAACTTTTGGCAGAGAATTTCGCCTTGTGACAGATACATGGCTAACTTCGTTGAATTATATTTATTATCTTTTTAACCAGTTAGTACTTGTATAATATTATTTGACCAAATATTTCCTCTGTATCTAAACTTTTGCAAATTTTTAACAAATTCTGAATATTATTTCCATGTGTTTTTGTCATTTGAATCGACGTGGTTATACATTTCCCATAAGAACACATGTTAATTCGGTACAAATTAAAATCCTTATAACTTGTGAACGCTTTAGTGAATCGATTTAAAAATTGTACTAAAGATTCTAAACATATGTAAGGACATTCTGTACAATTTTCATTAAATTCTCAATATTTTGAAAATAGATACAAAACATCCTTAAATCCCATCGCATCATCCCGAGTACACATAGCTTGAAAAGGCAATATCTGACATATATATTATACGTAGAAAAAAGGATTACACTTGTCAGATCGTTGATGTTTTCATTGACAGTTCGCTCGTTGTTCCACGTTATCCCGGCATGATTGGAATTAATCACACCGCGAATTCTAAAGCGCCAATATCAGGACAAATCGATTACAACAATAATCCTGGAGGATGTACAATATTGTCCAATAATATTCAATGACCGACGAGAATTCCAAACTATAGCGTCCGAATTTCCAACGCGATACGCCCGAATGCGATCGTGTACGTGATTGAATGTTGCTTTCACGATTGTAGAATAGAGATGACGTAAATTCGCGGAGGATGAGATGATTTATGACTTATACAGGGTGTTCGCAATAAATCGCGATTCGCAGAAGTCGCGTTCGATTCTTCGATTTTCCTCTTTTTTTAACTCGATTAATTTTGTAAGAATAATTTATTCGCAAAAAATCGGTCTCCGTACATCGATACGATAAAATGATGGCGCAGTTAAGTGCTCTCGACCACACTACCAGCGCATCCGTCTATAAATAGCGACTCGGGATGCAGGGCGATATGGGTCGCACGGGACTGCGCGATAGACTGCGAGTCGCCGTCGCTTTTCTCCCACCATTTTCAACCACATACACCGAGAATAACTCGATTCATATCTACCATTTAAAAGGCCGCGAATCAAATTCCAAACTTGTATGCTTTCGGCCTCCAAGTGGACGTTTACGACATGTTACGCGATGACGAACTTGTATTCTTAATCCCCCTAAAGTGTATTTTTCCAACATTTCGCAGACATGTCAGAAAGTCATAAGTGACATTCGAAGCACGCATATTCCGCGAAAGTTTGCGTTTCCCGAGAGAATAATGGAGCCACTCTGTTCTAACAAACGTCTACGAGACATCCATCAAATTCTTGAAGAACTATTGCGACAATTTTATGTACTTTGTTTCGGTTGTCTTTGTCAAGGAGAATAATAGTGAATAGTCTTCTATGCAAAGCGACGAGGAAAAAAATGCAATCTGCGAAACAGAAAATGATATTTACAGATAAAAAATATTTATTCTTTTCTCTCGCAAAGTGAGAGATAGAAAATTGAATTCCTTCGCAGAATACTAATATAATTCTTTCCGCAGAAATCATATTTACGAATATTTCTTTTTTGTTTTCCACATATCAAAATATATACACTTTACATTTCTCATACACATAAAATTAAATATATTAAATATATTAAATTATTATATAAATTAAATATATTAAATATATTAAATTTTGTGAGTGAATTTTATATTCGTATATCCTTTTTTTATTCTCCAAACATATCGAGATATAATCAAACTTCATATTCCTTGCATGAAATTAAATAATTTTTTAATTTCTTTCGAGTAAATTTTACACTCGAATTTTACACTCCACTTTTTATTCTCCAAGCATATCAAGATATAATCAAACTTTATATTCCTCGCGTGAAATTAAATAATTTTCCTAATTTATTTTGAGTAAATTTTATATTCATATATCTTTTTTTATTCTCCAAGGATATCAAGATATCAAACTTTATGATCTTCATATGAAATTAAATATATTAAATAATCCACCTAATTTGTTTTGGGAAAAATTCTATAATTAAGCATCATATAGGAAGGTCTTTGCGTGAATATATCTTGTGGATATTATGTAGCATTAAAAAATTGAGTCATTTAATTTCATTAGAGATAAGAAACTGAAGTCGAGGTAGAAAAAAAGATTTTTTGATAATCGCAACCTTTTTTTATTTCGAAACTTGCAAAAACTTGTCCTGGAGAACGAATTGCCAATTACTTCATTTAATTCGCTTACTTTACCTGACGCATGCACGTTTCCGTGCGACACGAGTTCGCACGTATGCTTATAAGATCAATCATCAGACGACGTCGGTCGCCACGCGATTGAGAGAACCTATGGTTTTGACATTTATAACGGAATGCGTGAGAGAAACGAAGCAAGGACGCGAACATCGATTCTGACCCAACAACCACCCAAGCCCCGCCTAACTTGCCCTTGCTTTCTCAGCCCTTCTCATGGTTTTCGAACAACGACAACTCCGCGTTGCCGAATTCTCGCGGTCGCCTGATCACGAATGCTCCGCGAGCTCGTATCAACCGAGGTATTAGGTATTAGGGTCATCCTATGTACGAGAGAAGCAAGTTTGAGATATCAACGAAGCTTCGAATTTATAAAGTGAACTAATATGCGAGATTAGTTGGGATTAAGTTGAAAATGTAATAAACAGTTGGATGAATATACACGAGCATCATTTCCTAAATGAATTAGGAAATTTAATTAGCTACACTGAAAAAATCGTTTGATTGTACCAACATGACGTATATGATTGAAGGCATTTTGGTTAAATCAAACAAAAATTTCTAGTTATCATGATCAGGCACGATTTTTTATAACTAGAACGTTTAATAGATTTTATTATAAGGATTTGGTTTAGTATTTTCTGGTTGAATCTATAAAATTTCTTGTTACATTAATTTCTTTGCTTGCTTCTTAACTTAACTCGTATTCAATATTTGCCATCAAATGTATATAAAAAGAACTAGTATTAACATTAAATCCAAAGTATATATTTTTTCTTTTACGAGCAGTAGTGCCAGAAAGAGGACGTTAGCTCTCTGATTGTGTGTTTAAGCTGCATCCTCTTCTTGCATCACTGTTTATCAGTTTAATTTCTAACAAATTGAATTTAAAATGATTTATTGAATAATTTGGATTTATCCAAATGATTGAAGGATTGAATTTATCCAATAATCTTGTTGGAATTTAGAATATTAAAGACTTTTGAGATTAGATGGAAAAAATTCTAGACGACTTGGTGCTGGTGAGTTTAGTATTATTAACCAGAAAATTTGATAAATTTAACAGAAAGAAATTAATCAGATTCATCTGGTAATTCTTACTAGAATTTTGGTTCGTCCATTTTCCAATAGACATACTGGTTGAATCTACCAGAATTCTAATTAATACAACCAGATTTTTTTCTCAGTGCATGAAATGCATATAAAGAACTAATATTAACATTAAATCGAAAGTATATTTTTTTCTCTTACGAGCAGTAATGTCAGAAAGAGAACGCTAGCCCTCCGATTGTGTGTGTTTGAGCTGCATCCTCTTCTTGCATCACTGTTTATCAGTTTAATTTCTAACAAATTGAATTTAAAATGATTTATTCAATAATTTTGATTGAATTTATCCAATAATCTTGTTGGAATTTAGAATATTAAAGAGTTTTGAGATTAGATGGAAAAAATTCTAGACGACTTGGTGCTAGTGAGTTTAGTATTATTAACCAGAAAATTTGATAAATTTAACAGAAAGAAATTAATTAGATTCATCTGGTAATTCCTACTAGAATTTTGGTTCGTCCATTTTCCAATAGACATACTGGTTGAATCTACCAGATTTTTTTTTCAGTGCATGAAATGCATATAAAGAACTAATATTAACATTAAATCCAAAGTATATTTTTTTCTCTTACGAGCAGTAATAGCAGAAAGAGAACGCTAGCTCTTCGATTGTGTGTATTTGAGCTGCATCCTCTTCTTGCATCACTGTTTATCAGTTTAATTTCTAACAAACTGAATTTAAAATGATTTATTCAATAATCTGGATTGAATTTATCCAATAATCTTGTTGGAATTCAGAATATTAAAGACTTTTGAGATTAGATGGAAAAAATTCTAGACGACTTGGTGCTAGCGAATTTAGTATTATTAATCAGAAAATTTGGTAAATTTAACAGGAAGAAATTAATCAGATTCATCTGGTAATTCCTACAAGAATTCTGGTTCGTCCATTTTCCAACAGACTGGTTGAATCTACCAGAATTCTAATTAATGCAACCACATTTTTTTCTCAGTGTACGAATTTTCTAGGGATGATTGCGATTGATTTTTTTTTCAATTTGTGAAATAAATAAAAGTGAGGCGAAATAATAATTCTTCGTTAGTAAGCAAATTTTTCCCTTCCAGAAACTTGAGCAAGACGATGACGACGAGTATCTCGACTCCCCCTGGGCCGACAGTGGCAGTCTGAAGCGGCACTTTCAAGGTCTGAATAATATTTCGTGGAGGCCACATTGAGAGCGATTCTCACGTCGCGTTTGCAAAGAAAAAAAAAACCGAAACGTTACAAGACTTGGCCTCGTCGACCGAGGAAGAGCCAAGTCGACTTTCTCTCTCAGGATCGACTAAGAAAATCCACCCTCGCGATTCACGGAGTGAACCAGAGGCAACGCTCGGTGCAACTCGAATACACGGTGATTACAGAGGAAAAAATCCCGCGACAAAAATCTGCCATTCTCTCTACTGTAAATCTATCCCCGACTACCAACACACTAACTAAAGAGACAGCGTCGATTACACAGATTATCACGATATTTTGCGACGAACTTTTTCGTACTCGATAACAAGCTCAAAGTCGCATAAGTATGTATATCGCACTGATTCCGCGCTGCAGCTCGAGAGCACCAGGAGATCTCTCCTCGATTACGCCGAAAAGTTCTTCGTTTCTTCGCAATGTTTCAACATTTGGCAAGCGGTGAGCCATTTATTCCGCGCGCCGGAATTCATTTACCTCGCACGATGCCTTCTTCGTAGCTTGTCCAGGTGCGGTCCGAAACCAGCTCGCGTGTATCTCGTGCCTATCGCATTCCGCAAAACACGAAGAATCTGTCCTTACGTCGTATATGCAGGCGCGTTCAGCGTTTCAGCTGTATATTTTTGAGCGATTTTCCACAATTGCGGCGGAGGGGAAAGACAGACCTGTCATTTTTGGGAGCGACGCAAGTCCGACGACGAAGCCTGCGGGATCCGCGCAATTTCTGAATAAAAAAAATAAGAGACACAGAGAGTGAAAATTGTAAATGTTGACAAAAATTTCTACACGATATACAGAGTAAAAGTTTAGAAAAAAAATAGCAGATTATAAATCTGCCTCCCTACGCGAGTTTCCAGATTGACGTACGTCGATAAAGGACTCAAAACGACCGATGCAGCTTCTTGCACTCCGAGTATAACGTGAACAAACGTCTCTCTCTCTCTCTCTTTCTTTCTCTCTCTGGTTCACTCAACGATACCGGAAAACGCAGAGGAAGGAAGGAAAAAAAAAGGAAAAGCTATCTATATATTAGGGTCGTGAGTTACCTATGGACTAAAGGAACTTAATCAGTAAAACATTATGAGCTAAACTACCGTTTAAAATAACGTTAATCGAGTATTAATCGGGTAATTTTGCTTGCTGTGCGATCATGATGCGTCCACCCTCGTCTCACCCGTGCATCGTAGACACTCTTTTATCAGACACACGCCATACGTCCGTTCCACTTTGATTAACTACCAACTTGGCGACACGCTTTTTTTGCAAAACGCGCGATTCGCAGTCCACCCCCGCACCCCGTTGCGGCCTCGTCCATATATATATATGTATACTACGATCTCCACACGCACAACTCCGACGTTTTTTCAGGTACCTGACTGACACACACGAAGAAACGTAGGTACCACTTTCTTCGCGAGCTTACATATACAATATATATATATATATATGCGTTAAAAATCGATACGAGTAACACACGAAGCGAAGAAACGTACAGCAATATATACACATGAGAAGAGTAAACGTCAACGAGCCAACATCCAGATACCTGTTGTCCTTGGACGCAAGAGAGAGAGAAAAAAAAAAATAGGATCGAGAAAAGAAAGATATGTCGTCACCTAAATTTTGTCGGTATCGTTTGCACTTTTGACATTGTATTTTTACGAGCTACTCAGATTTGCGCGAGTTTAAACGGAGGCGAAACTTTGGGTTCAGTTTACGAACTTCGAATTAAAAAAGAAAAAAGAAATTAAGGGAACGGCTTGTCTTATTATCGGCTCAATGTCAACCGCGAATATAATTAGTTTTACGCTGCATTATGATTTTCTAGAGCGCCAACGTCGCCTGGAATATCGACCAAACGTTTGCCGCATGGAAACTGACTCTAGGAATAACAGAGTATTATATTGTATCCAATTATTTCGTTATGGCATTTGTATCGAAATGTTGAAACGCTTCGTTAAAAGGGGTAAATTGTTTGCCAATTATCTAGTACGCTTGGGGCTCTTGAAGACATTAATTTCCATGTGGCACCAAAATGGCCGAGATATAAAAAGAAAAAAAAAAAGAAAAAAAAAAGAAAAAAAATCACGTGTAATTAACGCTCAATATCGATTCACGATTTCCGGAATTCGTGCTATTTCTGCAATCATACACACACACAAACACACATACACGACGCATAATATCACGAATGTACACGTTACACACATCGATAATCTATGAAAAAGAAAAGATAATTAAATTGTTTTTATGGATTAAGAAACAAGTTGTCTGTGATCTACAATAATTAAAAGAATATTTAATAAATATTAACAGATACAAAAGTATAAAATGTCGATAAAGTAATGTTGAATGAATATATAAGAGGAAGAAAAATAATCGAACGATCAGATTTTATTGGTTCTCGAGGCGTATTGGTAGAGAGCAATACGAGGTAGCAAGAGAGAAGTAAAATATCGTACGAGAAAATTTAAGTCGCTGCAGGAGGGAATTTTAGAAAAAAAAAAAGAGGTATATTATATATATATAATTACAACAGAAAAATATAGACTTATACGATAGAGCACGCAACGTCAAAATACTTTAAATCGCTGTTGTTGATTTCCGCGAACTCTATATATGTACTACAGAACGCGCTTTCCCATGTACTTCTTGTATGGAAAAAAACGAGGCAAAAGAGGAAAAAGGTACGCCTCTATCCTTCAAGGATGCTGAAAGCTTCGTACAAGCTCTGTTAAAAGTTTTAATTAGAGTGTTCGTTATAAGTCATATCTTTACGGATGCTAAAGGAAAATTTATTAGAAAGTTATACCGATGAAGAGCCATCTCTTTTGACTCGTTTACCCACCCACCCACACACACACACTCACACACATAATACACACACAGTGCGCGTTCCAGTATATAAAGTTCAGTGATCTGTATTAATTCGCGAAAAGTGAAAACAAGAGTGCGTGCTGCGTTCGGATAGTACCAATAAATAAATAAAAAAAAAATACATATATATATTATATGGCACTTGACCGTCGCGGCTAAAAGTACATAGGATTTAGATAGATTTATAGAAGCGCAAAACACCAAAAATCGTTCCTTCCACCCGCTCCGGCCGTGTATTCGATTTTAAATATATCGCATCTCATACATGAAGTCAAAACTCTGTGAAATTTAATAAAAGCGCACCTCGGAACTTGCAACTTGCATCGTAATTTAATTAAGATAAAAGAAAAAAAGAAAGAGGAATTATATATAAATATATGGTAGCCCTGAATAACATCACCAAATAAGTTATTCGACACAGAGTGCGTTTGCGAAAGATCATTTTTGTACAGTTCTGGTACACACACATACACACGAGAAGAACGTGCAACATCGTCGTCGTCTTTATATTTATGTACATTTCAATTATTATAAATTTTTCGATATTATTATCGAACTATGATCGATTTTGTGTGAAAGTGTATATGGCTTTTTCTGCGGTTAACAATAAAATGTTGTCAAAGCTTTTTTCACGATATACATTTTATTAGATTTTTCTTCTACCTCCCCTCTTTTATCTTAAATTTTATCTTGACGTATCAATCTACTTCCCTAAATAATTATGCGTTGCGTTGTAACATGTGAATTAAATTGCATGGTAATTTGAAGATAAATATAATAGAATAAACTGGTTTTAACACATTATTATTAATATTAATAAAGAAATGCTTTTTATTTAGATATAAAAAAATTAGTATTATTTTTGAATTATCAGTTTCGTTCCCTTCGCTTCATTGCATCACTGTAACAAATGCTGTAACAGACAGAAATTGATTATTTTTATAAAAAAGAATTTGTTGTGATAAAAATTAAAACACTGTAGCAAATATCAGTGTATGACGAATAGTTTCATCTTTTATTCAGGACTCTAGCCAATTCATCAGATTATTTACTACATAAAAGTGTCGTTCGTATATATGTGATTTATTTAATTTATGTTTTTATAATTCAAAATATTATTAATAACTAATTTTAAAAACGTTGTATTGTATTATTTAATATTATATCATTGATAAAAAAATAGTATGTTATATACTAATCGTATTATATACTAATTGTATTATTTAATACTATATCATTGATAAAAAAACAGTATGTTATATAATATCCTTCACTCAATTCATACATTTCCTATCACGTCTGATCTTTTATGTCAAATTTTTTATTGTTTATTATGCACATATTAAAAATAAGTATGAATAAATTTTACCTTTCTTCGATTTATTAACGAAAATATTTCTGAGTGCCTCGTAATCCCTGTAGAAAACATTTTAATTAAAAACCAGCAGTAAACAACCAATTAACGAGAAACAAAATATAATTCAAGACTTCAGTTAAAAGAATGTACACGTTGGAATTGGACTTTTGACATCAGGTTTCAGCCCCGAAAGAATATCATCATTGTAGTCTTGATATTTTATATGAATATATTGATAATATTATAATGTTAAATGTTCTCTTTATATTTGTTTTAGAATATACTTGTATAATATGTATTATAAATTTAAAATATGTACAAACGTATTTTTTAAAATTAAATATTTCTGACAATATTCTCACCTTTAATTATAATTGATATGTTCCATGTATCATCTCAATTTGCGCTTTCTTCACTTCATTATGGACCTTTAATACAAAAATAAAGACTAATACAGTTATGCAACATACGCGTAAATTATCGTATCGTAGATATAATCAAGACTTGCTTCAGTTATAAAAATGTACACGTTGGAATTAGATTTTTGACATCAGGTTTCAGCCCCGAAAGGATATCATCATTGCAAGTCTTGATACTTTTTTAAATATAAATTGACAAAATTCTAATATTTAATATAATCTAATATTTTATATAATTTTTTAAAATATAAATTGATAAAATTCTAATATTTAATATTCTTTATATCTATTTTCAGAAAATACATATATAACATGTATTATATATATTTAAAACATATACGAACTTTTTTTTATTAAATATTTTTCACTAATTTATTCAATATGCTCACCTCTTAATTATAATTGATATGTCCCAAGTATCACAATTTGCATTCTTTCCTTTTCATTACGGACCTTCAATAATAAAGAATAGTAAAATTAACGAGATATACGTAATGATATTATATTAATCATGTAAGCCATGTTTCGACTCAGTACACGTTAGGACAATTAAAAATCATTAGAATCATTCATAAAAAAACTTTCATCATGACAAACAAATCAGCAAAATAAAAAACAATAATGTATCTGTGTGTATATATATTCAAAATTTTACAAACCTTGAACATATACGAGCCAGGTATTACGTACTTCGTGTAAAAACGTCAAGCATGGACGTAGTTTCAAGATATCAGACTGTAAATCATAAAAAAAATATATTATCAGGTAAAAAATGTTCATCAAATATTGATAAAATTTTTCAAACATGATCAGTACACATTGAAATCGTTTGTCACAGATCTTCGAAATGAATTCACGTTATAATGCAAATATTATTAAGGACAAATCAATTAATGATATAGCAAAAATGATAAGTTTATGAATTTTATATATATCTATGCAAGAGAGAAATTCAATCGCATATAGATTGACATCTTTAATTGTGACCTGTTTAAATTAATTAAATATGAGGAATAATATTGAAAAGTACCTATATTTCTGAGGAATCCTTTTTCTGTTCAACCAGCTGGTGCGCTAATCTGAAAACACATAACACTTGATAAATACAAGCGTGTTAAAACATTTCGTCCTCGATTTAGATTAAAAACTTGGACGTCCATAATAATTAATTCAGCCTATAAAACACGAAGTATAATTAACTTCAACTTATAAAACACGAAGTACATATTGTTTGATGAACATCGATAGCATTATTTATTTTATGTCAAGATTTTAATGCAAGCATGATTTTTTGATTTTTTTTTATGATTATGTATTTTATGTCAAGATTTGAATGCAAGCATAATGATTTTTAACGCCAGGTAAAATGACGATATATGATTAAAAATAACACTTGTAGTATATAAGTGTTTTAAATAAATTGTGTAAATATATATATGTGTGATTTTCGAAGATTCGATGATATATATATTAATTTAAAACATATTAAAAATTTAATAAAATTATTTTTCAGATTTCAAAACATACAAGTAGATTATAAAATTTATGTACTGTGCTGAAATGTGTTAAAATTAAAAGTATGGCATTTAAAATATTTATAGATATGCCATTATTATGCAATCATCGTAAAAATTGTATAATGTTAATTTAAAAAAAAAGTTATAATAGATAATTCCTAATCTGCTTCAAAATTATTTCAAGTTTCATTATTCGAAACAATCAAATTTTTAATGCATTCTAATATCGTAATACATACATAACGTTGCAGTACACAAAAATATATATGTGCCTAAAAGGTTTCAAAAACTTCTTGCAAAACATTGTTTTTTTTCACAATACGAAAAAGAAGAGGTATTGGTCGCCATTAACTTTGATTATGTTTGCGCTAGAAAAATTATTTTGAAGAGATTATATAGTGTCATTAATTATGAAAAAAAAAATGTTATAAGATTTAGAAATTTTTAATATTAATATTAATAAATTTTAATATTAATATACTTTTTTAAGATTGTGAAGTGTATTTTAAATCCCTCTGTATATAAATTTATATTATTATGAAGTATTTCTTTTATAGCTATAAAGCTGCATCATATCACGGGATTAGTGAATTACAGACATCTGCGTATTTCTCACATTTAGTTTCATCCAAGATATAATATCCATGTGTGCTAAAAAAATGTTCCCTTCCCCAAAAAAATCTTTTTATACAATCAAAGTCCACATTTTTTATTTCACGAGATTATTTTTTGATCACACATCGCTAGATAAAAAACCTAATTTTTGCAGAATCAATATGAAAATATGCACCACCTTATATTTCTTGTCACTCAAAGTGACATAAAAGTAAGAATTTGTTAAACTTGTCATCTATATCACAGCCTAGATTTCAATAGCTAAACCTAGACAACCTTTTACTAAAGTACGCGTCCACATATTATGGTTGTCGTAGGCAAAAAGTACCGTCTAGGCTGATCAAATGCTTAAATTTGTCACACATGTTTATTTAGAGTAAAATTTATTAGAATAAGATTTATTATTAAACGAGTTGGAGAGACAAAAGCATTTACGAAATGTATAAAATCATATGTTTGAACAATATTAGTTGCACATTTGTTATCCTATTATATTATAAATTCCAATCAACTTTATCAGTACATAAAGTCTGTGTCAGCAAACGTTACAAAGTAATCCTCATATACATAATCTGCTCACATAACATGTTGTAAGGATCATGACAGAAATAATTGTGTTTAAAATATGGCTTGTATCCAAGTAATCGATAAACGATTACTTTGTAATTTTTGCTAATAGTTCAACGTCCCACCCGAAGATTAAAGTAAAATTATGCATATAATATATAAATATAGATATAATAACAGTTTTACAAAATTTACTCACCTCGTTAACAGGTAGTTCATTGACTAGCAGTTTCGAGTAAGTAAGCTTATCTTGTGATTGCAGTCTCTTCTCCGTTAAAAAAAATTCTTGATTAATTATATTCAGTTCTAAATTAATATTTTGTCGCTATTAAATACTGGAACGTGAAAGATTCCTCAAAATAGAAAATGCTCTTTCTTTTCTTATTATTCATAGTAATTCTTAAAGAATCTAAAGAATCAGGACATAAAATTGTAAATAAATAATAGAAAATGGAAATTACATTTTGATTGAAAACTCTGGAATCGTAGACATCTCAATATCGCACAAATTTTTTTTTGTATTATAAAGAACATCCTTTTTTACTATTCATCGTATAAGAAAATTTATAACTTTGTATAATTAAATAATCCTAAACTTTACATAATTAAATAATCCTTTAAAAATTTTTTTCATAATTGCAGAATCTTAATAAATTAACTTTATAAGCTTTGTCTCAATCGTATATTGAAAAATCTGTTTTTAAAAAGACTCTCGGCTAGAGTATAAAATATTTTTTTTATCACATTTTCTAATATTTCATTTTTGTAAACTTATAATGCGCGAATCGGTTGGTTTAATAACAATAACTATAATTTATAATTTTTCGCACACAAATTGCACATAAAGTACAATTTTAAGAAATTAAAAACCTCCAAGATACACGTATATTAAAAAAATAAATAAATAATCATAACGTAAACAAGAACTCTTTAGGAAATAAGTTTTTTGTAAAAATAATTTCAACTTGTAAAATCTGGCCTATAGGAGATAAAGAAAATCGTTGAACTGAAAGTAAAAAAAACTGTAATCAGGTAATATTTTATATGTAATAGCACAAAAGATATAACTTGTATTTTATATATATATATATATATATATATATATATATATATATATATATATATATATAAGATCAGTCACGTAAATTATATGAAAGAAGTAGAGTAATAGATTCAGTAATTAATATGTATATATGTAAATTTGTATATTATATACCTTTATTTTTAAAATCACGCCTCTAGATTAAGTTTTTTTTCACAAAGTATTGAATATTATATTTGCAGATAGTACTGCGCGTATGTGTATATATGTGTATATATAATATCTTATACTAAAATAATAATTGATGGATATTTAAGAGCTGACAAATTTGCATATCATGATGCGACCATCATGCTCAACACACCTAGACAATGACATAATACTAATTTCAGAATAAAGCAAATGTATATTGGTGCAGATCTTGTTTGGAAATGTTTCATTCCAGTCATGACACGTCTGTCTTCGCTTACACATTAATATTGTTTTTATAATTTAGATAACGTACAAGATAAGGTAAAGAAAGTGCTATCTAATTTTATCAAGAAAATAATAAAATTTTAATCTACTAAAGTAAACTATAATCTAATTTTTATTATGAAAGAATAATTATAAATGATATTGCTAAATTTTCACAATGAAAAATCTAGTGTAGTAAATGGTATATTAAGAAAAAAAGCCATATGTATTACGACAAAAACAAAATATTATCTCTGTTATTCTAATATTATTTACATTTTCCAACAATCTCAAAATGAACCAAGTCATCTCTTTGAATCTTACTTCATAATTAATTTATCTCATATTTGATGCATAAATATGAGATAAATTAACTATTATACAATAATTCGAATTGCCATGATTTTAATATTTATGATATATAGATTATATCTTTCTCATATTTATATACCATAAATATGAAATACATTAACTATGAAGTAGTACTCAAAATACGTTTAAATATCATGATACGAGTTGAAGATGAAATTGCGAAAATAAATTGTGTCCAATAAAATTATATACGTGAAATACTTCTATTGAATTAATGATATTTTGCACGGATCTCTCGGCGTAGAAACAGCAATTTGAAGCAGATTTCTAAGACGCATTAGTTGATATCCAACGGGAGTACATGCTCGAGAAGAAATGTCATCTGGAGGACACAGAATCTGTCAAAGTATCAAAATACTATATAGCATCTAAATCCAAACTCTCACGCATCTCGAAAACTTTGCAAATCGGGATATTTTATATTCCGGATGATGTCCAAATATATCATTCTCATAAATCATATTCGATCTTCTACACTAATCCTTCTTCTCCATTTCCTCTTTGGGTTATCAAGATAGACAAGTGATATAAAAGTGAGAGAAATGATTATAAAGGACATAGTACGATTTGCAGTGTCACTTCAGAAAATCAACGGACCAACATTCCGCACATCGCATTCCTTAATATCGTCGGCGTTTGTTAGGATAATCGTCCGGGCGATTTCGATCATTTCCTTGCCAACGTCCACTACCACCACTACCACCGCGGCTACCCATATTACCCATATCAACCCTCATGTCCATTAAATCCATTATCTGTCCGCGGTCATCGTTATAACCACCTCCCCCTCGACCACCGCGATCCATATTGTTATACGCATCCATGAAGGATTTCGGATCCTATAGGAATATTTATATAAAGAATAAGAATTTTTTTTTTTATGGGAGTTATTTTTCGGCAATTGTTTTTGTTGATAATTATTGATGAGAATGCCGTTCGCACATCACAGAGGAACGCACGATACGCGTGTGTGCGTGTGATTTGCGGATGTACCATAAGTACATTCCGTACGGTTCAGGGCGACCATCCATGTTTGACAGCAGCACAGGTCATCGTCAATTTTCGTCAAATCACATAGAAAAGAAAGGGGAAAACACAATGTTAGATTGCTGTTTGTGCGTTCATGGGCGCAGTACACTGCGCTAAATACAGCTCTTATTAATATAGGTTTTCTTTTTTTTTTTTCTGGCGAATATACGTTCTGTGACATCGATTAATTATTAGACCAAGAGAATGCCCAATATAGACAGTAACTTTCGTTAGGGGTCAATATCAATGGGTCAATATCAAATACCAGTGTGTAATCGTTTACTAGCCTTCCATAATTAAAGTCCTCAAAGTAACAATTTATCCTCTTAAACATGACTTCGACCCAGTAAAGAGTAAAAGCTTGTATTTCGGACATGACAATAAATATAATCGCTCCGCGATTTTATTGCATGTCAGCGAATTGAGAGTTTCAAATCACAGTTGAAGTATGATTAAGAAAGATAAATTGATCAATTGATAGATTATTGCTATTTTTGTAATAATTCAACCGATATGTTCAATATGTATCAGAGATGCTAGAAATTAGGCGACGATAAGATCCACTTCATTTTACATATCGCATAACGACGAGTAGAAATTGTCTATACGTTCCCCATATAAATGTACATAACATAGTACAAACATATGTTTGTACGCCTATATTCTATATGGTTAATCTAAGTGAAATTTTTCTCCCAGTCCCAATATTATAATAATTATTAAACAGTCACATAATCGTTGTATATTGGATAGAATTTTACAAGCTTATATTTCGTCATCAGCAGTTATGTCGAGAAATGCATATGAAGATATGTCGGAATAAAAAGCGGTCAATTTATTGATTTATCGTCGTATGATAAGTCAATTTTACGTGTTAGAAGAAGTTGAAAATAATTTTCGGTGCTTAATAATAAAGTACTGACATTAAAAAGTTTATACGTTATCTTGAAGCTGCGAGCACAAACGCAAGTAGCAAAGAGGCGTGATCAGGGTCTCTGAGCAAACTTTTCTTTAGTTGTGCTCGTACTTCAGATACGTATTGTAAGTCAGTGTATTATGTGTAAAATATTAATATTTATAATATAAAACATGCACATATAAATGTGCATGGATATTAACATCTTGTACAAATAGTACCCCAAGTATTAAAGTTGTCCCATAAAGTTTAAAACAAATAGACAAAATTCAGATCAATCTAATTGGAGAATTTGCTAAGATATACGAAAATTTCCTGATGATTTCCTATTGAGAGATATTTTCGTCTCAATAATATATTAATAAAACTATTTTGGTCTAAAAGTCTAGTTGGGCATTTCTTGGTCAATATATATACATAGCTACTATGGAACTGTATTATTTATAAATTTATGATTCATAAATTTTTTTTCTGTCGTATCAATCTTGTCATAATTTATCACAGAAAGCATGATAAACGCCGCGATATCAAATTATCAACGTTTCATAAATGTTCCATAGTAAACGAAATTGATCTTAACGCTACAACAGAATAATAGATCACAGAGTCTCCTGTCTGCAATCACGTGGAGAGACCAATGTGTGGCAGTTATATTTGTAGATCTAAATAATTTTCATGAGTATGTACGAAGAGTTTAAGAAGTGTATTATCATAATGATAGGCATTAATTTATAATATGGCATTAGCTTATAAGTCAATTTCAAAAGATCAGAAATATCACCTAAAGTAAGCTTTTCTGCATCTATATCCTAATTATATTATAATATCAATATATAGCGAAATCCCTGTCAAATAAATTTTATTCATAAAATTGTCTAGCTTAATTAATGGTTTTATTTTATCACTAATCCTAAGTAGCAGTAATGTTTGTAAAATAATAAAGACTTCTTATATAATTAATATATAATGCAGTTTATCAATTTATCCCAACGCTGCAGTAAAATTTAGATATTGCGCTGCTCGCATGTATAACGCGTTCAGCAATATATAATAAGAAAGTCAGAGACTCTAGAAAAGCTTTCAGAATAAACATTGGCATTGCCATTTCCTATGGATGATTTCGCACCATAAAGTGAGCAATGGATTTTATAAATTGAGCATCTTAATTGTGCATTTTAAGATGCGAAACTAAATCGTAACTTATCGTCAGTAGAAATATCTCTCAGTCAGATATAGCAATATAATAGGTTTAGATTTGTTTGCATACGGCAATATCGATAAAGATTATTTTGAATATAATTAAAAGTCATTATTGACACTTCATGTAACACTGAAGTGTCGGTTTTCATTGTTAAGTATGTTATTATGCACATCATTGATTCCTCCACATGTTACAATGATCAGAAATTGATTTTTATTATACTTTATTGTTTGATAAAAATTAAAATAATGAAACAAGTATTTTATTAATTTTGCAGACATTAGAACTCTGATTATGTTGAAGAGCATGCTCAACTGGGTATAAAATACTAGGGATAATACTTTATTAACCCTCCTTATTTAACTTTATAGTGTTATCACATAAATATTTGCGTTTTGCAATAAATCATGCATGACGCAATATTCCACTCATTATAACGAATGAAGTTTGCGCAAAACGCATCAGAATATATCTCAAAGTTGCATCGCTCGAGAATGGAAAAAAAGAAAATGTCCATAGGAATGAGTCAAATCCCGCAAGAAAAAATAACTTAATACTAGAATAATAGATTAATCAAAGTAGTAAATAAAATGGATACATTACCACTGGCATGCCGCTTCCACCTGTAAAAAATAATAAATACATTATTAAAATGAGATGTAAAAATATAAAAAAACACCGAAAAAAGTTACTGATATACAATTACTAACATTACTACATTACTAAGTTTATAAACTGTAATTAAAGTTATATTTATCAGTGATTTCTCAAATCTTGTAAAAAAATTTCATGAAAATTCCTTAATATTCCAACTATTTTTATTCAAAATTTCGAAATAAAGAGAATATTTCAAAGACTTTTTGATGCAACTTTTTAAAATAAATTTTTTTATCGCGTTTTCTAACATTTTTCATTTGTAAAAAAGAAAAACACAGAGCCTTTTAAGTTTCAAGTGTCAGATTTGTGAATGATTGGAAAAAAATTGAATAATTTTCGTAAACATTTTTCGTATATACTTTTATATATTTTTATTTTTTGTCAATAAAAATAACAATAAAGAATATATATTCAATCATTTCGTCAAGATATAAACAGAAATAGACATATATTTATAATATTTTTTAAATATATAATTTATCTGGTTTGCTATTTACAAAAGCAAAATTATCCTAAAAGAATTTTTTTAAGAATTCTTTAATTCTCAATAAAATGCCAATTTCCAATTTTATTGTAATAACAATTCTAATGTTTCCAAGTACAAAAGAAATTTGAATTTTCAATGTTTTATCTGAGAATAGCTTCTATACATATATATTTATAAAATTGTGTAGTTCAAATTATATATAATATTTATAAATTTTATATAAGTTTTCAATGATTTTTTTTTATGTAAAAATTCATCTTACCATCAGGTTGACCATATCCATCACGATCATTGTTGCTAACAGAATCGTAATTTTTTCCACTTCCACTTCGGATTGCCTGCTCCTTTAATATAAAAAAATATAAAGTTTATATAATTTAAATAATTAATCCAATTGTTATTTAAAAAAAACTACAGTGGAAATAGCTATTTTAACTAGTTAAAAAAAATATAATACATGTAGAAAGTCCAAAATTTAACACAAATTCATATATCAATATGCTCTCTGCAATCTCTTTTATAGTTCTTAGTCTCTTGAGATCTTAAATTCTGAAATAAATTAGTGTCGAACTTCTCTAATATCATTAATAATATCGTCAATACTGAAGAACATAGTCGTATCATAGATTCTCATGTTTCAAAGAAATAGCAACAGAAATTCTTGAACAACTCTGTTTACACATCTCCAAGGAATATTAAGCAATATGAAATTTCATACTAATTTGTTTCAGAATTTGTTAATGTAATGTCTATTTATTAAATTTTAAAAAATTAAAAACTATAAGGAAAAACTCAGAGAGCATATTTGAATACTGATAAGCTTACATTAAATAAAGTGAATTAAACTTTTCGCATATGTATTTTTTCTCTGGATCCTTGCAAGTGATTATCCTTAACAATATTACAAGCATATGAAAAATGTCTCAACAAACCTGCATAAACAAATTATTTTCTTGTTGACGCCTATGTAATTCCTCTTCTTGTCTCCTAATACGGATTGCCATCTCTTCTTGCTGACGACGTCTTAACTCTTCCTCGCGAGTCCTTTGTTCCTCAGCTTGTCGTTCTTTCATTTCCCATTCTCTTTTTTGTCTCTCACGATCCGCTTCGCGCATACGCAATTCTGTGACATAAGATACAATTATTATTATTGTAAAGATAATTTTATACATTATGTATGGATTAGAATACACACGTTCTCTCAAAAGTTCCGTCTCGTGTTCGTATCTGGCAAATTCCATCTGAGCTTCTAATTTCTCTTCTTCCATCGCCATTTCTCGTTTCAATGCTTCTTCTTTCTGCTTGTACAGTTCGTGCAATTGTTTCCACCGTGTACCATATTCATGCTCAAAGCTTCCTAATTGCGCAAAGCGCGGCCCAATCTCACGTGCTTTGAAAAATTCTGGATTCTTGCGTGGCAGATTCTTGTCAGGATACCCATCCACGTCATCTTGCTGTTCAAACAGTTCCACAACCACTGGTCGAAGAGAACTGAAAATACAATAGAAACAAGTTCTTTAAATTTAATTTTTTTATACCAATAATTACTTTGATAATTTTTAATAATTTTGTGTTTCACGAGTCAGCACACAGCAAATTATAGATTTAATCAACCATGTTTCCTATGTGAAACTCTATTTTTCTATACCCCTAAATTGTTATTAGGCACTTGTTTGTAGATTACAATATACCAAACAAGCGTGGCGTTGGGGATTTGTTAAAGAAAATATGTCAAAAAATTTAGTTACTTACGCCGTGACAAAGTAGCAACCTTCCGTACATTTCCTCAGAGCCAGCTGAGCAGATGGTTTTCGACAAAATTCGACAATTCCTTCGCCGGTAGTTTTGCCTCTTTCGTCAACTTTAACTATCGCACGTTCAATTTCGCCGAATACTCCAAAAGCTCTCTCGAGAAGTTCATTAGATGTCCAAGGTGTAAGATTTTTCACTTTAATTGTCGATGAATGAGGAGCGAAGCGTACTTTTAATGCCCGACCTTTACGCATTGTACCATCCAATTCCCTTTTTGCTGTGTCAGCATTTGCTTTATAATCCTGGAAACAAAAGAACGAATTAGTCTATAACATGCCTTTATGAAAAGCACAATATTTTATTAATAATAACATAATCATTGTAAAATTACAGCCAAAAATTTATATCATGGTACATCAAACGGTAATTATTATAATCATTTTATATTGTCGCAAGAGAAATTTATATAGTAATATAATTTAATAATATAATAATTAAATATATAAAATTTATAATTACCATTCTAAGAAACGCAAAACTTTTCTCTTTATTTACAAATAGTTCCGAAATTTCTCCATATTTTTGGAACATGGTCTGTATTTCTTCTTCGGTTACATCGTTTGTTAAGTTTCCAATATACAAACGATTTCTACCGCTAAATTTCTTTTCTGTTGTATCCTGTAGAGGTAATTCATGAGTGGGTCCACCGATAGCCATGACTCGTTCCATCAATCGATCCTGAAAATAAAACATTTAACCAGTAAAACATTTAATACTCATCTTGATAAAAAGTAAAAAAATAATATATAAATAATATTAGATATAAGCTTACGTCTTGCGATCTATTGGCCATATTTCTGTCACCAGTACCACGACCACCACCTCTTACGCCTCCTCGCATTCCACCGCCACGGCCCATTCCCATACCACCTCCCATTCCACCTCCCATTCCACCCATTCCTCCTATTCCTTCAGATATAGGGTTATCTATTCCTCCATCCATGGAATCGCTCATTTTCATCTATAATAAAATAATTGTTTCCACATAAAATTATAAAAAATATATAAATCTTTTAATATCATTTTTAAGATAAATTTTCCTTAATATCTTTTACATTTGCATATTTATCATCCTATTTTAAAATATGGATATGGGTACTATTTCTATTTATCAAAATATAGAGAAAAGTGACAAACATCCAGGATGTATTCTAAAGTTCATTCTAAGCAAAAATAAAAATTTATATAAGTTTGATCAATTCCATTCAATTATACAAATATGAAGAATTTAATTCTTGTCGTTAATCTTATATAACAAGAATTAAATTGTTTATCTCAATTGAATTGATCTACCGCATGAATCTCTTTGCTTTGAATTCCATCGATTTTTTCACAAAAAATACCTTATACATTATTCTATATTTAAAATTTCTGATAATTAGCATTAGCCTTTCATTGTATAATAGATATTTTATAATTATTATCTTATATATATTTTATATATACAGAACAAAGACACTTGTCTCAAGCTACTCGAGAGCACGTGCAACGTGAAATTTTAGAACATGAGTCGCCATTTTACACGCAAGGACGCCATTTTGTGTCTCCTCAGCCGATTATAAAAGCACATTACAAGAGATTCACACTCTCAATTGCTTTTTCGTTATTTAAACATCTCCGAATTTAATGAGCTAATACGATATAAAAATTACGTCGATCATAAATGCATATTAAACATCATACATAATATTGTTAAAAAGCACCACATATTACATCGCTTCTCTTGCACGAGACACTTTTCGAGCTCATATGGCAAAGCCCAGGGGGAAGGAATCTCCCCTTCTGAATGAAATTTCTAGCATAAATCGTGCGAGGAAAATATCAGCGCAATTATATAATCCAGACTCTCGAAAATCGAATAATGGACCGGCTCGTGGACGAATTACGTCTCACTTCAAGCGATAACAATGGCGTCGCGAAGACGCGGATTCCCATCCGAGGAAATGAGAAAAAATCAGGAAAATATTACGATATTTTTGTGGGAAATTTTTCCTCACAAAAAAAAAGGATTGAAAAAAAATAATTACCGTCTCGTTCCTGCCGCCGCCGCCGCCGCCTCCCAGACCGCCACCCATTCCTCCGCCTCCACCGCCGCCGCGGCTCGAGAAACGCGTGCCGCCCTTTCGGCCGCGAGGGCCGCGGTTGCCGCCGCCGCCGCCGCCGCCACCTCCTGGTGGATTCCGCTCGCGCGGATTCTCATTGCTGTTTTCAGCCGGCGCGTTCGCCGGTTCCGACTTGACGTTCGGGGTCTCCGTTCCGGCCATGGTCGTCCGAGCGTCCTCTCCGTCGTCTCCTGTCGCGATCGAGGGTCCCCGTGCGGAAGAAACGCACACCGCGGCGTCCGACAACGAAGAGGGAACGACGAGCGCCAGCCACGATGATTAATACGGCTCGGCCTCGCTCCCCACCACCGGCGCCGCGGTGCATCACGGGATTGGTCGGACGCGGCGACGGGATTGGTCGGGCGCCGGCGGGAGACGCGCGGCGATTAGTCGGGCGCCGGCGGGAGACGCGCCGCGATTGGCGGGCTCGCCGGGCCGGCAGGGCTGCCACGTGTCGACGCCGGACGTCGTTGTCCGCTAGGGGAGAGCGGCCATGGCAGCGGCTCTCGGTTCGGACCGCGGTGGACAGGGGGCGCCACGTGCGACGTCCAAAGAAACTTGTCTATCTATATATGTGTGTGATACATGTCCTTCGTTTTTCGTTTAAAATTTGTAATTTGCAGTTTGGAATCGCGTGGATTGATTAGTCCGATAAAGTGTCATCTTGTATACGAATTTGTTGTTCTTACGTTTTTTCTTCGATATTGGTATCATTATCAGAGAAAACGATAAACGTTTTGTTTCTTATGATATAATTTTGGTAGGTAATAATTATACTCGATCTTAATTTAATTACCAATAACTGAAATAATAACGCAATTTATAGATATATTTAATGTTGTTTCAGTAATTAATAAAACATACTTATCAAAAAATATAACATATACAAAAAAATGTTATAAAAGAAATTATTTCTCTACATATTTATCTTGTTGAATAAGAAATACTTATAATTATAGCTTAATATTAAACATAATTGTCTAATTTTTATTCCATTTTACATAGCTTTTATCGAACTTTTATTACAAAAATTAATATTAAAAATTTATCTAATGTAAGAAATAATTTGTTTTAAAATAATACACATTACATATACACGAATGTATAGTATATATAAACAATACATATGTGTTCTATGAAACATTTGTATGAAATTAATTGATAACTTATAAATTTGCAGACATTAAACGTAACTATTTGATTTTTATTTTATTTTATAATATTATTATACATATTATTTTCGTTGTAAAAATTAATATGAATGATTGATCTAAGAAATAATTTGTTCTATAAAAAAATAATTCATTACATGAATGTACAGTATATAAATAATACGTGTATTATAAAATAATTATGTAAAGTTAATTAATAACGTGTAAATTCGCAGACATTAAACAGAGTAATTATTTGATTTTTATTCCATTTCGATACCGTATATTATTTTCATTGTAAAAATTAATACCAATAATTTAATTAAGAAATAATTCGTTCCATAAAATTAATTAAAAGGATTATATAAATTTGCAGATACGAAACTTCATACGCTATTTCGCCCAGCTCAGGAATACGTGCGAACCTTGATAAGGTTTCACCGATCCGGTATGCTTTCTTCGAGTCGCCGTTATCGAACGACGACAGGTGTGACCTAATGCTTCCGATCTGTCATCTAAATCATGAGGCTTAGCTGCGTATTTCAACCGTGGGTATACAAGTACAATCGTAATGGCCGAAAATCACGAGAGGGTTTAGCACGATAATAAATTCTCGATAATAAATTCCCGAGCAGTCGTCTACACAACATATCGAACATCCGGATTAGATCATCGTAGCCGATGATCTAGGACGATCTGTAACGCGATGTTCGAATCTCTCGTTGCATATGAGATAGATCGGTAGCCGGCTCTCGATGAAAGTCTCGCGGGAATCGCACGTAGTTTTGTTACGTGTGACACACGTAACAATCAGGACGACTCCCTCAAGGGAAGTAGATGTCCCAAATGTCCGCAATGATCTCGAAAAGCCATTAGCATGTAACATCACACACGATGTATAATAATATCTGTCTTGCAGCCGGACAAAATCGACTCGTATCACAGGATCCATACTTTGGGGAGGCTCATAATTAATATAGCTGATTTATAACTTCATTTTAGATCGTCGCATATAATTGTGGATATTTTATGCCTATTTGTGTATTTTAAAGATGAGTTTTTGCGCTAATGATCATTTTTCTATAAGTCATTTTTTTAAAAGATACATGAAGATGTCACTAATGTATCTTTCATAATTCATATTTTTTTTGTGTAAATTGAGTCTTCTAATTTTCATAAGCTTAATCGTCAACCACATTTCATGTCCATTTTTCTCTCTTTTTCTATTAGTGTGTACCATCACATACGGTGTATGATAGCATCTATCTCGCAATCAAATAATATTGGTATAGAACCTATATTTTCAGCAGACTCATAATTAGTAATATAGGTAAAAGGAAATGATATTATCAACGATCACGATTATCGATGTCGTTTATTTTAGTTTTAGATTGTAGTGTATAAGTGCGTGGAAATATTTTATTCATATTTTATCTATATAATTCATATATCTGAAAAATAAGTTTCTGTGCTAAATAATCTTAGTTATTTTTTATTTATAAATCGAGAAAATACTTTAAAAATTAATCATTAATGTATCTTTCATGTAGTTCACAAGTTTATTTTGTGTGAATCAAGTCTTTCAACTTTTTCAAATTTAATTATTAATTACATTTTACTTTCATTTCTGTCTTTCTTCCTCTCTCTTTCTTTCTTTCTCTTTCAAACGATTTTTAACGAGCCTAAAATCATCGCTTATCCACGTGCTGTGACGCGAAAGCTGAGGCTTCAAATAAAAAATTGGCTTCATTATAGAACGCAATTAAAAGATGATAATAGGAAAGCGAAGAAAAAGGGGAGGAACGCTCATTGAAGTGCGGTATATATAGAGTGTCCCAGATCTATCGGATAATACTTTGGAAACTTGTCGAACAAATTGCAAGCAATTTTCTCTGGGGATAAGATTTTGCATCATATAAACTGTAAAGAATATAAATTCAATCTTTGCGAATTACATGTATGTAAATAATTTAAAAAAATCCTTAATCTCTCTTTCATTTATAATACATTTTAATCCAATAGAATTCTACTTTTCTACGTTTCCTCTTTTCAAAATTTAACTACTAAAATATTTAAATATCAAATGGATTTTATGTGTCAAAGTTTTAATCTCTTTCCATTGTATGAAATTTATCTCTAAAATATACCTCCAAACCCTATAATATTAATAATTGTTTACGTTAATAATTAAAATGTATATATTGATTAATATTATATTATAAGTCAATAACACAATTTCAATATCGCGTGTGTGCGATATTGAAATGAATACAATCCAGGAATTTGTCTACAGACGCAATAACATAAATAATATCTAAATTCTTTCAGCCCCATAAAACGACTCCCGTAAAATTACATCTCATCTCGAGGAAATGAAAAAAAAAAAAAAATTCCACCATCAATGAGCATCAATGGCTGTTAAAAGTATTACGTGTTGGGAACATCCCGTAGAAGAGGAAGCAAGGCGGGACAGGCAGGAGCGTAAACAAGGAGAATGCATCGCGGGGGTGGCACGACGGGGTACGAGGGCGAGGGGGTTGTACCCGTCGCTCATGCGCGCCTGGAACCCCGCCCTATCGCTTCGGAATACGGCCTGTCCTGTCGAGGACTCTTCGCCGAGGTGGTCGAATAGTCACGCTTTAACCCGCGATCCGCGAGGCGGACAGCACTCGCCAGGAACGCGCAAGTGCTCGGAAGAGGAAGGAGGCCCCGCAAACATTCCCGAAACGGGCCCCCGGGGCTGTGTGCGCTCGCGAGCCTTCACCGAGACACGTTTCCTCTTCCCTCCCTGCCTCCCCCGCTCCCTTCCCACCAGCCCGAGTCGTTGAGAAAAATCGTCGCGGAGGGAGCACCGCAAATTTTGATCGTCGTGTGTATTGTTCCATGAACCGAGGGAGGATCGACGGTGGTGGCGGATCGATCATCGTCAGACGGGGAGTCGCGCGTGTGACGGGAATTTCAGGATCGATGTGACCGGCAGCGATGCCAGCAATTCTGCTGCGTGGCAACCAGTTGCGGATGCAAACTGGCGTCGAGCATAGAATCCGTATTAAGCTCACCATGAATGGCCCTTCGGCGTGAAATCGTGCGTCGGGAATCGCTGTCGACGCTCTCGCGCGGATCTCCGAGTCGTGGAGGTGCCTCGAGTGTAATTTACTATTTTTCTTTCCCCTCGGTGGATCGATCTGGAGAGCGTGACGGATCGCCGAGTGTCGCGACCGCTGTTGATTGCGATTCGCGTGAAAAAGCGAGCTTTTATTCAGCGGAAGAGAGTCGCTCTTCAAGTTCGCGAACGACCTGTATATATATATATATATATATATCGAGGATAGACAACAATCGCGTCACATCGATCCGGTTGGCATAAGTTTACAAACGCGATATCGAATCTCCTCAACTCCAATATATCTTCGTCGTTCAAAATATCACAACGTGCGCCTTAAACCATACCAAAGAAACCAATAAAAAATAAGAAAAAAAGAAAAACACGAACAGCACAGGCCTAACTTGGGATCAACGGACTAACGATTTGCAAAATATCACGCGATTTTCTAACGCGTGAGTGTCACGCGGCCTTTCTTGAAGAAGATTTTTCATAAGTGTGCGACGAGCTACATACGCGAGATGCACGATTTCCTACAAAACAGCAGCGGCTGAAAGGTCGTGATCGATCGACTTAATTTGATAACCCCCGAAAGAACCTTAGAGTGTACCGTATAGCGATAAGATGAGGACTGAAAAGTGAAAGGGGTGAATCGAGAAAGAGAGAGAGAGAGAGAGAGAGAGAGAGAGAGAGAGAAAGAAACAAGCCATATGCTGGCTATCTATGCCGCGCAGAGATTAACAAGTACTGCTACTTGAAGAAACATCGGAAGGAGATCTCCAATTGAATAATCAAACTGACAGCAAAATGTCGAATCAAGACCGTTCGCAGGAATGGCGTGCATCGAGCTTTACGGCGCTGCATCGATTTCAAGATCGTTCCTCGCGCTACCCCTCGAAACTTGGAGACTGGGGAGAAAGCTCGCGACAATAGAATGTTGATCGATAATCGTCCATTAAAGACCTCGAATTAACTGCACCCTCGCGACAAATTATAAATCTAGTTTTGTATCGAAAAAAGAAGAAAAAAAAAATAAAGCGAATACAGATCGTTCGATGCAACCCTCATCGAGTCGACCCGACGACCGCACGACATCGCGTTTTCAAAGGTCGAGCTAGTAGACGGCCTCGCTCTCAATGTCTCCTAGATGCGAAAGACGGAAACGCGATCGAGTTCACTGGATCCCCCGTCCCCTGCCGGACGAGTCATCCACGAGGAAAACGATGGTCGACGGGTGCCTGCTCGACAGTTGATCCGCAGAGAATCGACAACTCCACAAATAAGCACGGCCTAAGCGATGATCGGCCTGTAGATTGGCGCGCTCGATGAGTCGTCGCGGAAACGAGCATCGACAAGCAGCAGCGAGCACCAGCCGACCAAGAAGAAGAGGAAGGAGAAGAAGAAGACGTAGAAGAAGAAGAGATAGCCTGTAGCCGCGTAGGGTCGTCTCCCTCTCGAGAGAGAGCCGCGTTCCGGGTGATGCGCGGGAGTAGCTCCGAACTCCTGCTGGAGGCGAGCTGCAGCCAGTGCCAGAGCGATCGGGGCCATCGGCGCCGGGACAGCGACGACGGCGGCGGCGGCGGCGGCGGCGACGGCGGCGGGCACGACTTCCACGAACGGGAGCTACGTCGTCGCAAACTGTTGGAGCTCGGGTTCGGCGCGTCGCGGCGCCGACCGCCACGGCGTACCTGCCGGCAACGGCTCAACTTCTACGCCACGTCGGCCCTGGCCTTCGTCGCGACATCCGGCGGCGCGGCGCTCCTCTTCCTGGTGCCGCTCTACGTCGATCCGGCCATCAGCACCCTGGCGGCGGACTTCTCGCCGCAGCCGGTCATCTGCACGACCTCGCGACGCGAGGAGCTCGCCGGCCTCCTCAACTGCACATGGAGCTCGTGCCGCGAGGGTTGCACCAGTGACGTGTACAGGTGCACCCACATATACGTCACCTACACGCCGTGGAGTAACGTCACCATGAGGAACGACACCGCCAGGAACACCAACGTCACGACCAACACCACGACGACCCCTCTGGGCGCCGTCACTGCCGGTAGGATCCTCAGTTTTCCCAATGTGACTGTAAATAGATCGCGGGAGGGTTTGACGATCAAAATGAATCGGGGATAAATTTAATTGGCAAAGAATTTTCAATATGATGAAAGTATAGAGGGATCCTATAACATCAGGAAGATGAAAATTTGAAATATCTTGATTTTTTCAGAGACCCGAAATATATGACTTGTATCAATAGACTATACAGGGTGTCCCAAAACTCATAATCAATCTTTCAAAGACAGAATCCTGGGATCATTTGGAGACGATTTTTCCTCAGCGAAAATTTCGATGAAGGCCAACATTTTTTGCATGTTTCCAATTTTTGTCATCATATATCTTCGCAATTAAGCCTTAAATTAAAACTCAACTAAAGTAAACTCTATTTAAAATTAATCGAAGAATGTGGTTTTGTTAATATTTTATTTCTACAAAGCTTAGTTTACGAAAAACCCCTTATTTCCAATCACTTATAATTCGAAAATTATTAGTGCCTCGACATTTTCGTTGAGGAAAACTCGTCTTCAGATGATCCCAGGAATCTGTCTTTGAAAGAATGATTATGAGTTTTGGGACACCCTGTATACATTCCAATGCATCACGGATATTTCAAATTTCCATTCTCTCCCGTCATCTGACCGTAAAATAGACCTCAACTTGAGAAATCCAAGTAAAATTGGGACACGTTTCAATTTGGGTAGTTCAACATTGCATTGCTGGATAAAGAGTAAGAGAAAAAAAGAATTCGAATCTCCCCGAAGCTGATCCTCGCTATAAAATATCTCTTGTTGAACAGTGTCCTCCCCGGGCGACGTCGAGGCGGTGCTCCTGGTGAACATCAAGGGCTGCGGGTACCCGCCGACAGTCGACTGCGGCAACTTCACCCGCGAGTTGGGTTACGAGGGCGCGAGGTTCCCCTGCCATTATAGCCGGGTGAACGGTAGTATAGTGATGGCGAACTATAATCGCGAGGCACAGATCACCATCATTATGCACTTCTTCGCGGCGCCCTTTGTAGTGACTCTCGCGACCAGCGTCGCGCTGTGTGTGATGCACTGTGACTGCAGATGCACGCCGCCCCCGCGACACCCCCCGCGCGGCATGAGAAGATCCAAGGGCAACGATCTCAGGTAATTCAAGTCTGTCCGAAATCGAAGACGCACCCCCCCCCCCCCCTAGACAATTTTCTCCCCAACAAGTACAGTTGGTTTGCCATCATTATAGTTTTTAGTAACCATGCCCATATAATACACATTGTGTACGGAATGAACCGAAATCTGATCTTTGTTGGTTGAATGGAATGTATATTAGAAGTAGAGAGTAGAGTAGAGTTGTTTACGAAATAAAAAAAGGTGCTTTGTAAAGGAATGTTTCGAACGCGCTGCCGCGTTCGGAGCGAATCATTGAAAGTTAACGAAATCCCATATAATCACACAAAAAGTCACACATTAAGCTGATTTAGGTGTTAATATCGCAATTATTGTAATATTACAGCTGCTGCATGAGTATAAAAAATCGATAACGGGTTAGAAGCATGCCGGAAGTCGTCCGATTTAGAAGGTGTATTTGACGAGGCAAATAAACTTTCTAAACCATACATAAGACAAAGCGACTTAACAATGAGATGTTACTCCAACGTACTTACGTCGTCGTCGTGAGACGATGCTAAGCTCTTTCGGCTGCAAATACCGCCTTAGAAGGTATCTCAAAGATCATTTTTTTCAACGATTGATTGGTGTAATCTTATTAATCTTCGTGTTCCGTTGTGCATAAGTATTTATTTATTTATGTGATTGTACGCGATCAAGTTCAACAATTTTTTTTCTCTTACAATCTCTCGTGATTTCTGGTCAATTTTTCTCGTCAAGAAGTCGGCAAACGATCGAGCTTTCTTCGACACATAATCGCGAATTTTATGAAAAGCGTAACATCTTCACTGCCGATTATCGAGATATTCATTTGCAATAAATCTCTCAGATTTTATAAAATGCAATAGAATTTTTCTTTAATCATCTGACTTAAAGACCAATACACTCTCGTCTTGTAAACGCGAGAGCAAAGATTATAAGATAAAATTGAACAAAATTAAATAAAATTAAATAATTTCTTCATGTAAAAAGAAATGTTTGTCGAGTGAATTTTTAAGTTCGAGGCTTCACCGCTTTCGCAATATCGTTACTCAATTAAAATATTTATACTGGCCTGTATTGCTGACCTTTTTCTTCATTTTTTTCTTCTTCTTTTCTTTTTTTTCCGAGGAAGCTTATACTGCATGCAATTCGAGTTTCTTCCGCAAAGTAGTGCAGACCAACGTTTCTTCCGACGCTTCGCCATAATTTATATCGCATTACACGCTTTGTCGCAAATGTTAGTGTTTTTCTGATCCACGACGGAACACGGAGCCGCTGCTTTAGGAATAGAAAATACACACTTATCATATTATTACAGAAAAGAGCGAATCGCAGAAACGGAAATCGGATATCGATTCATCATCTCTCGCTAATCCTCCGCTAATTAACACCAAAAGGCGCATTCATCTCATTAACAAAACGAGTGCGCCGCCCGAAAGCCGTGACTGCGCTCTCCGCTTGCAACGCAATGAACATGTGTAAAAAGAGATCTCTAATTATCGATCGGACGCCGTAAGTAATCTCTCGTGCACTCGGAATAATCGTCAGCCATCACGGTTGATATGTTGCGTAAACAAAACTTAACCAAAGTCGCCGCGCGTAACTCTGATAATCCACCATTCTTCCGAATGTTTTCTCTCTCCCCTCATGATCTTTTCCTCCAGCATAAATAATCGCATAAGTCATGCCTTTCCTCTTGCACGAAGAGGATTTTATACAAGTACTTTACGTAAAATCTACTTAACTGTCCAATTATCTTGTAGCAATTTTTCCCAAGTTTTTAAAGCCCCAAAGTTTTATATGTCACGTCAAAGTTATTAAGTATCATTAAGTGCTTAGATTATTGTGACTTATCCGTTAGTCCATTATATTAATAATTAATATTATATTAACTGAAAAAAAAAAATATACAGGGTGGGCCATTTTAAGTGATCCACTCAAATATTTCGGAAAATAATGAAAAATCAAAAAAATGTTTCAGATAAAAGTTGTATGGCTTGAAGGGGGCCATCAGATAGTAGCAATGATTTGTCCTTGGAGAGTCATTTGAAGATGACGTAAAGGTAACCTTCAATTTCTTAAATGGAACTCCCTATTTTTTATTACATATTCGTGTAGCTTATCTCGAGAGCTTTCCAAAACACTATAATAAAGTATTTCTTCATTGAGTACTTTTCGAGTTATGAGGCTTGAAATCATTTCTTAATTTTGTATAAACCGTAAAATATCTAGTAAAATATTCATTTTTCGATTATCTTGCTTTAATACTTTTATGTACAAAATAATGAGAGGAATCAATTGGTGTAAAGAAAACACATAGTTATTTTTAAGAAAAAATATGTAATTTGCAATTAACAATTACATATTTTTTCTTTGAAACAACTATATGTTTTTTTTACAGCAATTGATTTCTCTCATTATTTTATACATAAAAGTATTAAAGCAAGATAATCGAAAAATGAATATTTTACTAGATATTTTACGGTTTATACAAAATTAAGAAATGATTTCAAGCCTCATAACTCGAAAAGTACTCAATGAAGAAATACTTTATTATAGTGTTTTGGAAAGCTCTCGAGATAAGCTACACGAATATGTAATAAAAAATAGGGAGTTCCATTTAAAAAATTGAAGGTTACCTTTACGTCATCTTCAAATGACTCTCCAAGGACAAATCATTGCTACTATCTGATGGCCTCCTTCAAGCCATACAACTTTTATCTGAAACATTTTTTTGATTTTTCATTATTTTCCGAAATATTTGAGTGGATCACTTAAAATGGCCCACCCTGTATATATATATATATATATATATATATATATATATATATATATATATATATAAAGGGAGAAACTAAATTTTTAAATTAAGAAATCGTATACCCAGAAAATTATTAATAACAATAATATTAATAAAAATATTAATCAAGAGAGTCAAGAAGAAAGAAAGCATCGTATATATATTTTTTTCCACAATATTACTCTCCCCTTTAAGCCGTAATACCTTGTCGTACACGTCGAAGAGACGCCGGAAATGGATTTATCGAGTTTCGCGCTGCCGCTCTATGAGAGTGAAATATTAATCTGTGTCCGGGCGACGGCAAATGCGAGAGGTAGAGTCAAAAGTCATGGCCTTTCTGCAGATTTTAAGCAGATCGCGATCCAACGTGACGCGCCTCGAGGGTTTATATACGGCCCTTCGAAAAAGGCTACCTTGTTATCTTTCCACTTTCCACCGTTTGTCATTTCCACGACGATGGCATTAGAGGACGGAGGATCTTGGGAGTGGCGAGGGTGACAGCTGGCAAATAGCAGCCCCGGCTGTCATACATCAGAGTTGGATTAACCGGCGACCATGGCTGGCGTTATTTCTTCCTCTCTCTCCCTTTCTCTCACTCTTTCTTTCTCTGTCTTTCACTCTCTTGCTCTTCTCCCCTCTTCATATCTCTTCTTCTTTCACTTCTCCTCGCAGATGGGTATTTCCGTTGTTTCTCAGGACTTTTTATCTCGCCAGACTACGAGAGTTGTCGCACAAATCGTTGTAATCCGTAATAATGTAATTACGTTAGTCCGAATCCTGGTCCCGGGATTATCTCAAGGTAATCGCGTGCTACCTGAATGAAACTAACATATTGTACGATTCATGCTTTTGTCTAGACTTTTAGTGAAATTATGGTAATCGCGGTTCTCGCTCGAAATAATATAAAAAAGATACGAGCTCTCTCGCGCTCATGAAATTTATTAAATAGATCATAAAGGTAGAAATAGTACGAAATAAAGGGTTGTAAGAAATGGTCTCTCGTGTGAAATCTCGTATATTACAATATACTTGGATTTCGCGGGATCTAAATCAGTTGCATCAATTTAAAGTGATGTATTAAAGCGATTTTGCATGCCATGGTATTTGACCTCCGTCCGATGATACCTCGAAATTTGTCGTCCACGACAGCGAGAAGGTACGACATACGATACCGGGGTGTCACTTTTACCTGGGATGATCAAGTTTCGCATCAAAGGAGGTGAAGGAGGGTGAAGATGAAGCAGAATTTATCGCATATATATTCCCTTCTCTCTCAGAATTTCTACGCGACAAACGAATAAAGCCGGCCGCGTTAGAATAAAAATTCTCTCTTCCTTCGAGGCCGAAAAATTCCCCCACGAACGTGAAAATTGATCCTGGCGAGATACGTTCTCGTGCCCTCATCTTTGCTAACGGCAAACTTTTCGCTCGAGTTGTACGGAATATAAATTATGCGAGATAAATGGGCCCGTAATCTCGGGATACTTCCATTTCCCGCGAAAAGGAGCTGCTTCCTGGAGGCAAGAGTTAACTCCCTTAAATTTGCACAGCGCAAAGTATGTATGCCTTGCGAAATAATATACTTTATGCGCTTTGACAATCTGCTTTTTCTGAGGATTAGTCCAGCTTCCGAGGGAAACGAGACCAAGTGGCGTATTATTTAGGCATACTCGTTAACTTGCGACCGCAGCGAGACGTAAGCGGATAAACGAGATGAAAAAAAAAAATCCCATCCAACTTTTAATTGAAATAGCGCTTCGAAAGAACCGTCGCTTCGTGTCAACATGTGAATGAGAGTAAGTCTCGGGGACTCATTTTACGGCACGGTTGCAGCCTCTGTAGCGGATATTAAAGCGAGAGAACGGATGAGATTTTGAAGCAGCATCACAGTACGCATTTCCCTTTGAACGTACGAAGGACAGTTAGTCTTGGGAAGAAATTCTCTCTCTTTCTCGCAAATTATTCAATATATTTGTAGCCTCCATTATTTTCAAGAGACCATTTCTCTGTTGAAAAATTTGCAAATTCGATTTGTAAATATTTTCGCTAACAGGGTAATTTTAAAATAATAATTTATATAACACATAATTTATTAATTTTACATCTTTTCTTAACTTTTCATACTTTATAATTTTTTCTTATTCGTATAAATAAATAATTGAACACTAAAACATTCATTGATGTCGACAACGGGATCAATGATAGCGTTTTCTTCGAAAAAAAATGAGAACTTTTCCAATAGGAAAACAAAAGGAAAAAATTATTTTCACATATCCAATATTTCACTCCATAAACTCTGAATACGATGTAATAGTCTTTCACGCTCGTTTAACGCGAAACGTGACACATTTTTAATAAAGTGTGATGCATTAAAACGCATTGTTTTACATTGTTTTACATTCCGTGACATTTATAATTAAACTGATGTATATCGCGAAAGCGCCAATTAATCTATAAAGTTGCAATTTTATTCTTATTGCGATTGTCCCGTAATGTGCACGCGCATTGGTATGAGAACAAATGTCGGAATTTCCAATTATGCGCAAACTCGGGCTTTCGCTCGCTCAGGTCGGTTAATTTGACATTTGAGCAATGTTCTCCCCTCCTCGCCCCCCCTCCCTCCTCCCCCACCGTTCGCGGTTCAATCGCATCGAAGGCACGGCTCTGTTTTGTCCCGGGCATCCCTCGGTGACGGAGCAAAACTTGGCGAGAAAAAAAAAAAAGAATTGGCCAGTGATCGAGAGAAAGAAGGGAAGAAGAAGGATAAAAGGGGGAGTGGGGGTGGATCGTTCGTTGTCTCGCGCACGCAATTGCATTTATTCCGCATTTCACGAGAGGCACACACATACACATTTTACAACACCATTAAATATTTAGCGATTCGAAACGCAGTGTGTGCGATTGTTTACGATCCTCGTGCACGCATTCTTATTTGTATTGTATGCATTATCACGATCGCCGGCATGTAATGCATAATCGATAATGACGTCGAAAAATTTTTGACACGAGCCAAGAGGGGTGTACGGAATTTTTCTCTTGTTGGGTTTGATATACAGGACGTAAAGGATTTTTCATTCGATTTCAATGATTTAAATAACGGGAAAATTTAATCTCTAATTTTTGCACCCTTCGAGATTTTTATAGAGCCTTCCTTTCGAATTGCACTTTGCCCGACTGTTCCTTTTACACGCGCATAAAACTCTCGTTGTTTAGAATTCTATGGTTTCTCCGAAAACGCTTTATCATGATAATTGTCTATTATTCGCCGCTTAAGTCTTCGGGCAATAAATTAACGCGTTCAATTATATAAACACGAGCGTAATTCATGTAAAGCCGCATATGGGTACGCACAATTTTACAGCTTGCATTACGATCAGACGGGGCTTAAGGGCTACCGACTTTACCGAAGTGCACGCAAAATGCAATTGCAGTAGCGGTGCTTAATTGCTCCATGTTGCAAAGGGTGTATAACTGCCTCCACCTCTAACACGGAGGCGTTTGCGGTAACGACGATACATCGAAGAAGATTAACTCTATGGAGCTTAACGTGTAACGGAGTTAACCCGATCGGGAAGGATAACAGAAAGGGATGTTGATGCTATGTAGGATGTACGGATGTTGGGACGTACAGGAGACGGACAACTGTCGTGGGGATGCTTTTAAATCATCCATCGATTACGATTTTAATAAATTTGATAACAATATTCGAGTC